TTCGAGATTCCTCGTCAACTTTGAGCTCCGGCTTTGATAAATGGTTCTCACTTAACAAAATCATGTCGTTTCTATCTGCTGTAGTCCAAGACGAAGGTGCTGAAGATATGTCATCTCCAATATCATTCTCAAGTGGGTTCTTAAAACCATCTACAACTATCCAAAACTGGACCAAGGACATGAGGCCCAGACGGTCCATGTACTCCATGAAATAAGACAGACCAGCTGCATTGTGCATAACATCGACCAACGAAATATCTTGCGGCCGCGAAGTATTGCTGTAAGGCTGATCTGATATAGGCAATTGCGTATTACCTGCACCATTAGGAGTAGATAACTTTGCAACTTTCTGGTCCAGGGCCCTCTTCGCGGTTTCTAGTCGCCGGATATAGATTGGGTCCTGTCCATCAAACATTGTTTCACGCTTGAGCTGGCTTGCGACGTTATTCCGAAATCTCCTTGCATCGGATAAATTGTTACAGCGCCGAATTGCCCTAACGAAGCGTTCAAATTCCCTCTCAGAGTCATTTGGACTCAGTTTCGGGAATATGTAAGCCTGTTTTGATTTTGCGAGAGGTAAAGCGTGTTGATCTAGTGCCTCACGTAACCTTCTAACGGTTTTGCGATCCTGAAGAGCTGTTCGGCCATAAGCTTCCATCAGCTGGTTCCATGTATCTGGATCTGCGAGGACACCAATCAAAGGAAGTAAGACAGCGCATGCTAGAATCTCTCGCGTAAGAACTGATACTGCCCTACTGTTCGCTTGGCTAGTAGGAAGAATGATGGGCAAAAGCGATACCACAACCTTGCGCAAGTGCTCCTGTTGGACATGGGCCACATCTGGCGAAGATATTGCGGCAGCAGGGTGAATGTTTCCTTCCCGATATCTAGCAGCAATGGCAATCTCCAGCTCCTCTGATTCTGTCACACCATGGCTCAGATTTCTGCCCCTCACAGCTCGTTCTGCCAAATCAACATCTTTCAAATGGCTGGTTACTATAGGGACAATCCTCGAGACGAAAATTTCCACAAAATCCTCTTTCGACAACCAGTCCTTTATACGTCCAATTGTCGCCCTGACAATGGAATCAATCTCATCCGCAAACTTTGGATTGCTGCTAATATGCCCGTACCACGACCCAATAAAGTCCCTCCTGGTAAAGTGTAATAATTCATCCAGTGCCGCAGAAACGATGAACGATTGCGGGTAGAGGGGTGCGGGGTTATAAGCGGTGTTATTTCTGTAATCATTCGAGTCCCGCTGCCAGTTATCAGGAGACAGGAAAGCCATAGGCTGACCACATAGCTTCGAAGGGTTGGCGCTGTTATCTGGACTCCTAACACTGGCTATCAGAACAATGATGAAGAAGGCCAATGTAGCGGCGACTCCCAATAAAAACGAGTATCCAACAAAGCGTATTAACGGATACCAGCTCGTTATGAGTCCCCATGCGATAAAGCCTCCCACACAGGCAAACAGGATATCACGGTGTTTTGCAACCATTCTCCCCGTTCCACGCCTGGCCTGCACCCATGACGGTTAGGCAAAGTATTCCATAAAACAGCTGTTATGCCCAGCTATATTCAGTCCAGGCTGTCTGACCTTCCACAGTAGCGTATTTTGAGCTTCGGACGTTGATTTTTTTTTTATTGTGCTTTTCTCAAGTTACTCTAACGTTAACAGCCTTAAAACGGCGTGGCAGCTTCTCTCCATAATTAGTTTATTAACTAGTTGTTACGTAATCACCAGCTATCTATACTAAACGACGAAGTTGGTAGATTCTCAACAGCCTGTCTAGTAATATCAAAAAGAAAATAAATTAATTTCTGAGAAAATAATGTCGTCTGGTAAAAAATGTGGTACAATGTAATATTAGTTGGCAGTTAATATATAGGCCTTGCAGCCATCAAGTTGTTGATATATATGACCAAACGAACCAAGCGACACTAAAATTACAACTTCTGTGTCTAAAAGGAAAAAACGTAAGAAAAGAAGGAGAGGAAAAAAGAAAAGCAAAAAAAATTGCGAGGGTGCTAGAGGCATGAAAGCGTAGTTCATCATACATTGACGGAGATTTCCTGCCAGATCTTCTCGTGGACGAGCCCATGGCATAGCCAATCAACCTCTCGGATCTTGTCAAGGGTATCGACAATTTTGCCGACTTCACTGACGAACTCAGGCATTCCAGCACTTGCAAGGCCCTGGCTTGCTGTGGTCGTCATCTTCACTCGTTCTCTGGTATTGGTAGCGCTTAAACGAGCTAGAATATGAGACCGGAGCCTTGAAAGCATGAGCCGAGCCACGGGATCCGTAAAAGATGTCGAGAGCTCGGAATTGACATCTGACGAACTGGACGATGGTCTGACAGTGAAAGATTGAAAGGTAGTGGTCACGGATAAACCGGGAGGGGTGATTGCGGAAGCGGCGCTTGCTGCAGCTACAGCTGGGGCAACCACACGCTTTATTGTGCTCAAGAGCTGAGACCTAGTTGCCGAGGGCATAGGATGGGTAGAATCGATAATTGATTGGATACGTTCACCCTTGATGTCATGCCAGTCCAGGGAAAGAATCCTATCTGCCTCGCTCTTCCACTGGGATCGCACATCACGCTTCAGAAGATTTTTGGCAGTGAGTAGTATCGAAGCAGTAGCAGCAATCTTGAAGGCTTGAGATCGAAGCTGTCTTAACCTTGCATAATCTGCGTGAAGAGTCTCGGGAATACGCCCCTGGGGGGTTGCTGTATTTCTAAGAACAAGGTCAACCAATCCCTGAATGTAAATCTTGCCCATGGCTGGCTGAGAATCAGTGTTGGATGTAGCATGGTTCAACCGCCAGAATTCCCTGGTGCTATCAAGTGTAATTTTTCGGTTCTTCAGGTCCCTGTCGAATAAACATTGTTCATACTGTGGGCCTTCTTCAATCAGCTGAGGTGACACAACCTGAAGCATAAAATTTGTATGGTCCAGTGAAAGGAGGTCGATTATTCCCATAAGGCGTGAAAGGCGGTCAATTTCGTCGCCCGATTTATCATTTGCGAACTCCTCAACAACGGCGTCCCGAAAGGGAGCACACAACTTAGCGAGGATGTTACCCATGAAATCAAAGAAAGTGTCATATGAAAAAGTGCCGGAATTGCACTGATTTTCAATGTGAGTGGGATCTAAGACTTCAGTGATAAGATTATGCAAGGAGTTGCCTTGTCTAAGGAAACGAAGCAGCCTATCTTGGATGACTGTGGCCAAAGCAACTGTCCACTTGGTACCATAACCGGCGGCAACCTCTCTTCTCATGATATCACAAACATGTTGCATGATTTGCCGGCGAACTTCGGTATAGTGACCTTGCTCAATGCGAAACTCTTTGTTTATGAGAAGCTCGTGAACAAGCGTTCGGTTATTCGGGAGAGCAGTCAGTACCTTGGTAAGCCGGTCCTGCGGTGAGACTGATTCCTCTTCCAGCCGTGTTTCTGGCAAGTTTGTGGTAGCATAGTGAAACATTTCTTCAAAGGGTGGTTTACTTGGCTCCGTCAGCCCCTCTCTGGAAGTTGATGGTTTATCCACAGCTCTGGGAATTGTGTTCTCAGTAGCTACGTTAGCCTGCTTGGCACTTTTTGCCTTCTTCAATGATTTTTTGATCAACTTCATAGCTTCATCTGAACCAACAAGCCGCTTCAACCGTGCAAGAAGCAAGGTTTGGTTGTACCGGATGCCCTGTTGGTAATCGTCTGCAGCTCCACCCGCACGGTCATCTTTCACCGTTTGCCAGATGAGCTCGAGCTCGGTAAATTGAGCAACCATGATCTCAATAAGCACCGTTGAATCGCGGGATTTCCAGGCGTGGAATGCGGAGACAAACATATTGTATGCCTCTGACAAGGATAGTATGGTAGGAGATAGGGAGACGTTGACAAGCCCAAGTACAGCAATCTTATCGAGCAGATTCTGAAATATGACGAGTAGCTCTCTGGCCTTAGAAATCAGGTCCTGCTCCTGTTCTCCATCACTGCTCAAGACGTGTTCGGGGAAGGCTGCAATAACGTAGCTGCTGAGGAAGATACGAACAGCCCCTCTCTCGCCAAGGGCACCTCCCTGGGTATCTTGCAAACCACAAAGCCGAAGCATGGCCGCGGTCACATCCAAAGTGGTCTCATTGGCTACTAGGGTTCCAGTCCTCTCAAAGCCTAGTAGTCCGATCCTCTCAAGCGTGAGATTTAGGCCCAAGTATTTGCCAACTAGCACCCGTGAGCGGTGGTTCTTCCATGCCTTCTGGATGACGCGGGCAGCGGCAGACGGGGTAAGCCGTAAAGCTTCTGGCTTAATATTACGATTGTTGTTGTTGATATTTGTATTGATCTTTACGCCTTCCGCAGGCGGGGCAGCTGGAACAGTTGGGATGCTAGAAGTACGGCGCCGACGGGGAGTCTCCTGGTAGAGCTGTCTGCGCCTTTCAGCTTCGGCGAACCTCTCGACCATCTCCAGACGAAGACGTGCACGTTGCGCCGCCTTCCTCTCCTCCGTATCTTCGGCCTTCTTCTTTGCCCGTCGCACCTCTTCCTCGCACTTTGCAGTAATATCGGCCAGCAGCCTCTCTCGTGTCCGCTGAGCAGCAAGGGCTCTCTCTTCTTTGATGGCGGCGCTCTTAGTGCCGCTTTTCGCGAGAGCAGCACGAAGCCTGACCTTCTCGACATGCGCCGCTCTGTCAGCAAGACGGGCCTTTCGGGATTCGAGTATCAAATTTCGACGGATATGGGGCGCCATGGGGTCACCATGCGAAGCTCCGTGTACAGACAGGTTCGAGTGTATTGAGGAGGAGGAGTTGCGGCGGGAGATGGAGGGGACCGAGGCGCGCCTGTACGTGGCGGAAACCCGATTAAACCGCGCGGCAAGGCGAGGAGGAAGGGCGAGCCTGGTGGTCGACTCGTCTGAAGCCATCTCTATATCCTGGGGCCTGTCTCCGGGAATGACGACTGGTGTGGAGGTTGTGTTCTGCGGCCGGACTGGGCCAGCGTCGACATCGTCCGGACAGGCCATGGCTGGTCCTCCTGTCCTGGATCCTTCGCTATTTCTCTAAGGCTAGAGGCTCGAGATGGCGAGTTATAAAGGAAAAGAGAAGAAGAAGAAACGTTCAACCTGCTTTTCTTCTATGATGTTTCAGGTGGGCAGAAAAAAAAAGGCGGCGATAAGGCCTTTGCTGACTAAGAAGGACGTCATCTTCAAGCAATCCAAAAAGGGGAAAAACAACGAAATAAAGAAAAGCGCCAACTTCAAACCCTTTGCTTTTTTGGTGGCGAAGGCGGAGGAAGAAGAAGTCAGCAGGTCGGATTTAGTTGTTGACATTCAAGTCAGAAGATATAGAAGAAGCCATAGAGAAGAAGAAGAGGAAGAAGAAGAAGACTTGCTTGGCTTTTCCTCGTTTCTTTTTCGCCAAACATATAAAAAAAAAACTCCCAAGACTTTCTTTCCACCTTTCAGCTATAATTAGACCCTCGATCTCGCTACGATACGATAACTGATAACTTCGGAGTTGGACCTGACATCCTTTGCTTTCTTTTTCCTTCTTCCTCCTCTTCTTCTCAAGACGCCCGCGTTTCTCTTCTGTGGACCGGAATTACTAGTCGCGTTTCCATCATGGCAGACCATCAGTACAACTTCGAAATCACGATGACCTGCGGTGGCTGCTCCGGCGCTGTAGAACGCGTTCTGAAGAAGATGAACGGTATGGATGGCCCCGTCTGGCCTTGATCTGCTCTGTTGTTCATCATATCTCTCCCATGTATTTCCTTTCCTCCCTTCGTGCTGACCTCCAGAGCAGGCGTCAAGTCGTTTGAGGTTTCACTCGATACGCAAAACGCAAAAGTCACGACGGAGCCATCCGTCACCTACGAGGAAGTCCTGGCTGTCATCAAGAAGACCGGAAAGACGGTCACTAAAGGCGAAGCAGACGGCATCGAGATGGCGGTTTGACGTTTGCCATTCTCTTGAAATTAGGCCGCGGGGCACTTGGTCTTCCAAAACACGATCTGCAGGCATCAGGGGGGATGACACTTTCTTTTATTTATTTATTTTTAAATAAGCCCTCCTTTCTATTCATCATTAAGAAGAAAGGCTAGCCTTGGATGCGGAGTCCATTAATCGACTCTATCTACCTGTTCTTTCTTTCTTTTTTTTTACCCCTTCTCTTCTCTTCGAGAACCAATTGCTCCAACCAGCAGTCGTCTGAATGCGCGATATTACACCCATGCTCAAACCCTTACCCCTGTCTGACGTTGCAGTGTATGGCTCTTTTTTTAGTTTCTTGTTCATTAGATTAGTTTAACTATGTACATACATATATATGGCTCTTAGCCATGTGGCTTGGGCGGTTCATGTATGAATTAAAACCACAAATCGTAAATATACAGTTAAGGAGGCCATAACTACTCATGGAGCTGCCCTTAGCTATTCGCCCGGTCTTGATCAGCGGCCGCTTTTCGACAGATTGCGCAGAGTTCGTCGACAAACGTCTCGTTTTCGTCCTTGACATATCCCGCTTCCACCGTGGCCCCGACACTCTGCATCTCAAACCCTTCGTTACACGGTTTTGGGTCGCCATTTTGGACTACATCCACCGTAATTTGGTTGCGGATCACAATTCCGCCATGTGTAGGTCGCCAGTGGTTCGACTGGCCCGCACCACCATTTGTGTCATCTTCCCCTGGCTGTTGCATAGACCCATTCTTGAGAGACACTGATCTGGCCGTTGACGGAGGAGCAGGAGGAGATTTCCTGCCTTTCATCTCGTCCTCGTACAGACAATGGGAGAACTCCTCCCTTAGGCTGTCTCGGAAGACATCATGATCTGGGATACCTGGATATACCTGTTGCTGAACGTTGAATAGTCGCAGGGGAGTAAGGCGTAAATGTGGGGGTGTCGTACGGGTTAGTAGCCCGTTGATAATGTAAAATGAGAATGCGGTACATTGGCCGGTTGCTTGCGAATGGCCTGGTGACCGGCAGGGGATTTTTATCTGCCGAGAGGAGAATTTGGCTTGGCCAAACGTCGGGCTATCAACAGAAGCAGAAAGATTTGATGCAGCTCCGTACACAGCTTGACAGAAGGTCTGGGCTTCGGGATCTTCGTAGCCGCCATTGGCCTTTAGCCACTTCAAGCAAAGAGATAGTGGCCATCCATCCATCCTTGATAATATGTCCAGATGGGACTGGGTCACTGTCTCAATCGGTAACCGTACATTAGGAAGCAAGTTCGGTGCGTCCCCATATACAAGGACGTCAAATCCTGTCCAGACAGAAGGATAGAGCGAGAAGCCCACAAGGTAGACACCTGGATCGAGCATCTTCTCAGGCGTAGCATAATCTTTCATCCGATTTAGGTGGTCTAACATGTCCCTGGGGTCTACCTGCATCAATCTGGCCAGAGGAGATGAGATATTATTGGGAGAGGCAAAGCGGTATCCTCCCATAGACAAATCAATGGCCTCCTGTTTGTTGAGTTGTCGTACCATGAATATACACTGCCCTTTGCCGACAATAGTCGACGGCGCGCATGTAGCCTCTGGATCGCTATGGTGAGGTTTTCTAGATTTCGATGTTTTCGTTCCCGTTAACATGACATCGTCATACAGTACCCCCAACTTCTCTAGTGGCAAACGAAGCTCTTCTGAAAGACCCTGCGCAGCTATACAGAAGAGCTGCTTAAAAATGAGCTCGAAATTGATATTGTTGTCACCAGTGTCCGGAGTAGTAGTAGCACCCGGGCAGTATTGCTTCATAAATTCATCAGACTTAATATAGTAATTCATGCCCTGTATGAATTGTTTTAGATGGGGCCAGTTTCGGCTTGCTCTGAACGCCCAGAGGAATGCTGGATGCACTCTATTAAATTCATCATCGGCAAAGCTCTGGAGGGGCTAATGGTTAGCATCAGCAGTATGGATGCGTAGGTTTTGATGTTAGACTCACCCGTTCAACATAATGATTTGTTATTTTGTATGTTGGTATACTACCATCAGGCGCTACCATGACATTTCCGGAGGCGTCAAAGAACGCACAGGCGAGAGACAGCTGCTGGACTCTCTTTGCCAGTCTCTTACGTTGGCGGCCGGCAATGATGGCGAGACAGATTAGGAAAAAGCACGAGCTTAAGGACTATATCATACAGTGGTTAGTAACCAATGCATGATATACAATAGCGGGCTGAAAATTTACCAATGTACAGCAAATGATGACGGCCTGCGACGAAGAAAGCTGTCCCTTTGCGCCAACGGTACTCGTCACACGGTATATCGTTCCGACAGCTGCGGTCCAGTGCATCCCGGACACAGCACTAGCCAGAATTAACCCGCAGAAGAGCCGTTTCCACCAGTCATCTGTCCATGACGCCCGAAGTCTGAAAAATACTCCCAATGCAGTGATACTGGCACAAATGGCAATCAAAGCAGCGCCGACGACGTTTCCGACTTGGTAGGTGCAAGAGTAGTTTGCAATGCCCAACTGCCCAACATAGTGCATACCACAGACAGCCACTCCGGTAAGAGTACCAGTAGCAATGATATACCGATAACCTGCTCTTTCACTTGCACCGATGAAGTAGAATGCGAATAGTAGGACAATAATCGGCAGGAAGAACGAGGTGGCAGTAAATGTGGAAGAGTAGGAAATCTGGTACTGCAGGTTGCCTCTATGCAGGTGTATAGCGCAGTTTCCAATAAAGTGCATGCACCATATCCCAATTCCTCCCATGCAAACCGCTGCGGTGATAAGAAGATACCTAGAGCGTAGCGTTTTAGCAGGATGTTCAAAAGTAAGAAAATTCTTCAGTTCTAACGTACCAATTGTAAAGCCCAAGGCGGGCGGTTCGTCGATGCAGTAGTTCGAGACATGTGGCACAACCAACGAAACTAACAATAAAAGATAATATAATGTATTCGGGATGGAAGGATTGAGTAACTGTCAGAGATTGGGCTTCAATGCCATTTTCAGCCATGGCTGGCGATTCCTAGTAGGAGCGAAGAGTATGAGAAGTTGCCGAAGGAGAATGTTGGATAGCTTGTATGCAGACACCCTGAGGCCCTCTTCACACGGATAGATAATGCAAATAAAGAAGCATGTTATAAGAATGATAAAGGCGAAGAAGGAAGAATGAAGTTGGCTGTGCCTGAAGAAATGTAGGTTTTTTTAATGCTTATCCGCTGGGTCGGGATTTCTATTCCAAGAAAAGCAGTAGAGAGATAGAAGCCTGGATCGAGAGAAGGAAGACTAGAACGGAAGATTCTCTTCCTGCGGTTATTGACAGTGGGACAGGGGTCAGCTACGTATATGGTTCGGTTACCAGAACCAGTCCACGAAAGTGGCCTCGTTGAAACGTCCACACAAGAGCAAATTTTTGCCCCTCCGGCCCTGTAGGAAGGACATGTGTGTATATGTAGAGAGAAAGAGGAAAACTGGATATCTCGGTTCGTACTATGTAAACCACGCTGCGTATGCCTAGCTAGGGGGAAAAAGAACCCCTGCCCAAGTGGGTGGTAGAGAGACAAGGATGACGAGATTGGGTGGAGATACCCAAGGCAGATCGAAATCTATCTGCTGTATCGAGAAGAAAGCAAAGAATTAAGAAGGAAACCATCCTTTGCAGTATTCCCCATCGCGGTCACAAAAGTAGAACTCCCGTCTAGCCGATTCGGCGCAAACATCCAAATTCGACAATGTTAGCGAGAAGAAGAAGTAAAGAGCCATTAAGAAGCTCCAACGCTGTGGGAAAGGGCTCCACCTGTCAGATTCATAACGGGCCAGGGATATCGCTTCAGATGCTGGGGCTCCTCCACAGGGGAGGAAAGAGAGATTCATCGTTGCTAAATGTAACCATGTTCCATGCTCGTCTAAGACTGGCGCTTGTCAGGATGACCTGGGCGGAGCGCGGAGATGACACCGACCCTCTCTCAATGTATATGACTAATATTTTGTCATGTATACTCTGTATACATATATTAGTCGCCATTCACCCAGTGGGAAATGACGGTGGTGGCGTTAACTGGACTCGCCATCTGTCCGCCATTTAGCTTTCTTTTCTTTATCTCTCTGCCGTCTGATGTCAAGCCCTCCGCACGCCATACCGATGCCTGCCTAGCCTTAAGTTAGTTACGAGTACTAGTAAAGGAGAGTGTCAGAGGATATACTTAGTGAGTGTGCGACTTGTGGCGGGCTGAAGAAGAGACTTAGTGTGTCTCACATGCTCCTTGCTTTGCTTTCGATGTCGTTGGTTTTCTTCTTACTTTTTTACCCCTGCCAGAAACCTTATCATGTAAGCAAAGTCTCAGGCTGGCGGTTCCTGCTCTTTCATTTGCTCGGCGATGGCGACTGGCCAGACGCTGCTATGTATCCAACGTTCGTATCGACGAAAACTCTTCTCTTCATTATTCCCAGTGAAGTACATGGAAGAGAGCAAAGGGGTAGTAATAATAATAACATCCTTCGCCTTGCTCCGTTCCTGGGTCAAAGGGTGCCACACGCTCGGGCGTTTTCTTTTTTTGATCAAGGCGCATGGTCTGGTATGCATGCACCTCATGCCTTGCATCATCAAACAGCGCAGGTGATGCGATCCACAAACAAGCAGGGCAATTCTGTCATTTGTTATACAATAGAAGTACTAATAATGACAATAATAAAAGGATATATATACTGCGAATGACGGACACGCTTCTTTCTATTGACATGAACACGATAAAACGTACTTGCTACAGATGCCTGTGGGTGTATGGCTGTTGGCTTCGGATGTAGCCGTCTGCAGGACCCAGTTGGGGGGCCGTGGAAGTGTGGGAAGCCGTGGAAGCTGATTCGGAACTATGTATTTGTGGTGGAGGAGATCTGTATAGGCGGGGGGGTGATGCGACTGGGAGCTGATTGTTGTCCACATAATAGGTGTATGGCTTGTCCATAGCTGCAAAACGGTTGTTGCTCTGTTGCGGAGGACCACGATTTTCCAAGGGTAACAACCGTGCTTGGTACCGAGCATCGTCAGGCTAATTGGAGATGTATCAGCAACAGGAGCATCGTCGTTAGACTTCTTACAAGAGAGGATTCAAGAAAAAAAATTCGGGGAATGAGAGGAATAGCTTCTTTTTCTTACCATAGTACGTGTTTCGACAGGTCGATCATATACGCGAACCTGCGTCAAACAGTTGTTGGCATCCACGGACGTGTCGGCAGGATAGGCAACGAGGCAAGGGTTCATCCTATGCCTCTGCCTGATAACTATTGCAGGGTTGTCAGGGTAGGGATATCGTAAAGATATTCTTCTAGGATCTGCTGGGTTAGCCACAGCCGCTGGATGGGATACGCCTCGCGCCCTGTGCTCGGTGGTATGGTGGGTATATCGCTCAGTGTCGCCAAGACCTACTCGGACGGCTCTCTGTCCCAATGGCGGCCGAGTCAGGTTCTCTTTATTCATTAATGATTGGTACTGACTCGCGACATGAGGAGACCGAGACTCCCCGTCTAGATGTAATCCATAGCCGCTATATGGTGATGCAATGTTCGGTGTGGAACTAGGCTGCCTTTGGGGTGTACCAATGACACGGGAATAACTCAAATCATCCCAATGCCTCTCCTGTCTTGAATTTATTACTAACTGGGGGTGCAGTCCATTGTCAAAGGGTCTCGTGCTCCTAGATGTTGCTGGGCCAGATATCACCTTAGGGCTTTGTCTTTGAATGTCATCTTGCCTCTCTGGTCGGCTAATCGGCGCTGTCGGGCTCTCGATCGACGGTATAACGGGATAGTCACGGGATTCAACAATAGGCCCCTGTTGGGAGTGAGGTTGTCCAGTATGAGCTATCCCATACCTTGTGTCATCAGATGGAGGATAGCTGCGCCTCGATTGACCTTGGTTTGATCTATGAAGGTTAGAAGGCACCGGGCTCTGCCTATAAACATAGGCCTGAGTTCTTTCAACGGCCGGTGAGAAAGAAGCATGGTCCGAAATTTGATGATGCCGCTGCTGGTGTTATCAGCCCCCACAAATACAAAACAAATAGCAAATGGTCGGGTAATCTTACCTGAAGATCTCTTTCTTGCAGTGCCGCAAGTCTCCTGGGCGTATAAGTGTTTATCTGCTGCGCAGGATCTGTAACTACTTCTTTTCTTATATGGTCAGTAGTTCTAGGTATCACAGAATCCCTGGCTAGTGATAATTGAATGCAGTAGCCTTCCCTGCCTGGGAACTCTGGCCGCGATTCAGTCCGAGAGTATTGTGGAGAGCATGGCTTCCTGGACTTTGGCACAGCAGGCACAAAAGAAGCATTATTTTCACAGTTGCTATACCGGCTTCTTGCTCGGTCCCATGCCTCGTATCTCCGGAATCCCCTATGGTCATGGTTTCTCCTTTCTGTATACTGGCTGGGTGGATCAACAGTAACACGATTAGAAATAGGGGGGCCATGTCCAGTACCTTTGGGAGAGTTAGGGCGGTTAATAGAATGATAAATAGGCTGACTCTCCCTGTTGTCTTTGGACGGCTGATCTATATTTTCTCTAAGATCATCCTGAGGTGGAGGTAGAAATTCCGTCTCCTCTTCATCTTCTTGATTATCATCTTCATCATCAGATATAACGATGACTTCCCGAAATACATCTTCAAGTACGGTTGCCCCGTTTTCATCATCACCCCGCCAAAGGACTAGTTTAGCGAGAGTGGGTTCCTCGACCGAGGCCCTAGCTTCCTGAAAGGAGGTCATTTTTAGCAAGCGGTCGTAGCTAGTATAAATATGACGAATATGAGCAACTACTGCTAGCTGAGCCCGACGTGCTAATGGAAGCTCAACTGCTGTCCCAACTCTATGTTTTCCCTAAATATAACTATTAGCAACGAACACAACCATGATGGTTTACTTACCTTTTTAAAAGCCGTTTTTACAATCTGATTCAGATCTTTCGTTGGGATATTAGGGAATAAATCTTTGATGGCATCCCGTGCTTCTGAATTTATTATATCCTGCGACTGCTCCGAGCTGGCGTCTTTGTTACCTTGCGTCTGCCCAGGGCGATGGTTCTGATACGCTACCACTTTCCCACTGGACGAGAGAAATAATCCCCGCTCCATACATATTGTAGCCACCACGACACTAGGGAAATGATAGCCGATCCTGTGAACCTGTTGAGAAAGGTCGTGTGCTCGTTGATGGGGTGTCGTCTAAAATACAATTTAAACGATCAGCAACCCCGACGTTAACCAAAAGGAAGAAAAGAAACACGCACCGATACTGTAAAAATCTTAAATCCATCTTTTCGGCATAACTCCTTGCATCCGTTAGTGAACCCTGGGTTTCCTGCTGGAATAAACGTATATCCTGGGGGCGGTTTGGTCTCAAACGAAATCTGCTCTTGACTTAGAACTGGATGTACGGATGTGTAATGATTAGACAACACATACGGCAATGCGAAGCTTTTTCTTCTCTTGTGTAATGCTTTCCAAAATAATTTTGTGCTTGCGCGCGCTGGCCTTGGGAAAGGCTTGACGAGGGCGCATTATCCCTCGAACGGCCGTTGAACGGCATGGTATCCGAGTCATCGTTGAATATTATTCCCTAAAACGTCAACTAGTCATGGCATATGTCTCGTTAAGGCAAACCAAAGAGTGACAACAGTGATATCAAGCTAGCTCTCCCAGGTTTTTCTTTATGTTCATCAAAATGATGTGAAACAATAGCCAGACGGCCTGTTAAGGTGGAGAAGTAATTGCAAGGAATGGATATGATCGTTTGTCTCAAGCGAGCAACGATATCATCATCCAGAAGTCTTGCGGATAGTCACACAATGTGGAAGGGAGCCCATATGCAGGGCTGGTCTCCTTCAAACCGCTGGAGAAAATCAGACTAGTCAAGATGAAGTGCTCAAGATATTTCCATCTTTTACAGAAATTTGATCTTGACCAGCTGCAGCAACGGCATCATGGGCTCGTTGTCGCGATGTTGGGCTCTCTTCTCAGTCCCTCAGTCGCTTTTCGTTGTTGTTATGTTACTTTTTTTCTTTTTGGAGTCTCTCTTCCTTTCCCTCCTTGTGATCCGACCGAAATCGAATGTGTCACATGATTTTATGAGTCAGCAGAATTGATTATTAGCTATGTACACTACACGACTAGAACGACTTGAACTGAGTACAGCTATAAGACCATTCGAATTTCGGAGTTGAAGATCCCTGAGCCAACCTGAGCCAATATCAAGCGTCTGGGGCGACCAAGTGGCCCTGTCAAATACTGTACGAGGCGATTAATTTGGACAGCTGGTCTGCTTCTGTCGAATAGTCGATAGGTGTAGCGGCATAAACATTGTACCGAGTTCTTGTGAAGCGGTCAGCATCATAAATAAGAGCAGATGGGGATAGAGGTAATTGGCCTACCGTTGTTGCTCTTGATAAGTATCCAGCTTTGCCCTGCACTTAAAGTTCCATGTGCAGTAGGTTGCACCTTTTGTTATTTCGTTTGCTGCTACCTCGTCATCCTCCTTGATTCTCATCAATTTATCAGCGGTCATGCCAAATATAGCCTGACCCGCTTCGTCAAAACAACTCAACCAAATTTGGCCAGTATGGTCGGAGGCATTGAGTGAAAGTATATAACGGTACTTTGGATTTGCATATGATCTTTCGCATCGTTCGCAGTGCCATTGCTCCAGATCGCCTCCTGTCATTTTCTTATTTTTACAAGCCTCATTCGGGCAGGCAGGATAGCACAAGTTATCCTTAACGTGAATGACGGTAGCCTTTAAGGCAAAGTTTTCAGGGTTCTCTGCAGTTGGAACTTGTTCATCTCGAATCTCAGAGATTGTTTTGAATGTCGGCCACGAGCCACCGCCGCCTCCAGAGCCGCCTTCAGAGGAGTAGGCTGTAAAGAAATTTGACTTCCCCTGTGCATCGTACCAACCTTTTAGTCTGTGTGCTTCTTCGATATCTGGATCTACCGTTATTGAGCCTGAACTCAACAAACTCAACGTGCGACCACCAAAATCAGACACTTTGACTCCTTTAAATGCGACAACTGACTCTGGGGGCGTGTCAAAAGTGGTTGCTGTATTTCCCCAGACAGTAAGGCGGACTGAAAAGCCCGAGTTATCAACCAGCGTAAGTTCTCGCTTGTCATACGGCTTCCCAGTCGTTTTGGATGTCACTTGAGAAGTGGTATCAACTTCCTTCAATATTCCAAGTACGTCGATCGTGGTTCCCTTCTCGATGGACTGTAGGTTCCCGAGGCCAGTAAAGTTGAAGCGGACCTGTGGAACATCATTTTGATCTTCTGCCTAGTTGTCAAAATTAGAAATATATCAATTAAGTACCAAGAGGACGGAAGCCAATTTACCTTTTCGACAACAGTGTCCCTATCAAAGGTAAGCTCGTAGTCATTATTCACATTGCTATATTCTTTCTTGGCCATTTTCACAGTGCAGGGGCTTGAGATGTAGTATACACTGCCTTCCTCAAAGACAGGGTAGAGTAAATCACACTGGTCTTTAAAGGCAGTCGCCCTGATTTCCCCGCTGTCGTCCAATAGATTGACACTAAAAAGCTTACCCTCCCCGTACGTATTTTTCCATGTCTTAATGTCAGACTTGTGCGTACAACGAGCTTTGATGGTCCATTTATTGTTAGCAAATGGGGACAAAGCTTCAATAGAAAATATATTCGCATTAGTCGTCATGCCAGTCGTCCGAGGTCGCTGCACGTTTTGGAAATGCTGGGGTGGATTTTGAGCCTGGGGTGCGTTATAAAACTCGTTGCTTGAGAGTGTAGTGGATTGTCCTCCCATATCATCGCCAGATTTAGGTTCTAAAGGCTTTGGGTCTCCGATTCTCTCAGCTTCACCTAAGGCACTGAGTACTTCAAGGCCCATAATTATGAGAAGACTGCAATAATTTAGCATGCAGATCCAAATACTGTGCAACAAAGTCGCTTACTGTTTGCCTTTCACAACGCTCACTTGAAAATTGGTCAATCGTACAAAGGAACCACGACGAAGCAGCCCTTCCGTGACGTAGTTATTTAACTCTGAGTGCACAGTTAAGGTTCCAATCTCACAGACATTTGGTTGACCAGCAGTACATACGGGTAGGAAGCATTGTTCGAACAAAGTTGACCACGTCACTAAAGACTACGCCAAAACGTTCCTGTTCTCGCACAGTGACAGGCTTGATCCGAAGGCATTGTAGTATTGGCTGGGGAACTTTCGGTTTCGTGTCATCAAACATAGCGCTGTGAGGGCATTGATTAGCTGGATATGAAACATTCATGTTTGAAGCGTCTCTTACCTCAAGGAGCCAGTAGATATTTGGTTTGCCATCTTAAACAATATTTGGGAGGGATATTATCCTCGGTTCCCAAGGACCTGCGGTGTGGAAGAGTTGGAGGAGTTGTCTTGATCAAACTTCCTCATTTAGCTGAAGACGCGTTAAGGACGTTGGTGGGGGGGGATTATGGAAGAACTCTCGCGACGCGTTTTTGAAGAGGAGGTTTCCAAGAGTTGTCACGTGACTAGAAGTTTGTATATATCCTTTATATTTACCCACTTTCCATCAACATCCTATTTTGCTTGTATATATCTCTATTGTGGCCCCTGGTGGGAGACTGTAAACCTTGTTTGAGGACTATACTGTCTATTTGAAGTCTCTAAACCCGACATGGCCTCAAATACCCGACTAAAGCTGGGCCCAGTGTACCTAATTGCTATTCAAGTGGTCTCTCGTGGCCTCACATTTTTAGCAAATCAGGTTCTCTTGCGGCATATCACCCCATATGCCCTAGGCCTTGCTTCACAGCTGGAGTTATATTCAATTACAGTTCTGTTTTTCTCAAGAGAGAGCATCAGGCTGGCAGCACAGCGTCAACCTACACAGGCCACTATAGCTGATGATACTGATACAGCGGGTAAGCACTTGGGAGGGAATCCTAAAAACCGAAAAAATGATGGAAGCCAGGCGGTTGTGAACGTTTCGTACATCCCAATAATTCTAGGAATTCCAATGGCATACGCCTTTGGCTTACTTTATCTGAATCTGGGTCAACGCGGCCAGGCGCTGGGCCGCATGGAGAAAATGAGCTTCTTGGTAGTTCAATTGGCCACTATTTTGGAACTTCTTTCCGAGCCTCTCTTCGCTGTGATTCAACAGAGAATGCTTTACAGCACAAGAGCCAAGGTGGAGATGATATCTTCTGTGGCAAGGGCTCTATTCAGCTGCACTTCAGTACTAATTACAAACCGATATTATGGGAATACAGGCGTCCTACCTATAGCGCTTGGCCAACTCGGATACGCTATTTTTCTCTTCAGCGGATATTTTGTTGCCGCTAAGCCAATAGCACGGAAATTCAGCTTTAATCTATACCCCGTTCGCATCAACTACACGTGAGTCATTATATGCATTTCTATCTAAATCCTCCTTAAGCTAATGTCAGTAGACACACCAATTTCATCTCTTCGTTTATTCCACAACACTTAGTAACATTGAGTATGAATTTATATTTCCAATCGGTTGCAAAACATATCCTGACGCAGAGCGATTCTGTCATCCTCGCTTCATTGTCAAGTCTCGAAATTCAGGGGCAGTACGCCTTAGCCTCGAATTATGGAGGTCTAATTGCTCGGATGGTATTCCAACCAATTGAGGAGTACAGTCGCAATCTTTTCAGCAAGCTATTGGGTATAAGAGAAAATGGACGCACTATCGACAAATCAGTCACGGATGTGAAATCACACTTTATCAACATCCTCCGTGGATACAGCATTCTTTGCGTTGTAGTTGGCGCTGTTGGCCCTACTGCCGTTCCTCTTGCAATCAAGCTGGTTATCGGCTCACATTGGCACTCTCCCGAGACTCAGCAAGTCTTATCTTCATATTGCTACTATGTTCCTTTTCTGGCAGTTAACGGTATTACCGAAGCATTCGTCTCCGCCGCAGCCACACCCTCCGAACTACAGTTACAGACCAAGTGGATGGGAATTTTATCTGCATTTTTTGTTGTAGCTGCATATGTGTTTCTAAGAATCACTCAATCAGGAGTTTATGGGCTTTTATGGGCTAACCTTGTTAACATGGCAGCCCGTATAATCTGGAGCAGCCTCTTTATCCAGGGGTTTTTTGAAAGACATGGTAATAAACTTCATGTCAGGGAAACGTTACCTGGTGTAGGGGTCTGCCTTGCAGGGAGTATTGGCTGGTTATCCTTGAGATACACAAGCGTTTTTAGAGACCTAGATATGGTAAACCTATTCAGAGTCGCAACAACTGGACTATGCGTTGGCTGTACAATGTGAGTACTAACCCTTGAAAATACAATCGACCAGTTTTACTAATGAGAAAAAAGTTTGTATCTAGAAAGGAGTTATTTACGGCAGCTTATAAATCAAGTAAGATTATGAGAGGCTTGCTATAATTAAACTTTGTCTCATCGCTGGTTGACAGATATATCTATATGAATAGGATTCTTCCAGCTCATTGATATACATAGTAAATCTTATCAAATTTCCCGCTCCTTTATTCCTATCTCAGGCAAGCCATAACTACATAGTACATACCTTTTCGTTCCTTATCAACACGTGACTAAAGTTACCTAAGTTGCCCACCTACCAACCTTCCGTTTGTCATCCTTGCCATCAGCCATACATTTGAAATTTTGATCAGAGAAATCATTCTTCCACCCACCGTTCTTTTCTAGTTTCTAGTCACACAGCTCTTGATATTACACGAGCTAACGTTTAGCACCTCTGAGAATCATGTCGCCCGCAGCCATCTTGAGCGATGTACCTCGAGTGTTGCTACTCTCCCCACCATCCCTCTCATCGAACCCTGACAAGCTAGCCGAGCTCCTCAATCAATATGACAAAAACACCAGAGATCTACAAATGATAGACCGACTCGCCGCTGGCCTTGTATCTCTCCCAGAATCTACTTATAATCTCGTTCTACTCCTTACAGATATTGATGGGACAAGCACAGAAAGCGAGCGGTTGGTGGGACGAGATGTACTCCAGCAAATTGCTCGAACGCTACAGCCAGGCGGAATAATGAAATACCATGATGGCTTATCTGCCATGATTAAAGAACCAGCCCGCACAGAAGCTATACTATCTGGGTTAATCGCCAACGATAAGGGAGAGCTGGTGAAACCAGTGTTTGAAGAACAATCAGTTTTATTGCCATTTTCGATAAACAGAAGCCAGAAATCCATAAAAGGCATCAACATCAATAAGTCTGATCAGCAGCCAGCTATACTCCAGAAAAATATAGTAACGTTGACAAACAACACAAATGATATTTTCAATGGCCTAGAAGGTGACGACGACGAATTAATTGATGAGGATGAATTAATCAATGAAGATGAGCTTGAGCGGCCTATTATACAACGTAGGATTCCCTCCCCTCTGAATACATAGGTACTCCTTATGACTGACTAATGATTTATAGCCCCTGAATGCCGGCCTAAAGCTGGCAAACGTCGGAGGGCTTGTAAGGATTGTACCTGTGGACTTGCACAGAAGCTCGAAGCTGAAGATAAACGTCAGCGCGCAAACGCAGACGAAAAACTATCTGCATTAAAACTAAACTCTGGGGAAATAGCGGAAGTGGATTTTACCATTCAAGGGAAAACTGGGAGTTGCGGAAATTGTTCCCTGGGAGATGCTTTCCGTTGTGATGGTTGCCCGTACATTGGCCTACCACCGTTCAAACCAGGCGAAGAAGTAAAACTGTTTGACAATGATGTGCAGTTGTAGAATGCAATCCTGTATCACTGAAATATAGTCCGTTATGATTTACAAACTCCCAATGAAATGAACCAAGGATTCTTTTTAACATAAACTGGGGTTCATAAGGTAGTTTCTTTTCTCCCCAAGAGGGCTTCAAGAGCGTCCATATTAGAGCATCACAACTCATCTTCTTGGTCCATATCCGAGGGTTTTAAAAGTCCGCCTATTTTGATGGCCCGGTCTCGCTCAGCTGCTTTAGCTTCCTTCAGTTCTTGCTCCCTCTCTTCAGCATACAGTTCTGTATTATCACCAGCAAACTCTTTCAAAGAAATTAGGAAGTCTCGTAGATGAGTTTTGAATTTGTTGAAGTCATCGTTCATAACAAACAGTCCAGTAACAAATTGCCTTGTTTGGGCCCTATAATGATGTTATCAATACAACGTTCGCTTGTCTAAGGGGAGTATGACATACTCTTGCAAGTTCTTGAAGGCACTTTGTAACAAGTTCACAACATACTCCTGGAGGAAATCCCGGTTAGATGTTCCGGCAGGTGCCTGATCGGGGCCATAGATGGGGTCTCGAATCTTTTCTGATTGCACAAAGTAGAACATTCGTGCAAGAAGCATTGCCTGAGATTTGAAGCCTAAAAGTAATACAAATTAGTATTTGGCTCTCTTCATGTAAATTCACCAACAGATTAACGTACCAGCTTTATGATCAGTGTCAGTAAGCACAAAGAAGACATCCTGTAATATCGGTAGATAAAATTGTCGGAAGAAAACACTCGACGTTTGGGGATCGGAGTCAGCCATGTTATTCATTAACTCAAGGCACATGGTGAGCCCGGTGTTCTCGACTTCTCTGTTGTCATGCTTGCTTGCCCACATGCATGAATCGATGACAAACTTGAACTGACTCGTATCTAACTTCAGAAGCGCAGAGAAGCAATATAGGTTTATGGCCTGTAGCAACTTGAAAAACCCTACACGGTGCTCGGGATATTCGTGGAAATCTTTGTTGATCATGCCAAGGGTGCATTCAAACACATTCTCCATTATTATTGGGACTTTGTCATCCATAAGGTTCTAAATGAGGGGTTAGCAAGCGATATGTAAGGAAAGGACTGAATATGGTATATAACTGGAGAACTGCAATATAATATAGTGAGGTCACATACATGTAACTTGTGAATAATGGTTGTCATCACATTTAACACCTCTGCTTCTCTAGCGTCAGGCACGTTTTGATTATAGTCTAGAAGAACAGCTTCTAGAAGCGGGGGCACCATGCTAGAGTTGACCATCTCGAGATCATCAGCCTTATCGACGTAAGTATCAATAAGCTTTAGTATCTCTTTTTTGATTGTTCGCAGCCCTCGCACTTTCGGCGTCTTGGTCGCATATCCCGTTGCTAATGCCAAGTCAGTAACCGTTGAAAACAAAATAACAGAAATTTAATACATATTTATTTACTTACTGTCTGCTGCAATGGCATCTGAGATGAGTTGACTCGATGCTCGATACATGTTGAGCATATCGAGATAAATGCGGCCGATCTGAGAATAGAAATAGCTGCCAATAGAGGTACAGGCTGCAACATTGGTCTTCATAATATTCCCCACAATCTTGATAGTCTCCGCATTTTGGAGCGTAGAGGGGTCCTGTGTAGCCTGATTAATGATTGAATCCCATGCAGCATTAGGAAGAGCCATGAGATTTTCAATAAGGCGATCCTGGACTCCCTTCTGGCCTTGCGCTGAAATCATATAACCACATGCTTCGTAAAATGTATGGACTTGTTGCGGGGATAAATCGCAGGTGATCTTTCTCATTGATCCCACAATCTCGTCAATGAACGGCTCGGTTTCGCTAGGCTGCAGCACAACGAAATGACGTCGGCATTTGTTAGCGATTTTAATGAAGGTGTCGCATGCCATATCTTGAACACCTGTTATGCCACAACGTTAGTATTATCCCTTTCAAATAGTCCGTATTCGGCCTCGCTAGAAATCACAAACCTTCATGGGTTTCATGCATGAATTCAAAAAGTTTGTTGACAACCGTCTTCAAAAATTTCCAATGGGCTTTCAAAAACCTAGGGTATTGTCCCACAATGTACATAATATTACTGGCCACAACCGCCTTGTTGTCCTTACCACGCTTCATCTCCGTTAGACCAAGGAGGTCTTTGATGACGGTGACAAGGAATCGCTTCTCAGTCTCCTCGTTCATGGCTCCAGAAATAGACCCGATGGCCCAGCAGAGTGTGTTGCAGTTAGCCCAGGACCACTCTGTCCCATCAACTTGTTTAGCTAATTTGTCTGCCATGATATTCTCTGTATCTACTACATCCAGATGGGTAAGGTAGACAAGACACTCCCTGGTAGTTTTGTATAATTGGATGGTATCACTCTCCTTAACGAATTCCCGCACAATTTCGCCTTCGTCGTTCTCAACGATCAGGACTTCTTCCGGCCTCACCATCTTCTCAATCATAACGGTTCTCAGACTTGTGAGGACTTCTTGGTACTTGTGCTTTCGAAGAGGGTAGTTTGCGAGCGTGCTTGGGTGGGGAGCACCGCCATTCGAAAGTCCACTCACCCCCATACTAACAAGCGGATTAATATCAGTGATTGGAAGCTGTTGCATTTCCTCATATAACTCCTGAACTAGCCGGGTCCAGTACTCCAGGCAAATTTTAAAGATTTCCCTGTCATCAATTTGACTAATTCGAATGAGGTAAAAGTGTGCATGAGTGAGATAATCTCTATTCGGGAGTTTCTCAATAAGCTGTGGTTTGTTAGAAAATGTGTTTAAATGATGTACACATACGGAAAACTTACATGTAACCTAACGCTGAAAAAGTTGCAAAGAAAAAGTGCAAGATTAAGAACAAACTCTTGGTCTCGAGAGTTGCTGTTCGCATAGGTTTCCCTTAAATCTAAGGATAGGGGAATGATCTTGGACACCGTTGTTAACAAATCTGTGAATATTTGTACGAGTTTCTCATCGTATGAGTATTGTGGACCAATTTGGAGGCTTCCAATCTCAGTAAGGCATTTTAGGGTCACATTGCGGAATTCTGGGACGTCCAAAAACCGTGTCAGGAGAGTGTTAATAATGGGCGTTTCAAACACATATCCCAACGGGATCCAGTTCAGGAATCGTAGCAGAGTCTCCAGAGTAGCCTTGATTAAGCTACTCTGGTTTGCAGTATCCAGAACTTCAGAACACAGTTGGAAGATGGCCGAGAATTCCTGACACATAGTAGTTTTCAGGTTCCTAGCCTTAGTGGAGGTCATTTGATCCTGTGAGTAATCGAATACTTCTTCAGAAAGCAGGCGGAGAATGGCCATGTTATTTTCACATATTGACAGGCTCGTGTGGCATGAAGATATGATTTCATTGATGAAAGTTGGCCAGTTGTGAGGCCACTCTTGCTTCAAGATAGATACCAAGACGAGATTAAGTTTGTTGAGAAAGGCCCGCTCGCTCTTCAGCTTTTCCTCCGTTTTGGAGTGTTCAATGATGCAATTGACTATGAAATTTCGGATACCTAATATAGTTGGTGAGTGATGAAACGTTCGTCAGCGACTGTGAAGGTTAAATTCCCATACCTTGACACTGTTCACGAGGGAGAACCTTCCATCGTGTCATAATGACATCGTCGAGAACTTGGAGGGCAAGATCTAATTCGCATATGTCAGCGCAGGAAATCCAAAATGGTGGGGCGGGAAGGATATCCAGACATTTCGTTTGAACATATTCGGACTCCTGAAGAATGTTGCCCACCAACACCCACGATTCAGGGTTTTGTTTAAACTAGATACCCCTGGTTAGAATGTTTATTCTACGCGATAAGATAATTCCCCGCTAAGGAGTTCATACCTCAGTAAGGGTTTGTTGCGCTTGTTTTTGCTATAAGCAATGAGAACGTAAAGCATTAGCATCGACCTACGCCTGAATTGTATTACATTCTTTGCTAGAAGACACTAGAGTGTACTTACAGCTTCGCCTTTCCCCTCGTAGAAGGCCCGAACGGTGTTATCTAGCTCCCGGATAGAGACCGACATGGCGCATCGAATGTCAGGGCTGGAAGGGAACAGGCCCGGGTCTCAAGCTCCTCCGTTCTAGATGTTCAGCCTGATGCAAGCAAGTAGGTGTTGTTGTCTTCGTTATTTCCTGATGGGCGTGGCTGAGCCGTGGGTGACAAGTTGCAGAAACCCGTAAACCGAAGCGGAGGAGGTGAAGACGAAGAGGGGCAGACACAGAGAGAGAAGACTAGTAGATAACGGTGGGAGGCGATCCTTTTAGGTGGCTGGAAGCGAGACCAGCTGGCTGTGGTACGATTTAGCAAGATGAGGCCCCGACGGGGGGAGAGAAGAGAGTGCAGTGGATGGCACAATGCTGTCGGAGTTGGGAATATCGCTGCTCGTTCAAGTTGCTTTCTTTGCGGCCAAAACCAAAAAAAAAAGGCCCCCCAAAACATCAATGGCTGAGTAATGAGACCTGCTTACTAAGCGGGCACACCATAAAGTCGAGAGCTTGTGTTGGATTAGTCATCCATTCGACTCTACGACTCGCACCTTATCACTCCATGTTTCCATGGGGCAGATAGGCCTTTTTTGTCCCGTGGTCTCATGGTCCCGACAGCTTGTCATGTCGATATATTGATACGCATGTTGTTTGGCACGTTATATATAATTATTAATCTCAGACACGAGCGAAATCCATAGTTACATATACAAAATCAAGATTACAGCTTGACGGTGGGTGTAGGCAAGTGCAAGAGTACTTAATGAATAGCTTCTAAGCACCTCCGGATAATGGAAGACAACCTTGATTACCGTTATACTAAAGACTGAAGGTATTTATGGCTGAACAAGCAAAAGTGGGGGAACTTGTGCTCGTGCTCTGGCAGCATTTATAGCTGCCACTCGAAGGTAAAGTTTGCGGGGTCGCTCAGCATAAAAGGCTGTGACTTGCTTAGAGAAAAGAATTTCGGTTGTCCATGCCTAACTAACAGCAGCAGTTTGTTCGATAGGTATATGTAAGAGCTGATGACTATAATATAGGATAATGGACTGCATTTCAAAGAGCTGCAGTTTGCAAATAATGTGGTAATAATAGAGGATGAGAGCCAAAGGGTATAATTCCACCGTATAAATGCGACCTTTTTATTTAGTACAATTTAAGTTTTATCTTGAGAAGAAGATGTAGAACTTGAAGTAATACCGCAGAGCCGGAGCAGGTGATGCTAAATTGATATCCATTAGGGTTGCAGTGGCTGCAAGAACTCCTTACCAGTGTCTTGTAGTTGCTACACGAGCGCCATCATCAAACCCATGTCAAAAGCTAGTTATGGAAAACGGAAAGCTTAACTACACGACACTATCCAGGCTTTTCATTATATGTAGCCTAGGTTCTCAGCTCGAAAAAAACAGCATGCCTATGACGCTGAACTACTTATGGATATATCCGATGTGACCTAATATGTGATATGTTCTTTCCAATAAAATAAGTTTGATTTTTGGCGTTGCCTTTGTTGTAAAGTGCCATACATCCCTGTGGCCAGAGCGATATTGACCCGGTGGAAGTAGACAGACAGCATTAGCCCTTATTCATTCCCTCTGAGGAGGGTGCAGAGGTTTTGAGTGCTACCTAGTTGAGTAAGCTGCTCATTCTAGTATATGTTCCTTAGTTTACCAAGCTCTGTCGATATTTGGATAGAGATGCCACAAGGGACTCCTTGTGGAAGCATTTAACTTATATTGCTTGTTGACTTACTACGATAGCCTCATAACAAGCTATAAAAAACCAGGCCGGTATACATTGATTGGGCCCTTGAGGCGTAGGCTGTGAAAGAACACAGGTTGAATAAAATATTTGCATTGCTGCATTTTTCACCAGCAGAGTTTGTACATAGTATCATGCTTATATCGTATTCATTATAATTACGACTCAGACAAATTAAGCAATCCGTCGTATATCACGTGATAAAATGCCAAGTGAGGGGTGGGGAAGGAAAAATAGACATCGATTAATGGAGAGAATATATGACATTGACAAATGTAAAACAAGATTGAGCGAATTGCCCTGGTATAGACCCGAAGACAAGAGTTATAAGGCTACCAATAAGCCATTCTTGGAATCAAAGAAACTATTAGCACCTAGTAAATGCAACGTATAAAATGCAGAACTTCATAGTTACCCCTCAGCTATTTTAAGGCCTGGGAGGGAAAGTTTTGGTGGAGAACAATTGAAGTCTCTATACAAACACAGCAAGATGATATAAAAAGATCGGAGATAGATGAAATAGCTAGGGTGTCTATATAAGAGCTCAATACATGAATATTGAATATTTACCAACTTTTTGTCAGGCGGTACAACATTGATCCTTCGTGGCAACCACTTCATCCCCTCTAACGCACACACCTGGTGAAGAATACTCCGAAGCAAAAATGAGGATATTATAAATGGGCATGAACTTTTGACTTTGGAACGGAATTTTCTCCATTCATATACCTGTCCCAGGCCTTGGATGCTTCCGAGAAAGCGTCATAACTAAAAAGATACGCCTGGAATTTAGCATCGATCCATGGAATGGGGTACGGCTCAAAGGGGCTTCTCTGGTGAAGTTTAATATCCCGATTCCGCTGACCTGGGCCGTCTCGCATATGGAATATATCTCGCAGTGCAGTGCTGCTCTGGATAACCCTGGTAGTACGCTCTTTCCGGCTGGATTCATATATCCAGAAGAGATCTCGCAGTTGAGAGCTACTCTTGATCTTTTTGAAGAGGGTACCGAGAGCTGCTCCGTCTTCGATAGCCTGTGCGGCTCCTTGGGCACTGGGCCACGCCATACACGTCAGCAGCCAGTTTATGGTAATATAAATGAAATTGAAAAAAGAAGGGAAGTTGGGGGGGCTATATTTTCTATCAGACAGCACGTACAGATAGGGGAGAGTAGCATGACAAGCATCACCCAGCAAGACGAAGTTCCCACTAGGATGAGACCACGAGCCCATCTCTTCACTAACCCGCAGCCGCCACTTCTGCGTCTTCTTTACAAGGCGAAGAAGTGATCTTAGCCGCGGATCCCAATTCCGAAAGAAGGTTCTCATCTCGTCCAAGCCTGCGTTGGCAAGGTTTACTGTCTCCGGTAGATCATCAGGACATACCAGGACGACGTTGAGTAACTCTCCACCTTTCAGAGAGTAGCAGACTACATGTCCATTTGGACCTACCCAATGAGTCATGCCCGGTCTATCCGCAAGCTCGGCGAGTTCAGGGTGCTGCCTTAGGTCCTCTCCTCGCACAATGATGCGATATGCCATGTCTCCAGTCAGATGAGGGGGGGCAGCATGACCCAGCATGGCCTCACGGCAGACGGACCGAAGCCCATCAGCACCAATTACCACATCGGCATGGAAGTCAGGCTTACCCAGCAACCGAACGGCGGGAGCCTCAAAGTTGATGTCGAAAACAGTGCTATCTAAGCGGATATCGACACCGAGACTCTCTGCCTCGTGGAGAAGAATGCGGTGGTAGTCTGCACGATGGATGTGCAGGTACGGGAGGCCGTATCGTTCAAAGGTATAGGGAAAAGCATTCTGGACACAAAGCACCTTGCCTGTCTGGTAAGACCTGACAATGAAATCCCTCGGTCGAACGGACACACGCTCGACCTCGGCCAGGAGCCCCCATTTCTGAAGAATGTACGAAGCATTGGGAGGGATCTGTATACCCGCACCAACCTATATCTACGAATTTAGATATTTTTCGCTCTGCCGAAGAAAGTGAAGTATAAAAGGTGGATGAGGGAGATGTCTAAGAGAAAGGCAACTACCTCTTGAATGTCCGCCTGTTGCTCCAAAATGGTGACTCTGTGGCCTGCTCGAGCGATGCCAATGGCAGCAGCCAACCCTCCCAGGCCAGCGCCAACTATAGCTACATGGAAGCAAGGAGAGTGCATGATATGATACGGATATATTGAGATATTGAGATATATGCAAAATAAATAAATAAATAAAGGAGAGGCCACTACAGCTCCATCTACCAAGAAAACAGGTGTGTGTGAAAGAAAGAAAGAAAGAGAATTCAAAATTCATGACCTCAAAGGCGCTTCTAGGGCGCACGTCAGCTGCATATTATAGCCCATCGAGAGAATGCAGCTCAATGCGAGGATGATGATACCAAGAAAAGCAGAATGGACTGGGCATTGTCAGATGGGCCCCCTACAAACGGGTATAACACTTAATATTCCCTCATCCCCTCCGATATGTGCGTGTTGGGTATAAACCTCATTAAGATGAGGGGTTAATCCGGAATAGATACCCGTTGAAGGGAAAGAGTCAGGACAGATTTGAATGCTATGCAGCCATCGAGACCATGGACCCTGGGGAAATGCTTGGACCATTAACGTGGTGCATTAGCCTGGATGAAGACAACCGCGGGAAGGGAGCAAGGGACGGGGTAATTTGGAAGTAACTTTGTGAAATGCGACTTGTCGCTACCTAAAAAGGTTGGCTAATCAACGGACTTATATATTTTCTGAATATGTTATGTAATCGTCTAAAAAGGAAGGTGTCAAGAAGGTGACTAAGCGCTGGACCATGGAGCCCAAAAAAAAAAGACCTCAGGTAAGAGGGAAAGGTGTGGGAGGAGCAAGGCCTGAAACTGACATTCTCTGGTGCTGCGATTGAGCAAGGGGGGTTGTGTGTGAAAGGGTTTGTGAGAGGTTGATCCTCCTCCATAGACGCCACTAAAACAAGTTCCCCAGCGGCTGACTGGCGGGCTATTTATAGGGGTGAGAGTTAATATCCGACGGTCCACTGGTAAGAACATATACAACAGTTACAATGTAAATAATTACTGCTCCATCCTCATCGGAATACGAAAGGCTGCAGACACATGCATAGAGAATAGGACCGTATGCCTACATCGAGGTGTTGGCGCCGGCGTTGGGAAGCTATGCGTGGGTGTGCGTGTGAATGAGCGTAAAAAAGAAGGGAAGAGCGGCAGTTGGCGGGCGACTCCGCTAGTCGCGGCACCGCAAGTCCCCATGATGGTCGCAGCCAGTCAGAAGAGCGAAGAAGGCAACAGAGAGACAGCAACAGCCCCTAAGCAAAGCCCCTAAGCCCCTAAGCCCCCCCTCTCCCAAAGCCCACTCCTTAACCAGGTTTAGCGGGCTTTCGGGGGGGGCGATGCTGGCCAATAGGAGTGCGCAGCAGCAGGCGCCAGGGGGTGGTTAGACATGGCAGGGCCAGGTCTTAGCGGGGCGCCGGGATGCCCCGGGAGCGCCGGGCCTGTCTTTTTTTACTCTCTTATCTCTCCTTCGCTCATTTAACACTTACTCTCGCCTGCTTCTTCCTCCCTGCAAGCCTAAGTTCGCCCCCATGCGCGATCCGCCCAGCCGCCCACCCAACCAACCATTAGGCGGTAAGCACCCTTCTTCCCCTTCTCACACACACGCACTCTCTCTCTCTCGCTTTGCTCTCCGTCTGTTCTCTTCTTCCACGGCCCCCCCCCCCCCCCTAACGCCATTTTTTACTCCTTTCTCCTTCTCACCTACTTGCTCACTCGCTCGGCTGTTTCTTACCATTGGAAGTGCCCATAGTAGAGAGAGGGAAAAAAAAAAAAGAAAAGAAAAGAAATTAATAATCCTTGCCGCCCCAAAAGCTGCCTCTCCTTACTAGGGGTCTACTCTCACGCTCGCTCTCTCGCTGGCCAACGCCCGGTCGCCCGCCAACCCGCCTGCCGCCTGCCCGTCCCAGCGCCAGCGGTTGCATTTGCCCTCTCACTAGCGCCGTCTCGCCCTTTCGCCTTTCTCTTTCATCTCTTCCGCTCCCTCTTCTTTTCCTCTTCTCTTCCTCTTTTCTTCTCCCCATCGCGTCTAAACCTCGCCTCTCTCGTCTACCTTTCATCATCCCGCATACTCAACTTCTATTTACATCTTCGTTTATCACCTTTCTTTCTCCTATTTTTTTTTTTTTTTTTTAATACTCGTGTACATGGCTTTCATCGACAGAGTAGCCTTTTCGTAGTCTGGCTTTATTTATTTTTTATTTTTTTTTCCCCCTTCGTCGCATTGTTGGCCGTTCGCCCACTTTCTCTCCCGCCCCCCGACAAGGTCGCATCACAGGAACAATCTGCGCCATCCCCATCGATTATCATCAGACGAAAAGGAAGGAAGGGAAGAAAAGAACCTCGTCGACGGGCTGCTTCTGCGACCATGTCCGTCGTTGCACCTGCGCCGTTGCCCAGCGGCAGCCGGGACATCGCGGCTGAGGCAAGCCCAGAACAGAGTCCCTCCAGTTTCACCGCGGTTAACGGTAGAGACCGTTCGGCCTCGCTCATAAACGGACAGCCAGACATGCGTCCCTCTCCCGCTCGCGATGACGGTAGCAACGGTAACGGCAGCACCAGCAACGGTAACAACGGCGGCAGCAACAACGGTAGCAGCGCTGCCGCCAGCAACGGCGCCAACTTGCCTCACTCGGATAAGCCAGCAAGCGCGGACGGGTCTCGTGACTCGCCCGTTGACCAGGCCGATTCTGGCTCAGCTCCTCCAGACACCACCACCGCCGCCACCACTACTGCTACTGCTGCTGCCAGTAGTAATAGTAACTCGAACAAGCGCAAGCGATCCAGTATAGATAGTCATCACGCTGAACTCGCGCAGAGCCCCGGTCCGCTGCCTGCTGACCATCCACCCTCTGCCGCAATGGCAATTCAGAACACCAGCAGCAGCCTCACCAACAGCACCAACACCAGCAACAGCAACAGCACCAGCACCAGCAACAGCAACAACACCAGCAACAGCAACAGCACCAGCACCAGCACCAGCACCAGCACCAGCAGCAACCATATACCAGTGTTGAACGTCCAGACGAACCCAAGCCGAATACCGGCAATGTCGCCTGGGACTACGACTCGCAGTCACAGATGATGAATGCCAGCTCACAGCGACACTCCAAGCACCAGCACCAGCAGCACATGGATGCCTCAGATGCTCAGCTCGCCGAGGCTCTACAGCGTGAGGTCCAGAGTGAGACGCCGTCAGAAAATGCATCCACCATGGAAATGCAAGGCAGTAACTCGACTGCCCATGTACAGAGCCAGTCTCCCGGCTCGTCGCAGGTCGCGCCAAAGCGAAAGAGGGTTTTTAGCAACCGAACCAAGACCGGATGCATGACTTGCAGGCGAAGGAAGAAGAAGTGTGATGAACAACACCCATCATGTAAGCTGTCCACCTATTTTTGCTTTCTGTTTTTAATGACTTCTCGTATTCTAACGACTCATGCAGGCAACAATTGCATTCGCGGAGGCTTCCCCTGCGAGGGATACTCGGTACGCACCACCTGGCAGAAGCCATCCCAGAGCAAAGGGCCCATCCCACTACAGTCCAAGGATCGATATCCAGAACCTCCGAACATGTACATGCAGGACATGAGCCCCCAGCGACACGATTCGAGAATGGGTGGCCCAATGATACCCGACGGAAGCAAAACCAGACCAGTCTCTGTTGAGGACAATGACAGAGCCCAGGCCTACATGACCAGCCCCAATAGCTCCGTTGCCCGCGTAGCATGGCAAAAAGGCTCGTGGCAGGCCGCCAACCACCATATGATGCAGGATTCTGCTCCCAAGATGGAATACAGAGAGGCCCCGGTGATCGGAGACATGTCGCGCCCTGAGCCCCCAAAATCAGACTACCACCACACACACAGCAACAATGCTAGCAATAACAACAATTCCTCCAGCAGCAACACCAACAATAACACACATCAAAAGCCCGGAATTCCCGTCTTCCAATCGAACATGGAACCACGCCCGAACCACGCTCCTCCTCGCGTCGACGCAAGCAACTACCCCACTCAAGCCCGCCTTGCGTTGAGCAGCATGGAGCCTCATGTTCCATTTGAAGGACCCAGCGAGAAGTCCGAAAAAGAGAAAATGCTCAGCGGCGAACAGTACCGCCCATTCGACCCGGAACTGGTCCGCGACCGCGAACAGTGCAAATCCGCTCTCTGGCGCTACACCAATGCTGGCAATCCCCTCTATGGTATTAGCTCCGCTGAAAAGACTCGCCTTCTAACCCAGATTCTTCAGCCACCCGCCATCGAACCACCACCGGATGCCCCTCCGCCGTCGACCAGCACCCCGACCGGATCTCTTGGGCCAGGCGCCGTCCTTGAGTCCCCATTCAACTGCCACTACGGCTACAACATTAACATTGGCGAAGACGTTCTCATCTCTGAAAACTGCTTCTTTGCAGATGACTGTTCCATTAACATCGGCGCCCACACATGGATTGGTCCAAACGTCACAATCCTCAGCTCAATGGCCATTGGAAGCATGCAGGAACGCAAGGGCTCCCAAAGCAGGTATCAGGGCCGACCTGTTGTTATCGCCGAAGACTGCTGGATCGGTGCAGGATGCACCATCCTACCTGGCGTCACGCTCGGACGTGGCGCCTATATTGCCCCTGGCGAAGTGGTCCGTTCGCAGATCCTGCCTTACGGGTTCCAAGGGTTGAAACCAAACTACCCTTAGGCCTCATCGTGATCCTCCATAATAACTTTTTTATATTTTTTTTTCGTTTTTGATCTTGTGAAGCCTTGTTATGGCGTATATACTATTTATCTCTCCAGTTCTGTGCAGCTTTTTTTCCCTCATGCTAACCACGACGGCTTAAAAAAGTGCAAAGGGTGAAATCTGGCGAATGGCATTGCATTCTCTGGGCCGTTACTATTGCTTTCACCACCTTCGTCCAAATACACTCTTATTAGTTCTATCTTGTCGTTCTCGTTTTGATATCTTACAATTCTTGCTTTGGTGAGCAATACTCTTCTTTTACGCCCTTACTGCCAATTTAACTGTCCCCTCCCCGGTTTGATGGCGTTTCACGAAAATGGCGTTTATTTGATTCTTCTTTAATGTGTTTATGTATCGTAGTAGTTGATTGTTGTTCTATTTGACAAGAAATTATAGTACCCGGTATGCTCTGCTATATCGTCATAAACCACTTTTATTATTTCTTCTCTTTATCCGAAAATCATTCCGAAATGGTACGAACGCCAGTTTACTTGTCAACGCCGTGTAATTCTCAAGACTCCAGCCAATCCAGAAGCTCTGGTACAAAATAGGTTGTCACAATGCTTCCACCAGCCCTGAGAATCCCCTGCATGCTCTCCAGCACCATCGCTTTGAGATCGAACACCCCGGCCTTCGCACCAGCGTGTATCATCGCATATTCACCACTCACCTGGTACGCCGCAACCGGCATATCCCTCCCCAACTCCTTGGCATCACTAATGATATCCAGATACGCCCCTGCAGGCTTCACCATGATAATATCCGCGCCCTCGTTTATATCTCTCTGAATAGCTCTTCTTGCTAATCCCCTACCACTGGGCGGAAGCTGGTAACACTTTCTATCCCCAAACGAAGGAGACGAGCCCGCCGCATCTCTAAATGGGCCGTACAGACACCCACTGAATTTGGCTGCATACGACATCAACACCACTTGGTGTGATATACCCGCCTCGATGAGCTTCAGCTTAATAGCCCTGACTCGGCCGTCATTCATATCTGAGGGAGCAACGCAGTGTGCACCAGCCTGAGCATACGCTACAGCAATGTCCGAAAGCCTCTCGACCGAAAGAGTATTGTTCAGCGACCCGTCTTCGCGGAGTATGCCGCAGTGGCCGTGGGAAGTATATTCGCACAAACATACGTCGGTCGTTATGTATAGAGATGGGAAGTGAGCGCGTAACAGCCGGATGGCTTGTATGACAGGTCCTGACGGGTCATCTGCAGTGGTCCCTAGAGCGTCTTTGGATCCTGGGGCTAGTGGGACACCGAAAAGAATGACAGATCGCAAGCCCTTTTTCACCAGAGGTTTAAGAAATGGAATTATTTTGTGTAGGCCGAGTTGGTATTGGTTTGGTAGGGAGGGGACGGCGATCTGGTCGTCAGGCCTGTCCGTGATGAAGAGAGGGTACATGAGCATAGACTAGAAAGAATCTGTCATTTAGTCTTATTTCGCCGAGAACAAAAAAGAACTGGCTGACCTTGGTTAATTGCCTTTCTGCCTGCCATTCTCTGGTCAACGGATGGTTGTATCCTGCATGCAGCTGGCTGGAGATACTCCCCGAAATGCTGACACTGGTGGTGGTGCTCTGGTATGAGGATGGAGCGTGAGAGCGAGTCCCTCTGGGTATCGTAGACAGACGCTCATCGCCCTGCGAGTCTCTAAACGAAATATCAGACACAAGGTTAGAAAACGACATCCTGGCTTGAAGTAAAGATAGAATGCTCTGTTTCTTCTATTGAATAGCTCAATATTCTCCTGTCAGGCTCTCTTCTGTACCTTTACCCCAGGCCCCATCAAAACTGATATTTTTTTGCCAATTACAGCTTAGTCAGCACACCGATAAGGAGCCAAAAGCTTCTCCCAGCCGGAGGATATCTTAAAGGTCAGCAACTTCAACGATTCATCAGAAAGAAAGTCATATATTTTAAGCTATAGACATCGACAAACACATCAGCCGCTAGCGCCATGGTTCGGACACCTGCTCAAAACGCCATGGGGACGGCTACAAACACCCAAACCACCACCCACGAGGGGGGTGTTATCCCATTGACAGGCACTCTAAGACTAAGAGGAGAGGAAGAAGAGCAAAGCAGCCAACCGCCAGCCCAAGAAAGGCATATAAAATGGGCAGAGGACGTTGTTGACAATGAAGGTCAAGGCAAAAAGCGCTCCAAAGGTAGGGTATCTCTCGGCATCTTAATACTCTATCAACAATACCAACAGCACGGGTTTGCTCACTGCTTTTACAGTCTGTTGTATTTACCACAAACCACGACCGGCTGGCGAGAGTAGCTCTGAATCGGAATCATCAGACTCGGATTTTGACGATGACTCTTCTGACGACGAAGGACGGTCCGACAAGGCACATCCTCAGAAAGTTAGTTAATTATCCGCCTAGCACCTTTCCAGCGCAGAGGTGAGATTTCTAACAGGCGTCAACTTGACCAGGGACGCGGATGCTCTAGCCATGGAGATCCACAAGCTCGTCATAAACGCAAACCAAGGCCGAACGCCTACGAACGGATTCCGAAGAACAATACATAGCGCCAAGCAAGCACTGAAAGATTTGGGTTGATATAGATATTAACCGCTTCATTATTATATTCCAGCAAAGTAACAAGCAATGCATTTGATGCAGGTCTCTCACCACCGGAGCCGTCCAACAATGAAACAGGGAGAAAACTAAACAGGAAATTTATGATTAAGGTTCGACTGGATCCTACGAATGAGTGCTTGTGTCAAGCACCATATACACTCCTATGCCCTTTCAGCTGCATGGGTGACAGCTCAAGATAGGGTATAGGCGTGGAGAAGGCTCACCGTTGTCACTGGAATTGTAGCCAGAAATGATAACACCATCCGATTAACAATAATTGCAGGGAATAAATAGTTGAGGGGGAATCAAATCAAGCTACAAAGGCTATTCATCCGCGCATTTGGAGATAGGATGGAATAAGTTATTGCTTGGGCTGTTATCCGTCCTGGTTGAATTTTAAATCTATTCCATATCCTTGACGCATTCCATATATACATGGTTAGATTTACATGGTCATGCTCCGGCCCTCACCGCAAGATACAGCATCATAACATTAGGCTGCCTATCACAATGCATTAATCACAGTCAAACCGGTATATGTGCCATCGAATTCACTTCCAACCTGTAATTCGGATGCGAAGAATTCCTGCGAGATTGTCTCACCGGTCTGATACTAGGGTCCGGGGTAGGTGCACGCATAGATCGAGCTCTTTGCTCCTTATTTAACCATTCCCTCTCTGTATCTGTGTCGTTGTCACTAGAGCAGTTGTTGTCCTCAAGAGATTGCTTGCCTTCAGGGCTGGATGTCGAGAGGTCGAGAACCTTGTCCCCAATGGCGTCCACGTGGTTCACTTTGGGTAAACTTGTTTTAACACTGGCCTTAGTCGCCTGAAGCTCATTCTGAAGTCCATCAGTATGATCATATTGCGACCGCGAGAGTCTCTTCGTCATGTGTTCAGCTACTGCATCCACGAGATCTTCGGTTGGTCGTCTCATCTTGCCCCTTAGACTAGGCTCGGCATAGTTTATTGGACCCCGTGAACGTCTAGAGGGTCTTGCTCCCCGAGCTTGCCGTTCACTGTTGGTGGTGGTGGGCTGATATTCCGAGTGCCATTGTTTATCAAGGCCGTTTTCGAGTTTAGGTGTATTTTCAGAAGACAGTCCATCCTGGCTCTGGTCATTCAAGGAAATTTCAACGGGACCATTAAAAGGGGGCGCATCCTCGCTGATGAGAACATCCTCTTTCGCGGTCTTCAGTAGACCCGAACTTCTGCTGCGAGAATTGCGCGCCTCTTTTTTCTTCCGTCCAGACAACTTTCGTTTCTCAGCAGCCACATTATCATGGACCACTTTCTTCACAGTTGACCTTGGGTTAAAATTTACATTTTCTATCACACTCGGGTCAGTTAACGGCTAGGTTAAGGCGGAATAGGTGTATACATACTGGGTTCAAGAGCCCTTCGGGATTTTGCCGGTTCTGCGAAATTCTTAAGGCTTTCCTTGCCGACAGACATGGGGTCCGGTTCATTTTCAGCGCCAGTTCCAATGTCGCCAGGTAGTTGAGTATATGCCTTTTTTATCACTGTGTATTGAAATTCGTCTTTCCGTTGTTTTTCTTGAGGGAGAGCTTCACACTCCTGCGCATCAAATTTCCGTTTAGAGCCAGCAACGGTACGAACAGGGGAAGAATCTTGATCGACCTCAACGTCCTTTTTTGACATTAAAGTTTGGAAGAGGGAACTATCACGTCGTTTTGGTCGGGTATTTATTGGCCGAACTTTTTCTAAAACAGCTTCCACTGTACTATCCTTTGTAGCGCATGGCAAATGCGGCTGGTCTCGTTCTTTTGTAGCAGCCTCCATCTCGAGCTTCTCCTCATTCAGTTCAACATCATCCATGGGTTGCAATGGCTCTATGCCATCATCTTCCAGTGCTACCTCTTCCTCAGCCTCTTTATCAATTTCAGGGGCATATACTCGATCCTCTGGGATCGCAGGCAGGCAGCTGCCGTCTTCCAACATAGCGTTGTCCTCGGAGAGTCTTGAGAGGCTTCTGGGGCTAATTCGTTTTGTTTCTCCTTCCTTTCCAACATTGCCTTCTTTCAAGGTAGACGCGCTATTGTCAAAATACTGAGTTGGTAATTTGTTGAGATCTTTGACAAGTGCTGATAGCTCTCCCAAACCAGACTCAAATCTTTCTCTTAGAGTATTGATGCGCTTTTCAAAATGTGAGCCGGACCGGTACTGCTCAAGCTCATGATTTGCAGAGATAATCCCTTCTCGGAGAGTGACATTTTCGGCAAGGAGATGCGATATTTCAGCTTCGAGTGTTCTAATGCGTATCGACTGTACCGAATTTGCTCGAGCAATCTCGCGGTTTTGTCTTATAAAGCGACGTTTTACTATTGGGTTTCCCGTTAATAATTTGTTCCTATAATTCAATCAAATCTGGAGGCAAGCGGGAAACATACAGGACTCGATAGAGTCCAAAGTCGTGGGTAGATCGTTCAGCCGAGCCATGACGGGTCACGACCGTTGTAGCAGCTGAGGAAAACAGATAGCGAATTTAATCCAACTAGACCAATATATCGATATTATAGGCGTCTCTGTGGTGGTTGTCTCAAGTAAGGGTCTTCCTCTGGGTGGTGGTGGTTAAAATAAGTCAACAGCTGTGTTTGAACAAAATGGTTAAGAGAACATTCGGTTGGCACTGTTTATGTTTATCCGTTTACAGTTAGACAGGCTTGTTTATAAAATATTTTTCTATGTATTACCGTAATATTACCAATATATCACGTGATATGTTTTTTTTTAATAATCTCCTTACATATTGAGACCTCGCGACTTCGGAAGCAACGCGATAATTATCTTGGATTTTGCAATAGATATGGGGGGATATTTAATTTTATGTTTAGACCATTGCAATACCTTTAAGCCTGATGTCTTACAATAAGCGCACAACTGCAATTTTCCCCTCTTCCGTCACGGGCTCACTATCATCCCGCCCTGGAAACCAGTCCTCAAGTTTAGCAGCTCTTGTGGCTGCAAAACGAGCAGAACTTGAGGATATCCGACAGTTGCGTGATGCCAGCAACACATTAACAACGCAATTGGAGGCGTTGGAAGCAAAGCTTGCGACACTACAGGACGGAGCTGAAGGTAGGGGCCACATTACCCTTATAATATTCTACTAAGAATATTAAAAAAAATTATCCTTGTTTTAGCTGTCGCTTGTATCATGGCGAATTTCGATAGCGTGTTAAAAGTTATTAATATAGCAGCAGGTAAGTTGACTCGTCTGCCCACTTGCGTTCTAAGAAGCTCGTTTTGTTGCTAAGCTGGTCCAGGCGGCCTCCCTCAAGCCAAGAATCAGGAGACTTCGTCTACTGTGAATTCACAAGAGAGTGCCAAGGAGAATGAGATCGTCAAGGACTCCCTTCCTGTTCCCCTAGTGCGAATACTATTAGAACAGCCTGCTTCAGGGATTAAGCGGTAGACTATAATACATCTTTTCATTTAGACACTCCACTCCTTTAGTTCTCCTAAACATATCAAAATCATGTGAAGACTAAATGGGAGCTAGTTACTATATCTCCAATCCCAGAATTGTGTTAAGTATAGAGTAGCTTCATATCCAACCGGTAGGTAAGGGTGATTACGATTGTAATGATATACGGATAACTTTATTGATAATGGAGCAATATATTAACATTGGCCCATATTATTATCCCGTTAGCAGCCCACTTCCTCGATTGTGATAAACTGGCCAAGAAAAATATAAGAAACATAGTTATAGACAATGTAAATAATAAACGTTGTCAAAATCGGGTAAAACAGCTATATACAGTAATAGCTCTATCTTTTACTTCGAGGGGAAGCTAGAAAGGGACTCATCCAGAGCCGTTTTATTCTTGGGCACGAATTTCACTTTGTATTTCTTTGGAATGGCCACCAAGCTCGTTGGGTCAGAATTTCCATGAATGGGGTGGGTGTTGATCTTTTCGTCAGATATGATTCTGAAGCTGTTTAGCATGCGAATGAATATGAGATAAATCTCACGGTTGGCCAGTAATGAGCCAGCACACATGCGATAACCGAGGCCGTATGTGAATAATGGTGCTTCGGGTTTTTCAATCCAGCGCTCAGGGCGAAACACCTCTGGGTCAGTCCATACATAGGGATCTTTAAAGATGACAGACAGGGTTAGCAAATATAGAACATCAAATCTATAACCGAAGGCTGTATAGCTTAGAATACTTACCCATATTACATGCCCAAGCATTGAGAAAAAAGACCGTTCCTTTTGGGATAACTTTACCCTCATACGTGATGTCTTTGATCGACGTTCGTGGGAGAGCCAGGCGGAGGACTGTAAAATATCTAGAGTGTACCGTCAGCTTAATTCCTAGGAGCCGTTGACGGCTGGTTCAAAGGTAACAAGGCAAAAGTAAGCATTGTGGGTTACATACCTGAGACACTCTTTACCTAATGCAACAATATACCCGCACTTCTGATCATCCAATGCATCACATAAAGGCTGGTCTTGAGAGTAATACTCTTTGATAGCATCTGCAGCCTTGTCTTGAATATCAGGTCGTTGAGCAAAGAGTGCAATACTCCAGGCTACCAAAGTCGTCAGGGTGTCCAGTCCTCCTGAAAGCATAGTTAAACTAATGGAAGTGAGCTCTTCGTTATTCAACTTGGCTTCCTTATCGAGCATAATGTTGGCCTGGATACATGGCTGATGCTCATTTCTTGCCATCCTCTCCTCAAGGCCGGCATTCAAGTGCTTTAGGTATTTGTCACGACGATCTCGCATTTCTGCAGCCTTCTTGGAGCCAAAGTTGAAAGGATTCAAGCGCAGGAGAGGGATATAATCCTGTAGGTTTCCGGTGGTGCTTCTGAACCGACTAATCTCGTCTTCAACATGGGTGATTTCTTTGAAAAGCTCCTCTTCCTGGGATACCATACGGACACCCCAGTTAAGAGTGAGAGAAAGACTAAGGCTCAATCGCTGAATCATTGGCATGGGATCAATAGCGGTATTTCCCGCATGCCCATATTTGAGCAGCTCAACCACAAAATCCTTAGTTTCGACATCCAAGTGGCCTACGTATGACTGAACAGAGGGCTTGTTTAGAGCAGTGGCTGCACCCTTTCTTCTTCTTTTAAGAGATTCACTGTATGGAGAAGTTCCAATTGTCGTACCGGCAGTATTTGACACGACCTATTTTAACCTGTCAACAGCGGATAAAACATAATATATATATATATTATTGACGACTGCAAACTAACCTTGTGGAAGGTATAAAACTCGGGTCTTGAACTCAAGGCCTGTGAGTTTTGACTGAACAACGTCTTTGCGGAAGCCGCAGTATTGACCACAATAATTGGAATATTCCCTAATTGAATTTGGTAAACGGGTCCATATTCCCCGGACCACTGACGGTACTGCTCTGCTGCATTCTCCTGGATTTGCTCGAGATTTCCAATCATGAGAAGCCCCGGAGGCCCCTTAAAACCCTTAACGCGAGCCGTATACCGTATGAACTCATTGGTGAGAATATACGCGCACGATAGTACACAGGACACGATCACTAAAGACTCGACCGGGTAGTTCACAAGGTTCGAGAACATTAAGGCAAACACCATCTTAAATCACGGCCCAAGGGAAGGATCAGAATATGAAGGGCACCCTTCAACCGAACATTTCCCCAAGAGGTATATATAATTTTCTTTCTCTGATGGAGCCGTCAAATATGGGGAAACCTCACGCTTACAGTGTAAGCCGCCTTGTCTGCCTCAGCACGTCTCCTTCATCGAAGTGCTGCTTCTCGGCTGTCGGACTAAAGTATATCCTACCGAGCCCTTTCGCCTCGGTACTTACCTCTTCCGGCGAAAGCAAGTCAGGTGCGCAGCTGGAAGTTCTTACAGGCCAAAGCAGAATTTTGGTTGATAGAGAGAAAGCTTGCCTGGTGACGTACAGTAGATGCGGCGGATTCTTAGGGCCCAAGGATGGAACAGCCTCCTGAGAGTCACAGTTTGTTTAAGCTGTATAGCTGGGTTTCAGAACGGTGCATAATCAAAGGTAAATAAAAGAAACTTGGAAATCAGATTCTTGCGCCCATCCGGTGTGTCCACAGCGAACACATTGGATACTCCACACCGGCCGGTATCGCAAATTTCTGGAAGAACCACTCCGTACATTCTTCGTACTTATTCCTACAAGACAATAGGACTCTGCTATCACACGTCTATCGGGTGCGCAAAAGGAAAAACAGTGAGTGTGTCATAGGCATTGGGATTCCTAGTTCCATGTGCTTCCGGTCTCTTTGAGTGCGGCGCAAGAGGTCAATTCATGTTAACAATTTGATTCCTCTTAATTAGCTTTGTCATGTCATTCAACCAGAGACGGCGCGTCTTAAAACCGCTCCTATATACTGCGGGAGCTGTTATCGGCGGTGGTGGACTTCTTTATATCTCATATCGACCTCGCAACCTCCCGGGCTCCGACCCTGCCGCTGTCCCTCCTCCCACCACTCGCGGCGGAAAGCTTCAACCTCCTCAATTCCCGCTAATTAAGTCACGAGATGAACAAATCAATGATTTAAAGAGGCATTCCGATGCGACTCCGCCTATAAAAGCTCCGCAGAGCTCTGCAGGTTTAGAATCCCCATCCACACCCCAGAGCTTCGTCGAGAGCTCTGGAAAAGCGAACGAAGATGATAATATATACGATATCCTTGTGATTGGTGGAGGTGCTACTGGGTCTGGGATCGCTCTTGACGCTGCAACACGGGGTCTACGCGTTGCTATGGTCGAACGTGATGATTTCAGTGCCGGTACGAGTAGTAAAAGTACGAAGCTGGTTCATGGCGGTGTCCGCTACTTGGAAAAGGCCGTTTGGGAAATGGATTACAACCAGTATGCTGCCACCTTTCATGTCTACTTTTCCCCTATGGCTAATCAACATAATTTGTGATTAAAGATATTCTTTAGTAAAGGAGGCTTTGCGAGAAAGGAAATACTTCCTTCATACAGCCCCCCACTTGTCTATGTGGCTCCCAATTATGGTCCCTGTCCAGAAGTGGTGGCAGGTGCCTTACTTTTGGGCTGGAACAAAGTGTTACGACTTTCTCGCTGGCTCGGAAGGTATTGAGAGCTCATACTTCTTACCCCGAAGTAAAGCTTTGGATGCTTTCCCAATGCTAAGGAAAGATAACCTTTTTGGAGCCTTGGTTTATTATGGTTCGTGATTCAATAACCTTTGCTTATCTGCCCTGCTATATTACTTACTTCTTACAGATGGAGCACATAACGACTCTCGCATGAACGTATCATTAGCAATGACTGCTGCACTATATAACTGTACTGTTGTCAACCACATGGAAGTAACAGGGCTAACGAAGGATGCCAATGGCAAACTTAACGGCGCCAAAGTCAAAGACTTGATCGCAGAGCGAAATGGAGAGAAAGATGGCGAGTTCAACATCCGAGCCAAATGTATTATCAATGCTACTGGGCCCTTCACCGATTCCATCAGGAAGCTTGACGATCCGAGCATTAATGAGATCGTGGCGCCAAGTTCTGGAGTACACATCATCCTTCCAGGATATTATAGCCCGGCAAAGATGGGACTTATAGACCCTTCAACCTCCGACGGCCGCGTTATTTTCTTTCTACCTTGGCAAGGAAATACTATTGCAGGTACTACTGATAGTCCAACTGAAATCACCAAGGACCCTATACCTTCTGAAGAAGATATCAACTGGATCCTCAGTGAAATTCGAGGATATCTAGCACCTGATATCAACGTCCAGCGCGATGACGTTTTAGCTGCCTGGTCCGGCATTCGACCCCTCGTCCGCGACCCAAAAGCCAAAAACACGGAGTCACTTGTCCGCAACCATTTAATCTCAGTTTCGAACTCCGGCCTCCTAACGTGCGCTGGTGGTAAATGGACTACCTACCGGCAAATGGCTGAGGAGGCAGTTGATGAAGCCATTAAACAATTCAACCTCCAGCCCGGAAAGGTCCTCTCAACCCCAAATACTAGCGGCGTTCTTTCATACAGTGACAACGCCGTACTCGATGGGACCTGCCAAACTCACAAGGTTCGACTAATGGGCGCCCACGGGTACTCAAAGACGCTCTTCATCAACCTTATCCAGCACTTTGGCCTAGCAACTGATGTAGCAAAACACCTTACTCAATCCTACGGCGACCGTGCATGGGAGGTTGCCGCTCTATCTACTCCCACAGATGTCCGCTTCCCGTTGAGAGGTGTTCGTCTTTCTCCCCTTTACCCGTTTATCGACGGAGAGGTCCGATACGCTGTCCGCCGTGAATACGCACAGACTGCTGTTGATGTGCTCGCCCGAAGAACGAGACTGGCCTTCCTAAACGCCCAAGCCGCCCTCGAGACCCTGCCCACCGTCATTGATCTGATGGCAGAAGAGCTTAAGTGGGATGAAAGGAGGAAACAGACGGAATGGGACGATTCCGTGAAGTTTCTGATGACCATGGGTCTTGACAAAACGCGTCTCGGAATCTCCAGAAAGGACGTAGAGAACGGTAAGTTATGAAAGAGTTTGCCTCTTTTGACCTGTTCAGTCTTGTTTTTTGTCGTTTGTCCTTGGCCGTCCACCTGATGGCGGTTGAGATGTATGCTATCATCCCGTATTTTCGTTTTTTCTTTTTTCTTTTTTCTTTTTTTTTCTTTTTTTTTTTTTTTTTGGGAACCTCAATTATAGACTCTTACCGATTTATAATACTATGTATTATGTACACCTATCAGTCCACTGCCTCTCGCTTCTTTCGCATTCCTCGCAGGCTTCTAAGGCTAGTTGGGCCGAGTGTTTATGCACTGCCTACATAGTAAGGGTTCTCAATGTGAGAACACCCGCATATATGTAAAGCATCCTCACTCTCTGCGTGTTCCATCGAATGTTCCTCCATCCCCGTCCCTCGTGGTCTTGCACTTTTCAGCGTCATATGACTCTTCTTTCCCCTTATTTTCCCACCAAGTAACTCTGTGTAGGATCAGGATGGCAGTGGGGTGTCATCCTCTCTCACACCATCGTTCTGTTGACACAGACAATAGAACATATAATCTATGCATTGACAGTACATTTGAGCATATATCGTAAAACTATGATTTCTTTTCCACGAAGGACTTGAGAAAAGCAAAAAACGGGCTCTACGGGAGAAGTCTAAGTTTATACCGTCAATGTTGGCTTTCTATCTCCCCTATTCATAGTACATACATAGTACATACATCCTATTATTTATGTCCATACATTATGTGAACCTTTTTTTTTAGTGCCATCCGCCTGATGCCTCACATTACTATTTCGTAATAATAACTTACGGCAGAGAATAAGAAGAAGCAATGCATCTCCCGCGCGCAGGATGTGACTTTTCCCCCCTCCATTACATGCCTGAGGGTCGTATCAGTTAACTCTATGTCGCTGCATGGGATCAGCGTTTATACTCATGACTTAATTTGCTGGTTTTCAGGAGAACATGCAAGGCAAGGCGTATATCCCAACGTGTTCAACTTAAACCGGCGGCACAAACCCTTACGGAGGTATTTCACTGCCTTCGAGTGGTCTGTCTGGATTTTAAATCCAGCTGGTCGAACCTGACTGTTGGGTTTGCGTTGATCACAAGATTCCGAAAATAATATATATCAGAATAGATGCGTGTATCTATACTATATAGTATGTGTATACTCTGCTCCATACTTTCAAAGGGCGAAAAGAACAGGAAAAAAACTCTTATGCTGGCAACCCCGGCTAACTAACTAGGTAGGTTTTTTCATCGGATGTTTAATGCCCGATATATGAGACAGTGGGACGTGGGCATCATGATCACCTACGCGGAGTATGTATCCATAGCTAACATATAAGCACCCCCGTTTTGCCTGTCATTTTGTTGGTTGGGGGGGGGGGGGGGGAGAACGAGGAACATGTTGTATAACCCGCTGTAAGAACCATGGCATTATTATTATACTATGTATACGGAAGAAAAAAGCCCAGACCATCCTTATTGTTCTTATATATTACCAGATATCCGCCGATAACTGTTATACATGGGGTTCCTGAAGACCAGCGGAGGGTCATCATCGTCGCTTGTCTCATCCGGACGCTTACGATGTCCCTTCTCTCCCTTCTCTCCCTCATCAAGCATGTTTAGTTGACACGTTAAGTGTACTTTTTTGTCATTTTATCCTTTCCCTCCAGCTCCGCCCTGGCGCAGTCTTGTCTATACATCGCAGACAGACAGAGAGAATGTATTCCATTTTCCCACCTAGGCAATCATGGCAAGCCTTTCGCCTTGGCTTTAACTCTATATCACATCCAACTTACTCGACATTATATGCAAGGCTAACACATATATATATAGATCCAGATTTATCCACTTGTATTCGCTGTCAAACAGCCGTTGGTTGGATTGTCACGGCGAGAGTTAGCCATCAGGTCATGTCTGACTGAGAACTCTGATTTTATTTTTGCACCGAAGCAGAAGTCTCTTGCCTTCTTTAAAAAAAACCCCTTGGCAAGTTCGTACATCTCCACGGACTCCAGTCTCTCTCCCCCTCCGTGTGAAGCGCCTAGAAGCAGGGGTTTTCCTCTTAGTCGCCAATGATAATACTTCTCTGGCTCTCTCCATCTTCTCTCAAGTCGGATCCCTAAAACAGCCGTTATGATCGCTATCTTGTTATCTCGGTTCCCCGACCTCCTGACTTAAGTTCCGACACCACCTCTTCCCACCGACCATCCAGTAACGTACTGTACATCACACAGTAACACTGATAGACACGAACAGACTTGGAATTAGCCGATCTTACTCGTGATACGAACATAGCCAACGAAAGGGAGAAACTAAAAGCTACATCACCTGTAATGGCCCATCCTTCCGTCTTTTCCTTCCCTCCCCTTTCTCGCTCCTTTTAACTAGTCGTCCAAGCGCGGGATGAGCCACGCGGGAAGGTTTTTTGACTCAATAAGCTTTCCTCAATTTTAGATACAACCAGCCACATATCGGCTATACACCCATACTCCAAATGGGGATAATAATAATGTGGTCCGGCAAAAGCGTCTAATTATGAACGTTAGCTTTTTATTTTTGGTCTTGGTCGCTCCCTTTTTTTTTTTAAATCTTCCAAGTCGAGGCGACGTCCAACTGCCTAATTCGGTTGTTAGGCAACCCCAGCATTTGACCGGTGAAAAGCAGTTGAGGCTCAGTCGCCTCTCGAACTCCATCTACGTCGGCGAAGCTTCGTCGCTTATACTTTTTGGCTTGCTTTCTTCCGAGCCGTCGTTTTCTTCGCTGTTGTGTACTGTATGTATACGTTGGCGAAAACGGAGAATGTCATTTGAGTGTGAACAAATAATTCTATTCTAATGATACATGTCTTCTCCCAGAGAGAACGAGTGTGCCTTGCTAGAATTGGAAACCCTTTGATAACGCATCAACCACATTGTAAGGAAACGAAAGAAGAACGAGAATTCAACCTATTAAGCTCCGAGCTCCTCCTTGGTTTTGCCCCCTATTCCGCTAAATCATTGTCTAGCAATGAAGGCAGACAACAATCCAAAAAGAAAAAATAAAATAAGACATTATAGATAGAATATTAGGAAGGAAATAGGAAAGGAAATTATTTGAGAAAAAGGAAAATCAGACCAAATGAGACAAGGAAAGGTGGCCAGGAATAAATTTGTGTACCAGATAACTCGTTTTGGTGATAGGCGCAAAAAAAAAGATTAGGTATCGCATCATGGTAAAGTCGATCGATGAGCAGTGTCTAAATGATAGAAGTCGTCTCGCTTATCGTACTCCACTCCGGGTTCTCCAGTTCCTGATTATTATTTGACAAAGTGGTAGGGAGCCCAAAAGGCAGCCTGCTGCCCATTGAGCTGGTGACAGCGGATGGTAGTCGTCAAAGTAGAAGCAATAAGCTCCCATCACGCACGGCGATGGTGAAGATAGCCGTCAATTTCGGATGGGTTGCCTCGGAAGTTGTTCCAGAAACGTTCGACAGCGCGCTGAGCGACAGGAGAGTTTCTGAATCGGTCACGGAAGTAGTTGAAGAGAGAGAATTCATCTCGAGTGAGGACATAGGAGTCTGGCTGGGTTTGTATTCTCCGCCATATCTCGTTGATAGCAGCTTCAAGGACAGCATTTGCTCTTGGGTCAACCTGGCCATCGTCGCTGTTCCTAGCGGACTCCAGAGCACGTCTGACAGCTTCAGGGCTTGTGGTATTGGGACTGTTTGCCATGATGAAGGAGTAGAGACGCACAGTAGTGAACAAAGTGTAGAAGGTATGGAGTAAAATTGCTATTTGTAGGTAGAGGAGGCTTCTTGTGTGCTGGAATGAGGATGGTAGAAAGATGATGTCTTTTGGTTCTTTGCTGGGAAAAATAATTCGGTTTTGACTGCCCGGGTGGTTATATTTATATTGTTGAAAGCTCAAGAAAAATAGGGACTTGTGTTCAGGGTCCAGATTTAACGTCTCTAGACAGAATATAGCTCTCCTGATTATGCGGAGGCCCTCAAAACACCCCTGGGGAGGCGTACGACCAACGATATGTGACCAACGCTTTTGCGGTGTCCCGTAGTTGACTGCGAGGCTTGACTCGTGTTTGCTCCCCTAGTACCTAGCCGGGATGGGAGGACAGGCCCATAGGAAGACGTTGGAGCAAGCCATCCTACTTTGTTGCCTGTGTTTAGTGATTAACCATGTGGTCCAGCACAGAGTCCAATAATATTCCTAGGCGGTGGGGGAACAGGGGAACGGGAGGGGGGGAGCCGCCGGCACAGGCTGACGGCTGACATGCAGCAAGTTTTTTAAGCAGGAAGCCGTGCCTTTGACACCAGGTCGTGCGTCATGCTGGCGAGCTCCCCAGTCACTAATTGTCAGGGCCTGGACGCCTCATAGCCGCCATGCTAGATACTATATGGATAATGTGCCAGGTCTGGGGGGCTCGGGAGGTGCTGTTATGCATTAGATTAGAACCAGCGTTATGGAGCAGTATCATAGAGCAAGGGTATTGCCCTGTAGCCGGGGACAGATGTTAGTGTCCACGTCTCTCTACCATCGAGAAACGAACTAGCAAGATCTTACCTACCCATGTCCGAGCCCTAGTTTTTCCCATCGTGCTTGCATATAATGTACATCCACCCTTCATCTGCGGCCCGCCCCTGCTTGGCTGGATTACTACTCGGTGTGCTATAAATTTCGCGTAGTCAAACCTGTTCACTTGAGCCTCCTCGCTTTCTTCTACTCCGTAGGTTTTTCTCATCGTTGAGATGAAATCTTGCTTAAGGGCCCGCTGAGTCAGTTTCATGCAGTAAGCCGCATCGCCAGCGGCTACTCAGATATAACACGTAAAATCTTAGCAGCTACGCCGCTACTTCTCTCAGCAGTGCCTTGTCGTGATTTTCATTGGGATCACAGCCGGATTGTAGCGGCCCAGCGTGGGGCCGTTTTAGAGCTTTCTATATCAACCAGATTGTCCTTTTGAAGCGGATGGAAGCTCCGGAGGTTGGAAGGCAAAAGGCGCCGTATGAAAAAAAAAAGGTAATAAAATAAAAAATAATATATAGAAAAAAGGTAAAAAATTAGTATGAGAAAAAAGAATAAAAAGGCACACCTGCATGATCAGCGAGGAAGACGTCCCTATTGCACAGGTGCCATGCATCAGGAACCGCCAGCAACCAGGATCTTTAATCCAATGGTCGGGTATTGTCAGGATCCAGCTAGGTTAATGGCGCAGCAACCCCTTGGAGCGGCGTTAAAACTCTGATTTATTGCTCAGAAAAAGGACAGAGAAAGAAAAGCCATGGCATGCATGCGGCAAAGGAGCAGGGTCTCCTGTGGAGGGCTTGGACGGTAATCTGGACCGACAAACGCTCCATGCAGCTCGTGGAGCGCTACCACAGTATGGGAGCATCTGATATACTATGTATGTTAGTTCTATATACGTGGGGATGGAGGATGACGGCTCAAATCCGAATACCCCTGTTCGTGCACAGGAGTATCTTTCTTTTTTTTTTTTGATCTGCCGCCGCGAGTAACAGAGTAACTCTCGGCCAGAGTATACATTGTGCGCTCATATCCTCAGGAGTGACACCGCTTCTACTCAGTAGGGCCTGTACAGGTGTCAGCGTAATATAAAATCAATCCATCGGGATCATCCTTTTCAGAGTCCACCAGCGTTTGTATGCACCCCACAGCCTGATTCCCTGGTCCACAGACGGGGGATGAAGATGAGGGTAAGAGGATTGGAAGGCTTCTCTACCAACAACAATGACAACCTTTCACAAATTGACCAAAATTGCCGAGGCGACTGTACGTCTGCTGTTTTCTTGACAGGCCTGGTATTTTTTTTGCTTTACCCCCAAATTTCCAACATTTCAACGATGTCGGAAATGTTGCCATTGGCTGAAGCGTGAAATTTTAGTCCACAGCCTAACTATACTCCATGATTCCGGATGGAGCCGTAATAAAAGGAATAATAAAAATAAGATTATAATATGGTCCGTCTGCTTTTTTTTTTATTTGTAAAATATATGTTCCAAGAGTCCATAATTTCTTTTCTTTCAGGGTCTCTCTCTCTGGCTTCTCATGTCTTGTTTTCGTGGTTGGTTTAAGATCCCAGAACGAGCCTCATTAAATGTTGGCTGACACATCAATCACGTGACAACCAACACTTGGCGAGCTTTTTGGGTGATCACAAGATAAGCTTGAGCTGCGAGAAGGCTCAGGGACGAGCGGAGGAAGACGAACAGGAAGAGGAAGAAACGTACTCGACGCTGGTCTCTGGACTCTGATTCAGCCTACCTCATCCTGTGGCAAGATGGTGTACTACTTTACGTCAAATACGGTGTCTCCTGCAGCATTCATTTATGTTGGAAAAGACAAGGTTGAAAGTTAGACAAGCTCTTCCTCTCGATAAGCCAAAAGCTGCTCGCACACTAACTAACCGTTGGCCTCTGAAACATCTCAGACGAAGATCTGATTAAGCATGGCCTTGAAAATGACGTCTGGTAACTACGTGTCCTGCTCTTCTGTCAGCTTTTCGGTTCCCACGGCTTACTCGGTGTCGACAACGTTCCTCATCTTTCTAGGGTGAGTGTTGGATGCTCCTAGCCCCTCCAATTCTTGAATTAGATCAGTCTGAATCTTTCTCTGGATTACTGACACCTGCCCTCTCCTTTGCGTCTTTAGTTCCATGTCGACAATCTGTCAAGTGCCCACGTCTACCTTCGTCTCCAGAAAGGCGAGAGTTGGGAGAATATACCCAAGGAGTTGCTCGAGGACTGCGCACAGCTGACCAAGGCAAATTCTATCGAAGGCATGTTCTAATAAGTGGTGCTGCTTTTTCCTCTAGTTCTACACTGTCATTCTATGAATTTGGCTGGAGTATCGATTGACAAAAGTAGGAAACAAAAAGGATAATGTGACTGTGATATATACTCCATGGTCAAACCTACATAAGACTGCGGCGATGGCCACAGGACAAGTATCATTTCATAACCCCAAACTCACACGCAAGGTCTTCGTACCGCAACGACAAAACCCAATTGTTAACCGACTAAACAAGACTCGGGTTGAAAAGTTCCCTGACCTCAGAGCTGAAAAGGAAGAGTACCTGGCACAGTGCAGAAAGGAGGAACGCAGGGCCAGAGAAGAGAAGAAGGCATTGGATAAAAAGGAACGCAAGGAGAGGGATGAGCTAAGGTGGCAGAAGGAACACGCGTACGATGACCTTATGAGTCCAGACAGTGTTCAACAAAGTAACAACCAGGATCGGGATGAAAGCTATCTAGATGACTTCATGTGATATATGTTGGAATATATATTCGCAGAGGTCAATATGTAGCCTTGACAGGCGAGGAGCCCTCTCCCATTGCTAGGGATGCGGCTCAATCCTTTTACATCTATAGATGATTTGACGCTTAAGCAACCTCTGCTGTTGGAATACTCCCTACGGCCCTGATGCTTTATCAAACGTGTTATCACGATCATTTGATTTTAATACAGCCATTTATTGCTGCGTAGTATATATTAATAGACAACAGAGGCTGCGCTAACGGGTAAATACGATGGCAGAATAAGACAACCTGCTTGAATAAAATGCTCCTTTAACGCTAAATAGGCTAGAGACATTCCCGAAATTCTCTATGTCTTGAGAAGTGAGACAAAAAGTGTACACTTAGGATAGTGCAGATATTAAAGTATTTCGATGTTGAAGTTAGATAAGGGCGATTTAACTACGATGTTGCTAAACTTGCTGACGCAAGACCAGTTAACAAAGTAGCAACAAACATATCCTTCACCCCCAACATTTGATTCTCACCAAACATCCAATTAATATTGAACCTGGAGGCTGTTTCAGCCCAAACCCATGCTTTCCTGGTAGAACATCATAGTAGCCGAAAAAATGCCTGCCAATTCAGCGCCCGCGGGCCAAGGTCTGTCTCGCGGCATTCGTTGACTACTCTAACAAAGCTCTAATGGTTTATATTGCATAGCGGTCGATAGCAAATCGAAGAAGAAGAACAAGAAGAAGGGCGGAAAGGCTGGAGCGCAAAGTGAAAAGAGCGAGAATACTGGCGCAATCAATGCAGATTCTGAGAAGGATGGGCGGCATGAAGAACAAGCTGACATGGTATCTCATGCCCACCCTGTTGCAACAGCACCCACCAGAGACAAGATACTAAGGAAATCTTTCATCAAATAGGAACCTGACCATGCTACAATGAACGGATCGCAAGAGGCAGAGTCGACCACCTCAATCACAGAGAGCCTCCAAGATCTCTCCACTGAAGACCAAGGATCACGCTTAAATAAAAAGCAACCGTCTCAAAACAAGCAGATCAACCCTAAAAAGAACGAAGATGACGATGGAGGCGCCGATGATAGATTCAGTGTTCTCGTGAGGGACCGGGATTCCCTTCGTGAAGAAGTAATCGAGATGCGTCGTTCCCTCGAAGAAATACAGAGTAAACATGACGAGGAGATGGAAACTATACAAGAGAGGCTTCGGGTCTCAGAAAGCCAGAAAGAACAGGCAGAATCGCAGTTCCACAGCCTGTTAGGGAGGGTGAACACAATTAAATCTCAACTGGGTGAGAGGCTAAAAGCCGATGCCGTAGGTCTCTACTGATATTATGCAGGCTTTTTATACGCAGGCTAATCCATGTTATAGGAAGAACTGACTCAAAAGAAAACACAGATTGAAGAATATGAGAGTGCAAATGCTGCTTTAAAAGCCGAGCTGGAGGTAAAATCTACGCATATATCTTCTTTGGAACGCGACCGCGAACAACAGTCGAAAGAGCTCTCTAGTCTGCGAAATAGAATAAACCTTACTCAGCAGAATTGGGTCAAAGAGAGGGAGGAATTACTGGCGCAGGAGTCAGAATTGCGAACAGAATTTGAAGAAGCTAAGCAGGCAATGCATAGCTGGGAAATAATCGCCATGGAGGAACGATCCATTCGAGAAAGTCTTGGAGAAAAAGTAATAGACCTAGATGAGCAGCTATCGACGCTTAAAACAGACTACGACAAAGTGACTTCTGATTACAACTCTCAAGGGGTGGCTGTTGAAGGACTTCAGAAGGCATTAAGGGAAATCCAAAGTGGTATGAATATTCCATCTCAACTGTCACTTTTCATGAGCCGCCATATACAAGTTACTAATACTTTTCATGTAGCCCGAAAACAAGAATTAAGGGAGCTGGTCGAGAGTACCAATGCACAAGTGGAAGAGGTTCGGAAGAAACTAGAAGATGCTGAGAAGCGTGCTGCTCAAGCGAATGCTGCACTAGAGGAGACTCAAAAGAATCTTGAACGAGCACTTCCGTTTGAGAAAGAGGTTAAGGAGAAGAACCTGCTCATAGGCAAACTCCGGCACGAAGCTGTTACCTTGAACGAGCACCTAACGAAGGCTCTACGCTTCCTGAAAAAAGGGAAGCCGGAAGATAATGTGGATAGGTATGGGGAATTTATGGCTACTTTGGTTCTGCTCCTTGCTGATAGCTTATAGGAACCTTGTTACGAACCACTTCTTACACTTCCTCTCACTCGACCGATCCGATCCGAAGAAGTTCCAGATATTGCAGCTTATAGCTGCTCTTTTAGCATGGGATGACGGTATGTACTAACTGACCACCAGTTATTAAGTCAATTTTTGTATTTATTTTAACTCTACCTCCCAGAACAACGAGAGCAAGCTGGTCTTGCTCGCCCCGGTGCCTCGGGGGCATATAACAACCTCAGGGCTCCGCGATCTCCATCCGTGTTCAAGACTCCTAGTTCGCCTTCTCTAGCAACTGGGTATTTTGGCAGTAACACAGACACCCGAAAAGAGTCATTGGCAGAGCTGTGGTCGAACTTCCTTGAGCAGGAAGCCCAAACAGAGGGAAAGCTACCTCAACCTGGAACTGAAAGCCCCTTAGACAAGATGGCATCATGACCAAAATTGCTTATATGTTGTTCCAGCATATTTCCTTATTTTTTCCTCCTTTTTCCTTCTGTTCATTCTTCTTTACCCTTTCCCCCTTTTCTCCACGGCCATGGAAAGCAAATGAGATATGAAAACCACCTTGTATGAAGCAGGGGCAGCGTGCTTAGTAATTGGATATCTGCATAGTATGACATTTTACTTTTAAAACATGGAACTTGTTTCTCTTCATGCAACTTGTTCGCCAAGAGAGAGGATGATATTTTATATCAGGAGGGGTGGCGGAGTACTGTTGAACTGTGATACACCATTAGTCAGGTTCAAGTCTTCATCTCGCTGTTTATTTCATCCATTTGCATATAGCCGCATTGTTGCGCACATGGCTTCCACAGGTAAATGCAGACCTACGCCCCGTCTAGGAGTTACGATGCGTCTTTGCTGATGCTAACGGCGCCTCCCTGTATCAGCTCAAAGCCTGCGGCCCGTCGTGATATCTGGGCCGTCTGGCACAGGGAAATCAACCTTACTCAAGCGCCTCTTCGCCGAATACCCAGACAAGTTCGGGTTTTCAGTATCTCGTCAGTGGCCTCGCCCCTTTCCCTGATAGTCCCCGCCATTGAAAATAAGATATTGGCAACAAGAACGTTTGCGGAGAAGTACTTTCAGCTAATGTAACGCTTTCTGTGCTATATATATGTACAGACACGACTCGTGGACCACGACCAGGTGAGCAAGATGGCAGAGAATACCATTTTACCACCAAGGAAGCTTTCTTAAAGCTCGTTGACGAAGGGGGGTTTATCGAGCATGCCCAGTTCGGCGGTAACCATTACGGAACCAGTGTGGCAGCTGTGAAGCATGTTGCAGACCAAGGAAGAATATGCGTGCTGGACATTGAGATGGAGGTAAGAATGTTCTATACCGAACAGAAGAACAAATATATACTTGGGCTTACTTTAATTCTAGTAATTTATGCTAACTTTCTGGGTAGGGTGTGAAACAAGTGAAACGCACCGATCTCAATGCCCGATTCCTCTTTCTCGCTCCTCCCTCTGTTGAAGAATTGGAAAGGCGCCTACGTGGCCGTGGTACGGAGACAGAGGACAGCCTGCAAAAACGACTTGCTCAAGCTCAGGTTGAACTTGAGTACTCCAAACAACCTGGCGCCCACGACAAGATCGTTGTCAACGATGAGCTTGATGCAGCATATCTCGAGCTGAGAGAGTGGGTGGTAGATGGCGGGAGGTTTGGCTCGCAGTAGCTACTCATATCCCCTATTGTCCAGTATGCTGCCTCAAAGGACGATCTTTAATTACCACTCCCCAAGGAATTCTAAATGCAGAATACCCATATAGATATGCTTAATATACACTACGCATGGATGCATAGACGCACGAGTCCTGAGGATGGAAGTCTCTCTTCTACGGAAGATTTATGAGATTGACTACAGCGCTCCTAAACTCTCTTGCGACTGGCTAATAGAACGCACGTAACAATATTAAAAAGTAGTGTCAAATGAAATACGGGATAACGAATAATAAAAAAAGAAAGAAACGGGCATAATGTTGATGTCGCGGGGTTAATCGAACCCGTAACTATGGCCCGTAGAAGATTAAGTTGTTGGGTATCATGTTCCACGTTAACTTGAAACCCTTGAGAAGGGAAGCGTTGGTGTTTGCAAAAGCTTAGTTGCCGTTCATTGTCATTCTTTGAGAGTTGCGGCTCAGTTCCCTGTCAGCAGCAGGGCTAATGGGGCGACTTCCAGAGTGGCCTGTTGCGCTGCTCTCCTTCAAGGCCAGAAGCTGCTTGGCACGGAAAGTCTCATAGTGTATCTGGCTGGTGGTTTCGATCAGGTCCTGGAGGTGGGTGCGGGTGAGGAAGTTGCGTAGGTACACGAATTCGCAGTGGTTCTCGTCTTCAACGTTTATCACACCCCAACGGTTCTGACGGCCACGAACTTGCTTTCCGCCAACGATAATTGACTTTTCACTACCAACAACAGCAAATGGAATGATGTCCTAGGGAACGAAGTTTAGTTGGGCTTCCCAAGTGTAGCAATATGGAGGGTAAAATGAAAACTACCTTGATCTGTGCATTGACGGCACGTTCTTCATCGTCAAGCTCGTCATTGTCATAAGGGTACATCTTGAGGTTGTGGAAGGCAAATTCTTCCTTGATTCTTTCCTTGAAAGCGAGGCGCTCTTCCAAGGTGAGGGAATCGGACTTGGCAATAACTGGCACAACATTGACAACGTCAGACAGCTTCTTGAGGACGACGATATCAATTGGTTTTAAGCTACAGTTTTACAGATTAGTAAATAGTGCATTGCCAAACTCAGGGGTAGTTTTTTTTGGACGTACGCATGCCCGGATGGCTGGATAAAGAAGAGGCAGCAGTGGATTCTGGTGTCCTGAATATACCGCTCACGCTGAGCGGTAAGTTCCTTGCGCAGGTAGGCGGAGTGTTGGTCCTTGATATACTTGACGATGGGGTCCCAGCTATAGAATCAGAAACAAATATTAGCTTCCCACGATTGTTCCCTAAGCTGTGGGTTTGTTGACATACCATCTATCATTGTTGACTTGGTCTCCGTATCCAGGGGTATCGACAATGTTCAATCTCAGGCGTACACCGTTCTCCTCGATGACTATCAAAAATTGATCAGTTGTGGCCGAAACGGGGGGTTGCGCTGTATCAGGGCAACATACTGTGCGACACAGTCTGGATCTCGGTGGTCGAACGGACTGGCTCATCAGGCGTTAAACGACCCTTGGAGTCAATAAGATGCGAGGCAAAGATGGTGTTGATCAAGGTCGATTTTCCTAAGCCAGTCTGGCCTTTTCGTTGAGAGACAAAATGTATTAGACTTGTGATCTCAGGAACAGGGGTAAACAGTATATATATAATACGATGATGACGCTTAGCATACCAACGCAGATGACATTAAACTGAAACCCACGCTTCAACAGCTTCTTCTCAATCTGCGAAGTGATGCTGTCGAAACCAACATGGCTTCTGGGGAAGACTGTGTCGGTGGGAGACGCAGCGGCAGCCATCGTTCTGCTAATTGAAGGTTATAATATTATCGATATAGGGGGTTCGAAGCAGTGTGAGACGAGCGATTGGGAAGAATCTAAGCTCTTCTGTAGCTTGTAGAGCGGGTTGTAGAGGGAGAGGACAAAAGCTGTGTGCGGTGGTTGACTGTTTTTTTTTTTTGTTAACCCCCTTTCTTCACTTTTTGGTTGCAAGGTGGAAAGAAACCGTTTGCGCGCGAAGCTTTTTTGTTTCTTTTCGCCGTTTTTCCCTTCTTCGACTCGGACGTCAGGGGCAACTCTTGTGCTAGGCTGCTTTGGGACTAGCCCCAGTAGCAGACCAATCAGCTGCTTTTCCTTCTTTGGTTCAATTTGGAGGACTTTTTCTCTCTGTCTCTCTTTGCATTGAAACCGATTTGAATGAGCAGGTCGAACAGGTTGGGCAGCTTCACTCACGGAGATACCAGAATGGCGACACTCAGACTCGCCGGACCCTCTGTGGGGTTTCTCTCTTCCACCGTCTTCACGCGATCACCGGGCATATACGCAAACACCAACGCCCCAATACTATCTTCCCTTGCCTCAAAATACCATGCGTCCCGATACACAATTGCGGCTGTGCTGCCATCCCTCCTGTCAGATATCTGGGAGTCGGTCCTCCGCGCTGTGCCCAAGAAGAAAACCTCACACATGAAGAAACGACACAGACAAATGGCAGGAAAGGCCCTAAAAGACAACATTAGTCTCAACACATGTCCTGCCTGTGGCAAGACCAAGAGAGCACATCTGCTCTGTCCTCATTGCGTTGCCCGTATGTCGCTATTGACGGCCTCTTAATCTGCTTTTATTCCATATTCTTTTGATGCTAATTGGTCCAAATAGAGGTTAAGAGACAATGGAACTCCGAGAGCCCTGCACGCGACATATAACACCGTATTAACTGGTCGATTATATATATTTCTTATGAGTCATTGGGTGCAAAGTTCAAGGGCAGGCTTTACTATAAGGAAAGCGGGCGTTTGGTTATTTTGTACTATACCTATTTGCAACTATACACCCCGGTTGTTTGCTTGTTTTAACTCGGTAGGAAACTAGCCTTCCAGGTCGGTACTCTACGGATTTTGTACGGCAAGACACAGGATTACCTTGTAGTATAGTCAAAACTATGTAATTTATGCATTGCAATCTGGAATGGTGATGGTGGTTATTAAACAGATGATTTTAAGGTTGTGGAGCTAGCTGCGTCTGCCATTGTAGTGGGACGTTCGTTCTGGCACCTTTTCCTTACATTCTATCTGCCTCTCGCTCAAAGACAGAACCCCTATCAAACACTTTGCATCCGAGATAAAAAAATATTCAAAGTTTATAAGAAATCGATACCGCCCCGTAATACCCTGTTTAATATACGGACAAAATGGTAAATGGGCAGATTTACAGCTACCCTCTACGTCAATATGCTAATTGCGGATGCAACAGTCTAAACAAATATTAGGCCTGCATACAATAGAGAATGGTAAGTAGAGCTTCAGAATACCTGCAGTGAGCAAATTAATTTAGTTTCTGACATATAATAGCGCACGTTTCTGAGATTTTCTCTCTCGCTGTGACCCCTACCCAGATATTATCAGCTTCTGGTGCTTCCTCGCTCAAGGTACATATAACCAATGAGGAAGGATTTGGCATAGCTCAGTCAATTCCAGGAGCCCATAAGATTGGCTGTCACCACCTGGCAATTGCAGATGGGAACAGATGTTTTGCGGCCAGTGTTGGCTTCGGAGGAGAAGTAAAGCTATGGCATTACAAGGATGGGATGTGGAACGAGGAGTACAAAGGTAGTAGAACTCTCATGTAACTGATATTTTTGCGAACACAAGCTGATTTCGTGGAAGATAACAGGGAAATAAAGGACATATGGGCTGTCGTTTTGTCCGCAGATGCACGTTATCTCGCTGGCACTACCCACGATGGCTGTATTAAGGTCTGGGATCTTCAGAATAATCTAGAAGAAGCATGGAATCTCGAGACAAGAGGCAGCTTCGGCATGTGCATTGATATGGTAATACAAGTCAATCCATTTTTTTTTTCTGCAAGATATATCAAGCTAATGTCCCTCAAAAGGCGCCAGATGGACGCTTAATTGCATCAGGCCATCAAAGCGGGAGCGTTTATGTCTTTGATCTCGTAGAGGGGCGGATGCCGTTCTCTCTCTCAGGTAATTCCCATATTACTTGATCTATCACGGGCCTACATAGCTAATTTATACAGGACTTGCTGCGCCTGTTAGGGCGGTATCATTCTCCCCTGGAGGGAAACTACTTGCTGCTGCTGGAGATTCTACAATGATCATACTTTATGAAATAACCTCTGGAGAACAGTTTGCAACTCTTGCCGGCCATGCAGCATGGATCATGTCTCTCGACTGGAATGAATCTGGTGAATTTCTCTTAAGCGGGTAAGTGTGCACATCACATGCTAGACAGCCAGGCTTATTGACAGTTTTGATTAGATCCTTTGATGGTAAAGTGAAAGTGTGGTCTATTGAGAGGAAGGCTTGCGTTGCAACTCTATCAGAATCCGACAAGGCCATCTGGAGTGTCAAATGGCTACCAAAAGTGGGCAAAGCCGAACGGTTTGCGGCGGCCGGTGCTAACCAGAATATAACATTATATCGAGAAGCCAATAGTGGCTGATTATGTGACGATTACCGCCATGGTTACTGGCAATATTCTCGGTCTTGAGTGGATTTCAGATTGAGGGCAATTAATGTATCAGTATCGTTATGAAGCGCAAACACAAACATACCTGTCTGCGATTATATGAATAAAAGATATTAAGAACCAAGATTTCCTGAAAAGCGCCTAATTTAGAGCCGCAACAAAAAGCCTCCGCATTCTTTTAAGGAAAGCACCAAAGTCCCTATCGTCATTCACGATTTCAACAACCTCGGCGATGGCTGATTTTTCAAGTTTAGGGCGACAGTGTAAAACTTCATATTCATGGCCAGCAGTCCCGAGTTCAAACCAGGCCTCTCTATCCCAGTCCTTCTCTAGTAGATGCGTATAAATGATCTTTAGCCGATCTTCTCTCCCAGCCCCCTCAATCCGCAGACATAGTAGATCTTGCCAAAATTCTAACTCTGGAACATTTTGACGTGATTGTAGCTCCAGCTGCATAGCATGGGCCCTTTGCGCTTCCAGTCTTTGGTTTATACTTCTTTGAGTTTCATTGATCTGCTGCTGGAGCCTATCACGGATAGCCGATCGAGAATCGCGTTGCTGGCTGATTTGGGATATGGCAGCATGCATCTCGGCAGCTTCTGCGCTCTCTTTTTGGAGGGTTTGTCTGTGTGTCTGTAACTTTAGGTTGAGTATCTCAATGTCCTTCTCTTTCATCCGCTGGTCCTCTAAATTCGCATGCCCTGTTAGAACGGGAACTCAGCAATTTGGTATTAGCGTGGGCGCAAACCTTGAAGTTCAGCCAGATCAATATAAAACTGATTTCTCTCTTCTAACACTTGCTTTCTGCCTCTTTCAATAAAGGAGTCAAATTTCTGGGAAAACTGCGTCATTCGAGAACGCAGCTCTTCGAATCGAAAGTTCAGAGTCGGCAGCTGATCAGCCATTGACGGAGCATCGGCTGTTGTAAGCGGTGGCCGAGCGGTTGAGGAGTAAGGGTCAAAGGCTGCCATGCTGGATATTAGCCGTATATAAGACTACAGTCGTTTGGGTATTCAATGTTCAATCCGACGCTCAAAAGATACCCCAAGGTTGTCGCGTTTGTTGATGAAAGTAAACACTCAATACCTAAAACGGACTAGCGCTGATCATGTTTCATCGGAACTCGGCTAATCATAAACCCGCGTTAGGTTTTTTTTTTGAACGTTTCTTCTTTTGGTTCTTAGAAGAAGACGAAGACATTGACAGCTTTCTCCACGCCATATCAAGAGCACATAATGAATGTGCCACATCTGAAACTCCAAGCCTCTTTATATGACATTGTGTAGACATGTCTATATATTGTTCTGTAATTTCACTGTATACATATACGGTAACTCCAGAACCAGATGGCTGAATATCTGAATGAAGTAACACTCGGCCACCTGGGGAAAGCAACGTATGTTGAGGAGCAACAGGAATGGAAATTCTCGCGTGCGCCCAACCAAGGTATGGCTCCTGGTATATCTCTTCACTTGGCATGTTTAGTAACATATATTTGTAAGGTCTCGTCTTCAAACTGGCGAGCGAACCGAATGTATTCTCGCACGACAAAAACATAAGCCCCCCCTGTCAAGTGCCTATAAATGAAAATTCTGTGACGAAAAGAACAGAGCAGATGGTGTTAAACTTATATCCAGAGTTAACACATGGACTCTCAAACATGGTCCTCGAGGAGGCAACTTCACGAGCTATTACCTCCGCCGTGTCTAGTTTCGAGTCAAATGGCCATGGCTGCTTAGCCTTTGGGGAAATCGAGCGTATGATAGACGATCGCATAGCAAACCAAACAATACCAATAATGGTATGCTTGCATGGAAATTCGAGTTCATCTCTCACGCTATGTCTATATGACTTTGGCCAAGTCTCTCTTCCTCCAGGCACCAAAGCTACTATTGATGATGGCCAGTCTGTGTTATGGACCCTTCCGGGTGGTCCAGTGCAACAAGTCTCCTCCTCAGAGTCTGTACAGGAACAAAACAAGTGTTTTGCAGCCAGGCTCTCTTTCTCCACTACTATTTTCAGCCCGGTATACCACCGCGTTCCGGTTCCAGTGAAGTTAAACGATATGGATAACTGCGCGGAGTCATATCTATTATCAAAGATTGACCCGAATCCTCTTGTTAATATTCTATGTGATCTGACCGGAGGCCATCCTCATGCCGCGGTTGCCTTTAACCCTTGGTACCAACGGCAAATTGCCTTGACGGACCGTGCAGGGAATTGGAGTGTCTGGGACCTACAACGCAGGCAACAGCGTAAAGCTGGCTGGTTTGCAGAGCGTGGGCCAAGCGGCTCCCTACGAATTCAAGAGTCAGAGAAAAATCTCAAGAACGTTGATCATTATGACGGCTGGGGCGAAATATTATGGGTTGGCACCATCCACCAGCTGTTGGTGTGTGATAGGCGAAATGTTTCCTTTTGCCGTATAGATGTACGTCCACCTAAACAGGAAGAATTTGATCTTGGTCTTGAGCTTCCCTCAGAGTGGATTCTTGACGTTCTAAGAAGTCAGAGAATACCTTCCCACGTATTTATATTGACCACGTTGAGAATATTCTGGCTGCATATACCACCTCCTGAAGACCCTCGCCTTACGCAAAACGATGAAACCCAGGCCGCAATTATTCTTCTCTCGTGGAGGCACTTTCGAGACCCTGAAGACATAAGTCTTCAATTAACATCTGTGTCTTTAGGGATAGGTACAATACTCCTAGAAACTTCCCCAGTCTACACTAAACTGACTATACCTTAGATTTCTTTATAGTGCTGTATTCACGTCTAAACCTCCTTGCAATGTCTTTCCAGGTTTTCTCGTCTTCTGATGAGCCATCCTACCCCGTTTCTATTTGTGACGCAAGGGCTATTCACTTGCCTAAAGCTAACAGCAAACAGCCAGCTCATGGAACATTGCAATCTTATGACACAGTTAACTTTTCTAGCATAGCCTTTAGAGATATAGGCGTTTCCCATTCACCTGGAGAAGATACTGGCGATTTCGATTCCCCGAAATTCGTCGCATTTGTGGGACAACTAGTCGATGGGAGATTGGTTGAATGCACATATGTAGTTACATCGCAGTGGGGAGAAATGCCCAGAGATAATATCTCTACATCGCAAGGTAGGAAGAAAAGGCCTTTGAAGGATCACACTAAACTTTTTAGTGAATGCGATTTTATTGTAGAGGATGGAGATAAGCCTCTCTTAATACCTGTCTGTCCACCAAATAAGTCAGCCAAACCTCAGGATTCATCTCGGCTCAGTATTCCAACATATGAAACTCGGGAGCAATGGCAACACCAATATTCTCTGGCTATACCTACTCTAGAAACCAAGAAAATTGCAGATTCTGTGGAATTTGGCAATATGCCCTTTTTTGGAGATTGGTTGAATTCACTATCCGAACTTGTTGCGAGTCTAATTTTGGCACCAACCACTACCCCAATGTCATGGTTAATGTTTGTGACCGTTCCATTTCTTTATCTTCACCACACTTACCCTTATATAGGTCCGAGACTGTTCCGCTGTCATTTTCGGTAGATGAAGCCGAGAATATAGCGAAAGGATTTGACCATTTTATCCAGAATTTCTCAGACCCTGGGGGTGACCTGTCACCTGGGTTTCAGATAGCTATGTTGCCATTGCCTTCTACCTCTTCATCCAATTTTTCTATAATGAAACCTGGCTCGATGAAAAATTTCTCCTTAATGGAACTCTATGACACGATGATTAGCCATTGGCTAGCCCCTTTACCAAATGGGATTCCAAACCGGCTCCGAGCATCGAACGAGAAAACCATCAGAGCAATAATCTCGGAACTCTGTCTTGCAGGCGTTGTTATATCCCGTTGTAAAGCCGAAAACGTCAACGGTGAGCGGGAAGTTGGGGACGCCTCTCGTATTAAGCCTGCAGCTCAGAGTTTTTCTGAGTTTAAAGATGAAGTTATTCAACGTTCCGGGGACATTTCTTCATCTCCATTCCGAGCAGAGAGCTTAAGTAGCAGCCAACGTGAGGTCATGTCTAGAAATACGCTTACTTGCCTCACGCGTTATACCACCATCAATTATCCGAGGCCTATCTCGCGCAAGACTGCCACAACAACCTCACATTGGGCCCATGGAAGTGACCCTAACCTATATGACTGGCAGGCTACAGTCTCTTCACAAGTCAACCCACAATCCGAAAATGAAAGAAATTCAAAACGGCGCAGACGGAAGGGAAGTGGGCCGTCATCATCTGCTGGGCAATCTCAGCGAAGTGTCTCCGCAGATGTCCCGATAGCTAGACCGTGGGGAAGCCAGCCAGAGATAAGTGCAGTGAACCCCGGTATAGGGAGTAGCCAGGCCACTGTAAGCGGTTTTACTATGACACAAGTTGAGCATGGTGTATATGGGAAGAGAAAACCGCTTTTCAAAGCGAAGAAAAAGAGACGAATTGCTGGATTTTGAGTAGAGTGGCTTATGCGTCTAGCCACATGGTTTGTTGTTACTCTATATGTTTATTTATAACGGGGAGAGTGCGAGGTGGTTTATACATTATTTTATAGTAGCCATGAATTTAATCCAGAAGTTTTGGCAAGAAGATATTGGAGATAATTCCTAAAAAATTGATTTCTATATATGACATGGTTTAATAATGCTATTGTACCATTACAATAGCCGTATCTTCTATCGGTGACCAAAAATATCTATGCTATCAGGACTCTCGTCCTCATCATCTTCGTCTTCTGTTTCCTCGTTGTCTGAGCTACCATCACTTCCGGGTTCAGTACCAGCATCACTGCTGCCAGCTAGTCCAAGTTTCTCCTTGATGCTTACACCACTCCAGAAATTGAAACCGCTAAAGCTTCCTCTGGCTAATCGCCCAGGCCCCCTGATTTGCGAAGTTGAGTTATCTATATCTTCTCTACGGCTTAATTCAAAGTAGTTTGTCACCACTGGCGATCTAGGTGGTGCTCTAGAATCATGAAGAAAAGAAGCTTGAGGAAGGCTACGGGCCTGCGTGCCTTGACCGTCAATATGACTCTCACTAAAGTGGTGGCCGGGTGTTTCAATAACAGAATTTCTTGCCCCGGTGCGGTGATCGTTGGAGGACCCGGGAAAGGGTACAGTCAGCCCTCCACTACTATCAGTAATGGGGTTCTGTCTTCCCTCGATAGGCCTCGGTGTGTCGTAACTACCATTCAGCAATTGCCTTTGAATGGTATTATATGACTCGCATCTAATACTAATTAGTAAAGGTTCACATGGGCTTTGGGTAAGACTTACACTTCACACTTCAAGCCTAACCAGTGGTATGGCACAACACTCTTTGCGTGGCAATCGTTGCAATGTATAACAGCAATAGTATCTTTCAGCTCAGGAGGCATTGGCTGGCTCATTATGGTGCGGTCGAGGTTCCTAAAGTTAGCCTCCATATTTTTAACGCTCTTGCTACAGATGGGGCAACGATATGAACTGCGGGAATGCTCAGAAAAGCATTTTTGATGTATGCTGTGGCCACATCGCATGAATATAACTGTATCTGGGGAGCTAAACATAAACTCTCCGCATATTGGACAGTCACATTTTGTTGAACGTTCAATGCATCTATGGGTATTTTGAATCGCAATAGGTATACATGCGGAACACGTCTATTAAGAAGTCAGTACGCCTGTAACGTGCATGAAGCGAGCAGACATTACCTGACAGTGGTAAAAATCTTTCCCTAGCCCCTGGCCAAGGCGGCAAATCCCACAATCACTGCAATGGTATATACTTTTCTCTGCATCATCGTCCCATAATTTACATATTGAGCAATAGAAAAAAGCTGCCTGGGCGCCACAGGAGTTGCACCACTGGCCTGCTGGCTGAGGAGAATAACACAGCATGCAAAGCATGTTTTCCGTCTTTTTTCGATCGAGGATGTGAAGCTCAGCTTCGTTATGGCAGAACCGACAAGGGTACCATTTTTTACAAGTAAAGCATTGGACCTTGACGTTTCTTTTGTAGTGAATGCAGCCTAACTCTACTGGGGTATCGCCTACTGATGGATCTTCAGAAGGGTCCATAAAAGGGACTTCATTCAGCTGATGGTCGTCAGCAGGCTTGCAGAAGTAGGTTCGTTCTAAATCATCCTGGGATAGGTAATATGGACTTCCAGATAAAATCGCGGCAGACGCTGGGCTAGACGAAGGGTTGCCCAACACCCGTCGATTCTTTGGGGATTCGGGTGTATGTGGGTTCTCATTGCCTTGAAGGGTGGATGTAGTAGAGCGCGATTTTATCGCGGAATAGTATCCTTCTGTCATGATATCATGCATTAACCGGGCTTTCTCCTGGCTTGAAATATCCAATTTCCATATAGCATGAATCCGCTTTCGCATTTCTACCGTGGCATCACCCTCAGTGAGTGATTTAGTGTGATCTTCATCCCATTCATGTTGATCTGAGTGGGTTTGTGGGCTGTTCTCGTCGTTGCCTTCGGGAAGTCTCTGGGGGTCAGGGCCCGGGTCCATCCTGCAAAAATTGACAGCACTAAAACTGCATTTCTCTATTTATTCCGCTCCGCCCAGTGCTACCCATAAACACATTTCATGTGGCTGGAACGAACGGTAGAACAGATCGATTTGTCCAAGGCTTTGACAGGTTTGAAAGCGGAGCATGCAATCAGTTATTGAACCTACTTAAATCGCAGGCTACGGTTAGCTCATTATTTTCAATTGATAAACTTTTTATATGCTAACCAGCGTCCATACATCCACTCTTTCGTCGTTAAAGTCCCCGTGTCTCATAGGCTGTTTCCTGCGCTTCCGATGACGGGATGGATAGCAAGCCGTTACCGTAGGCTTTGCTAGTTAAAAGTTGATAAAAGCAAAGAGGTAACAAAATTCGTTAGTTAATCTATATGGTTAACCCTGAAAAGGACTGGCGGCCGTAGTCCCAGCGTTCATGACTGTCTACAAGCTGAAACTGCTGTTGTAGAAGTACGATAGAAACGATAAGAAAGTAAAGTTTGGGCGGAAGGCACGAGCCATGCAAGGATTAGGAATGATCATGTGACAAAAGCTTATTACATAGTATGGCTATTTTTGCTGATTCTGTATCTACAATACAAGGAGTGTTGTAAATAATTATGTGCAAGAAATGAAGACGAATATCCGGGTATTCGAGACAGTGCTACCATCGTCGGCCTTCAGGCTATTGTTATCGTTCCTCTTTTGACGTTCCCGGCATCGTGAAAAGCGGGTGACCCTGCGGCATGGGCGGTTTGACCGTAAACATGTCAGGGTTTAGAGATTCCGGCATACGGCGCCATCCAGCTTCGGAGCTTATGGCACTCTTGTTGATGTACTTTCTAAGAATGGATCTGAATGAAACCGGGGAATGGGCCAGATTTTGAGGCTGTTTCACTTGAGACAAAGCTCCATACTTTCGTTTAGTAGATGCAACGTCCTGTTAAATTGTCTCGCACCGATCGATTGAGGTCTAGGTATTCTTCCAATAACCCTAGAAGCTCTGTGTGTTAGTTTGAAGCTGTAACAATCCGGAGGGAATAATATGTAGACTTACATTGGTGACGTGCATGCGATATGCGGTTGCTGCCAATACCGGACCATCGTTAACGTCTTCAAAATCTTGCGCTCAAGGCTTCCGGGTTGAGATGCGTTTTCGAGGAAATGTAGTGTATTAACAATCCGGCGTGGATTAAAATCTATATCAGTACCTTTTCTAAAGGATGATCGTAGAACCCAACGGACGACGTAGCGCGAAGGGCTTGAATACTTGATGGACTTTAACGCAGTACGGTATAGATGACGGAAGGCCAGAGTAACGCCATATTTGTAGGTACCTGACTCAAGGGCCTGAACCGTCAAAGTCATCTGCCCGTATCAGCGCAAGCCGCAGCTAAAGTATATCTCGAATGGGAGGATTGGAAATTAGAGCATGAAGCCATTTGAATCTTGATGCTGTTTGAATTTGTTTATCATACAAAAAAGGATAATTATTGCTTATGTAATAAACTGACTAGTCTCACGTGGTGATACTTGGATTCTCGACGCTGAAGATCATAGGTAAACATGTTAATATCCTTAAGGGAATAGTATGATGTGGATACTACGTGGATTAAATCATAATCTATCCCATATGGTCTAATGGTTTTACTCTGGGTTGATCAAATGTTAAGCTGTTGTAAGTATGTGTACCTGTTACGTCTTATTTTAGCATAAGTAAATATTTAGCCATTTAAGTACGACTAAAGGGAGTCGGAGATGAACTTAAGTATTAATGTATTAAAAAGGGTAATGAACCAATTAGCTAGCTCTCGCATTACGTTTCAAGGGAGAAAACGGAGGAATATCCAAGGCCTTATTTAAACCAAGTCGGCGATTGCGACGGTCGTTTTCAACGTGTTTCCCTTCTGAATTTGCAAAAGTATCACTCTGGTTTTTTGAAAGCGAGGGCTGCTTAGACAAAGTGCGCATAGCTCCAAAATTTCCATCAATCGATGGGTTTTCTCCAATAGTTTGAAGTACTCGTCGTTTTTTAGCAGGATCGGGAAGATCTTCACCTTCCGAGGACGGCTCAGTAGTATTTTTTTGTTTCTGAGTACGCTTTGTAATACGCGAGGCTGCGAGATTTGTAGATTTCAAGTTAGTATTGGATTTAGGGGGCTTCCTTTGAGGCTGGGCAATTGATTTGCGGGAGTTTGTGGTGGAGAGTCCGTTCTTAGGTAGGGGCAATCCCTTTACTTCTATTCTCGAGGGCCCTGATTCCGCAAATGAAATGCCATCACCGTCGCTTTCGCTCGATGTAAAATCGACCTCAAAGTCATTGCTCTGGCGGTTAAGAAAGGGGGTTATAGAAAATATTGATTTGTCACCAGGGGCTGCAGCTATCCTGGTTGGTAATTTCGACAGTTGGTTCGGTCCTGGTGTACCTATAGAAGGGTCCTCTCCGAAACGTTGTTGCAGCGGAGGATCTCCTGACGGTTCTATGAGATTTTTGTTCTGACCTCTCGGTTTCGCCTGCTTTTTCGGTAAGGTGACGGTTGCGCCTTGGGCATGTGACTGTGATGTTTGATTTTGGGCAGTCACATTAGTATGCTCAAGGCTCGTTGCTGTTTTCTCGGGGATATTGGAAATGCGCCCTTTTTCTGATTTCCGTTTTGCATCACGAAGTTCAACTTCAAGCGAGCTAACCTGGCGCTCTAAAGAGAGTTTTTCGGAAAGTACAGATTGATAAGAGCTATTCTGTGAGCGAAGCCGTGTGAGTTCAGGCTTCATGCTCGAGACCTCTCGCGCTAGATTTGCATTGTCGACCTGGAGCTTGCTCATTTCAACAGAAGATGACCGCATAGATGATAATTCCGCCTATTATCACGTCAACATTTCAATGCGTCATTGCCAAACCGTTCGGATGCAAGTTATCTTTAGGGAATTAAACTAACCTGCAGAGTATCTATCATTTTGGTCTTTAGCTGAAATGATCTGTGTAATTCATCCATGTCTTGTTGCATGCGGATTGACTGTTCTCGTATCCTTGAGTTCTCAGTCTCTGTATCTTCCAGCTGCCGTTTTGCCTGGTATAGTTGTTCGCTAATGGTGTCTTTGTCATGTTCAGACAGCAATAATTGCAGTCTGGGCAGCCGTGCATTTTCATTAGCTAAAAGCAAACTTGTACAATGTAGACTCCTCTCGAATTTTGCTTCAAGCTCGGAGAAGCAGTGCTAGTCATTGAATCAGTACGCGTTATTCGACTTTGTTTACAGGCTAGGTTAACTTACAATCTCCATATCTCAGAATTCTTTCAATCAAGAAAAGGGGAAAATATGAAGAAGAAGATAAAAAATACTTATTTATGCGAATTCAAGAAATATTCCTTCATTAAGCCATATGACGGGTGAAGATACGTCGTTATTTGTGCTGCTTAAAGAGTTGCCCATCTTCATCGAAGTCAAACATCGGTTGGTGCTTACCTAATCACTTGTTAACCAAACAGCCAAGATGACACCGTTTCGTCACGAAAGCGTTTTTATAGCAACACCATCTTGACAACGAGCCAAAATGAGGTTGTTCTCTCTAATTTTATGCGCAATATGGCCAATTGGCATTGCCCTAGGCGCCTCCTCAAAGGATGGAGATAAATATCTGAAATTCAAGGCTGCGTCAAGATCGTCTGGCGCAGTGTCGCTGGACGACGCAAGCTATCTTGAGCTCACAGCCGCGCCACGAGACTACCATACAATCGTCCTTCTAACGGCCCTTGACCCGCGCTTTGGATGTGATATTTGCAAGATGTTCCAGCCAGAGTGGAATCTTCTCACTCGGACGTGGAATAGAGCCAAGCTTGGAGAATCAAAGGTGGTGTTTGGCACACTTGATTTTACAAGTGGAAGAAGCACATTCCAGCAGGTAAACAATGAAGCCTTTTGCTGTTATGGAACCCAGATACTGACTCTTATAAGCTCAAACTTCAAACTGCTCCGATTATCCTGCTTTTCCCCCCGTCTACGGGCCCAGCTTCCAAGAACAAGCCAGCTCGATACGATTTTACCAAGTGAGTGGGGGTTCCCAGGGAGGAATTAATACGAATAACCATTGACCTTTTTTTATTTTATTTCTCCCAGTCCGGTTACTGCAGAACAGATGCATTTATGGATTAGCCGTCACCTCCCCGATGTTCCGAAGCCCAACCTGGTTCGGCCCGTAAACTACTCCCGAGTTATTGGGATGTTGATAGGAGCACTGGCCGTTATATCCATTGTAACCGTTTCGTCCAAATACATACTGCCCCTTTTGCGCAGCCGAAACCTATGGACTGCACTGAGCCTCCTTGCCATCCTCCTTTTTACTACCGGACACATGTTTAACCATATCCGCAAAGTCCCATATGTTGCTGGTGATGGTAAAGGAGGAATCAGCTACTTTGCTGGTGGTTTTCAAACTCAATTCGGACTAGAAAGTCAGATTATAGCTGCAATCTGTGAGTCTCCATTTCTCACACCCAGCCCTCTGGCTCGGGCTCTAACCTATTTGCTAACGAGTTGCCCTAGACGGCGTTTTGTCCCTTGGATCAATTGCACTTGCTATGAAAGCACCCCGGATCTTGGACCCTCAGTCCCAGCGAGTCACTATCATTCTCTGGAGCGCCGTGACCTGGGTCATGTACAGCTTCCTCATCAGCGTCTTCCGCGGGAAGAATGCTTCATACCCTCTATCGATTCCTCCATTCTAATTGCTTGCCATGTAGATTACGTTATGAACTGGGTGCATCTATGGTAGCTCCCTGCCTTAGCACCGCCTAAAATGTTACTTTTTTTTTTAATGAGGATGGATATAAGAATGGAATTGAGGTATTGCATTCGCAAAGACAGCTTCTATTATAGGCAATTGCTTGTACCGAAACACTTGAAACATAGCCTCTGTAGAGGCCTCTAATGAAGGAGAGGTGTATTGTCATAGTCTTGATAGATTATTGAAGGGTGTCAGGGACACAGGCCGTGAACAACCTAAACTATGGAAAACGGAAAGAAGCAATCGACTAAGGTACAAAGGGGAGTATGATAGACAGCCGGGAAACACACATCCGGTCTGACATCAAATGGCATGAAATATGGGTAAACGGGCAATGCCGTACGCGTAAGCCCATTTGCCATAACTGATCCATCACTCAACGGTGTGGGATATAGCCTTCACCGACTAATTATGACTTTCCAGCCCCAACGGCATCCCCGCTGGAGCTGGAATCGGTACGTTCAAGATTCGTGCCGTTCTGTTGTTCATCGTCTCCAGGAGCCTCTTCTTCAAAGACGGGTTCGGGCTCATGGGTCTCAAACTTGGTCTTGAAGTCGGCGAGACCGTGGGTGCTGCTGTTCGATCGGCGGCGAGAGTTGGTGAATGTGTATCCGTAGTCATGTACCTCATCTCCGGAGCGTCCCCTGCGTAGAAAGGAAAAGAAAGAAATTAAAACAGGTAAGCATCAATCGTACGATATTCCGGCACTCCAGGCCCCAGTCAAGAAACTGGGCTGACTTTGAGTTTAGGCGAATGTGAGGGGGGGAGTTAGGTGAGAACCGCAGCAAAGGAAGAAAGAAGAAGCTGGAAGAGAAGACAACTTACCAGTTGCCTTTGCCGCCGCCATCCTTCTTCGTCTTCTTGGGGTCTGCGTCGATGTGTCCTGACTTTGCAAAGTAGCGAGGAAGATGCTCTGGAGGGCTGTACGTGTCGTCATGGGCAGCAGAGTGGTCCCGGTCGTTCATCTTATGAGAGCGAGTCACTAGCAAGGCCGTGTTAGCCGGATACATTCGACACCCACGGTGCCACTTACTGGTGAGTTGTAGCTGTTGTTTCTGGCGGGAGTTCCGAGCTGCAAGTTGTAGTTGTAAGTGTCAAGTTCTTGTCTTCCAACTCTTCCTCTTGTCCTTTTTATATAGTCCGATTTAAGGCTCGTGACCGCCTGCCGGATTAGCTAACCAAGGAACCCACTTTTTACCCCGGATTTGGTGGCGTCACTCGTTTTTTTTCTTTTCTTACTATGTAAAAGCAAGAAGAAGTCGATGGCAGAGAAAAGACGGGTTGGCGGGATCGGATCGACTCAATTAACGGGCCCCCCCGGAGTGTGGATGGGGGTCACTCCTTAGATACATCAAACCAAAGGAAAGAGACACGCTGGTAAAAGTACATGTGAAAAAAAAAAGGGGTAGAGACAAAGAGAGTGTGAGAGCGACAGAGAGATGGATGGCTATGGATCATGTTTCTACCTCGGGAACGCCATGTTCGATAATCCACGAAAACCAATGGTCGAGCTTCCCCTTCTCTATGTAATGTTTCAATAGACTGTTTTCGCCGTCAAGCTCTGTGGACAGATGGCTTCGTTGCTCAGGAAGCAGCCGAGCGACAAGCTTGTGTGGAACGTCCACGCTATCAAGGATGTCTGTGGGCCGGTGCAGGTGGTTCGACTCGCTGTCGAGTCCAAGTCCTGTACAAAGACGAAAAAGCCGTTAGCTAGCCTATAAATATGTATAATGGTACATAGGTACAGGGTACTCACCGTTGGTATAGTCCATTATGGTCTTAAATAGTGCAGTGGAACGTATCTCGGCCTCGAGCTCCTCGTCCGTTTTGCCCGCTGTGGCACTGATCCGCTCCCAGTCGTCCCGGATCATGCAGCGCCGCCAAACAATCTTCTCCAGGTTCTCACGGTAACCGCTGTCTCCCTTGATAGACCCCCCTAGGTTCAACGCACGGAGGGCAAGGCTGAATTCATGGCCCGCAACCTCGTTGTCTCCCCCCTCCGTTACGGGGATCGGGTCCATCAGGGTCAATAGGTCAGCCAGTTCGTCTCCCTGGACTGGACATCTCGTCACGAGCTTAGCTAGTCCGCGCTGGAGGGTCTCGCGCAGGGCAGGCTTGGAGCGCACGACGATGTTTGCGAACTGGTCGTTCGCAATCTGGAGTCGCGCGCTTTCGTCGATGGCTTCGTTCAGGTGAGGAAGGTTGTCATACACAGACTCCTGTATGGTTGCCAGCTCCGTCTCATCCTCGAAACAGCTCAGGTTCACCTGCAGCCCAGCTTGAGTCTCCCGCGCCGCCAGAGTGGAAAGTTTTGCCAATGCAAGTTCCACTCTCTTGCTCCATAGGTTAGTTTCGTGTTGGGTCGCAAGCTCAGTCAGAATCTTCGCCGCGTTGTCGTAGTTGTGCTCCCCTAGCACTTCGTTCATCCAGGAAAGCTTTCCGTACCCCGGCCTCTTTCGTAGGAATCGGGTGACGTCGTCTTTATACTCCCGCATAATCAGCAGCATGGCCGGCTGACCGGCGGTTATCTGTCTTGTGAAGAATGCATCGGCCCAGGGCTCTCCATATTTAACAAAGTAGCTATCAATCCTAGACCGCCACTGTTTCAAGGCCTCCTCGCGTGGCCCGGGAATTGCTCGATCCACCGCTTTCTGGGGATGCTTCCGGTCAATCTTATCATGAACCTCGACCATCAGCTCCACCAGTGCCGTCATGTCATTGAAATTCTCAGCTAAAGTTACAGCCTCCTCTAAATGTCCGATAGCAGCCATTTTGTAGAGCTGAGGCTTGCGTCTTTCGCGATGTGACTTTTCCAGGGATTTACCGTCATTCTGGATCTGGCGATCTCCACTCATCGCGCACCATTGTCGGCGCTCCTTGTAAATTTGTGAAAAGACCTCAAACTGCCTAGAAAGATTACTCTCGAGGATTTTAGCCGGAGTGTCCTCGGCTTCTGGATCACTGTTCTGTGGTCTTTGTCGCATCCACTGAATACATGTATTCAGTTCAGTGTCCAGCAGGTTTTCGGTCTCGTCGTAATTGACATCTAACGAGGTCCAAAATTCGGGCATCTCAGCAACACGAGGGTTTGTAAGCGACAGCGAAGCATCGTCGATTCCGTACAGGCGTGCATTCTCTCGACGGAAACTAAAGGCAGACTCTAACGCTGCAAGCGAGATCTCGCCTGCCTGCCAGACCCTGTCGATGAAATCCGGGGTCACACTCTGGGGTTTGTTATAAGCGACTCGAATCCCATTCATTATCCACGGGATGATATGTTCCATCTGCCAAGTATCATAAATGAACCAATGTCTGATAGGGTCCTCCGGCCCATCCTTGTCCTTCGTCACGCTCTTGAACCGCTCTCCCATAGTCTCGATCAAATGTCCAAGATACAGGTCCTTATCGGGATACTTTTTCTTGAGGCCATTGTAGAGAACCCAGATTGCCTTGCTCGCCGCCATCTTTTCCGCGTTCCAAAGAAGTTGCCACCGAGTCAAATAAGTGAGCTCTACTTGCCGGTCTTTGATGTATTTTGCAAGGGCTTGTAGGGCGTTGGACCGCAGCGTCATTTGGTGTTCTAATGACGCGGCAATCGAGGAAATATACCTTGAGCTCGAGCGAAGAATTTCGTCACTAATATCTAAGATTGCCTCCTCAAGGTGGGATTCGGAATTCAATTCCCTGTAATGGTGGAAATCCACTGGGTTACCTTTGGTATTTTCGAAGAAGACAATCTGCTCAAGCCGTAGTTTGGTGGTCAATTGAGTATCGTTTCCTCCTTCAGGTTCTAAGCGCAAATTAGACAGATGAACGAGCCCGTAGTTTTGAATAACCAATACACAGCAGGCTCGCCGATGCTCATCAATAACATCATCTAGAGCCGACCCAATAACCACATAATTGTCTCGTTCCCGGAACCGAATAAGGTCCTGAAATTCAAGAGCGTTACCATCGATGGACTCTTCATATGGCGCTAATGATACCAATGCAATCGCGGTTTTGAAAACTATAAAGGCGCTGTGTCCCGGGCTGGGGACATATATTTTTGGGGTAGAGTCAGAATCCTGCTCGGTGTACACATCGTCAACCTTGAAGGCCTGGTTAGCTTCCGGCTGGTTCTCTGGAAAAGCCAAGTCAACAACGAAATATGAAGTAGTCTGTCCTGTTACAGAGAATAGAACCCAAAGCGAGAGATCTTGCTCCGTATCGCTTGGACCTTTGCTGGTGTCTTTGAAAGCAAAGTCCAGAACTTGGATAGAGACAAGTGAGCCATTTTCAGACGTCAAGTCAGCCTCCCGCAAAGCTCTGCTTATCGCCTGCATTGTGTCCATGCGTATCTTCAGGCTACTGCCATTGTTCCAGTGTATATCCCAGATTTCAATCAACCCTGAACTAGTCGCAATGATGACCTCTCGTTGGCCACGCTGCGTCGATCTACCCGCCTTTGCGGCTGCGATGTTCCTTCTCCAAGAGGCGCCGCTCAGCACACTTCTCAATCCTCCAAATATCCCACCGCCCACGGCGCGGTTAGCAAGGTCAAGGAATCTTATGTTCAGGCTTGCTTTCCCATGAGCATCCATAATGGTAACGTGGGCAACGCGTCCAGTAGAAAGAGTAATGATGAACCCAGACGGCTCCGCGTTAAGTAGACCCGTCACAAATTCTCCGGACATCATTCCCGGTATCGAGCCGTGAATAGTGTTGCATTTCTGTTTTATCAATCCAAGAATGGCGCTGTTCGAAATGGTCTGCCAAAACGTTATTTTCCCCGTGGATGGTATCACCACCAACATTCCCGCATCGCTCGTTGACGAGCTTGACGTAAATGCGCCGAGTGGTAAAGGGTCAATATGTCTCGGAGAAGGTTCAGGTATGTTGAATATAGAGTAGTCTCTTGGGCTAATGGAGGAAGAACCTGACGAATAAGCCCAAGCGTAGGCATGCTTATGAGTGAGTATGAGGGTGTTCCCATGCTCTGGAGAAATAATACATCGGAATGGCGCTAGAATGATCATTCAGGTAGTTAATATGCGGTAATCTTCAGTATAAATCAAGGACAAGGAGCGTACCTGAAGATTTTTGAAGCGGTTCTGGTAGGGTGGAAACTTGGGTGGCACTGTAGAAGCCATTATCTAGCTGAGAGGTGGAAGATATTTGTTAGCTATACCCTCGCGCCCGCTATGATATATAAAAGTGGCAAAGAAAGCTTACTATAAGGGTTGAGCGTGAATCGTAGTTAGACCTGTCTGGCTCCTTACGACCGCGTACGGGGAGCTCGATGGATGTATCTCCGCCAGCAAGTGAAGGGCCACCATCAAGGTCAGCTTCTACCGCCAAAGGATGCGCTTGCTCGTAAGCTGCCGTGTCAAGCACCGTGTCATCGCTAGTTTCAGCATGCTTTGCTGACCGTTGTCTCTTTGCTCGAGGAGGTTGGAAGCCATCCTCTGATCTAGGTCTCTGTCGTCGTCGCGGTCGAATAGACGCTGAGGTCACGGAAGTGCTTCCCTGAGAAGAAAACATTGCAGCGGCAAAGCGAGTGACCGTAGCAAGAAATCTCTTTCTAAGAGAGGGAGAGAGAAAAAAGAAACTGAGGTCGAAATTGAATCTTCAACTGTCTTTTTTTTCATTTGTTTTGATCGCTTCCATAATTTCTTGGATGCGGCGAAAAAAGCGCGCTAGGCCAGCTACGGCTTAGTGCAAAGAAGCTTCACTTCAACTTCTACAAACATGGATATAGATATATAAATATATTAATGGGTAAAATTGATTGGGAACGCAGCTTTAAGGGTCATTGTATATACATCATGGCGCTCCTATGCTTATGGTACAGGCTGGTTTTTTTTTAAAAAAAAAAAGAATTGGTTTGCGAAATGAAACAGGCACAGGATGCAACGGAGGATATTGGATCTTATAGGGACAGGACGAAGGTCCTCCTATAGCTCCCGGTAGTCACTGGGGCGAGTTCTCTTCTGTCTTCCATGGTGACGGTGAGGATTAACCGGTTGTCTAAAATATGGAGAGTCTTCTTCATTCGCCAGCGGTTCGCTGATGTGGCTTCGCTGTTGATTTGAAAATGGGGTCATTCCGTACGGCTGTTGAAAAGGCTGTTGCATTTGATTCATTTGATTCATCATCTGAGGATTAAAGTTGTTGAAATTCATTCCAGCGTTGGGCATCCCATATCTTACTTGGGCCATCTGTGGGTTTGGACCGCCTATAAAGGGCCCTCCAACTCCGGCCATCATGTAAGGATCTGATGGTGTTTGACTCCAGTTATTGCCGCCATTATAATATCCCGACATAGCCATCATATCTTGTCCAGCAAATGGATTCATCTGCCCATAGCCGCCCATCATGGGTTGTGGCGGCATCTGCGGGAAAGGATTCATAGGGGCTGGCTGCTGGACATTATTCTGCTGTGGGTTGCTTTGAGGATTATTATTTTGGATGTTGTTCTGGGTTATTCCCTGAGAGCCGGCCTGTTGCGCGTTGCTCTGTGTATCACCGGTGCTCTCCCGTGATTTTTGCTTCTTCATAGCAGGCGCCTGGAGCTGGTCGTTTTCTTGAGTGCTCCCGTTTTCTGTCGCGGGTCGTTTCTTCGAGGCGCTTGAGTCTTGCCGCGCCTGTTCCTTGTTACTATCCTGCTCCGAGTCTACCTGTTCAGGAGCATTTATCTCGGCTCCCTCTGCCTGTTGTGCTTTTTCGGATTCAAACTCGGCCAACCGTTTAATGGCATCTTCATCAACAGATAGATTGTCAAGCAAAACGCCCTCAGCAGAACAATTTGGGCAGACAAAATCGCTCTCAATTAGGGCATTAGTGATACAATCACTACAATATGTCTTTTCGCAGCACGGTGTCTTTGTAGGCGCTAACAACATTCTTTTGTCAAGGGGACATAAAAGACCGCGGTCCTGCAATTGTTTGTTTCGCTCAGCATTGGCTGCTTCAGCCTCTGCTGCTTTGGATGCAGTTGCCTTCTCTTGATATAACTCCCATGAAGCTTTATCTGGTTGAGCAATAACAAAATCCCCATCAGCATTCACCATAACCCCTGTAAGTTTCGAGTTGTCATCCGAGCCATCTAGAGCAGGCGAATCTGGCTTCTCTACTTGTTTTTGGAACGAGCGAGGAATTCCTGTCGACCGTTTCACCCGATATCGACCATCGAATCGGGGATCATTATTTGTCGGACAGGCTTGAATCCAATGTCCTATAATATACGATTAGCGTATTCTACGAAACAATATATTAAGAATGTTTCACCTACCTTTTTCACCACATCGATAGCAAAGGTATCCTGGCGGGGGCGGATGATCTGGAACGGTGACGGGTTTCCCTCGGCCTCGGCCTACTACGGGAGTCATACTAGAGTAGGATAGTCAGCAAAAGATATGAATATTAGAGAGGATGAAGCATATAGACTCACTTTGTCATATCTTGTTGTTGCTCCTTCCACTGCGTCTCCTGCAGCCGAAACAACGCTTTAAGCTTCTCATCTTCAGATTGTATACTACTAATTTCGACAGCACTATCGCTGGTATCTTGACGTGTAGATGGTTCCGGATCATGTTGCACATTCCGAGATGTAACCGGCATCTTGCCTGACATATATCTAGCAGCGCCTCCTTTTCCAGGTCGTGCAGCCGGGAACCGGCGGGCAATGACAGAGGTGGAGCGAGGGATGATAGCTGTATCGTCATCATATTCTAAAATGTAACCAAGCAGCAAACGTTAGAAATATATGCTCAGATAATAAACGGATTTGACGGAATGGGAAGACTAACCTTCATTCGTATCCTCATTATAGATAGAAAGCTCGAACTCAGAACCATCTCCCAAGCGATTTTGAGTAATGATTTCCCGTTTCAGTTCGAAGACTGATATACCAGTTCCATCAAAGGTCACCCTCGAGGGTTCTTTCTGAGATTTGAACTTGAAATGAACAGAAGAGGCCATGATGGCTTGGAGCAAAGGCTGCAAAAATGAACAAATGTCTAGATTTTGAAACTGGGAGCAAGCTCGATGTGTAAAACAAACAGTAAAAATAGGAAACTCTTGCCAAACGAACACCTACTTTCGACCAAGAGCCAAACACTCGATAAAGAATGTTTTCAAGGGAGGGGAATGAGTGGAGGGACAGAGGAATGGGTCACAGCCGGTGACTCAAGCGTACAAAGAGGGGATGAGAATAGTAAAATGGAAGAGTGATTATTGGGGGAAGGGAGGGGGAAACGTTCCAAGAAAGAGGGAATAAAAGCCAGGTTACGTCGGCTTATTGCTTGAACCGATAAAAAAAGCTATTAGATGGAAGGTAAAGAATCAAAGCGGCGGAGAAGTCGAAAAAAACGCTGTCCTAAGTGAAGTGGCTCACCAAGGAGACGATAAAGGAAAACCGAGCGGCGAGGGAACAATTTTGTTCAATGATCAAACTGCGTTGTCTTTCTTTCTTCTTTTCTCTGTTTTCTTTCAGACCTGCTAACACCCGAGTGGGCTACAAGATGAAGATATCACATATAGCAACAACTGGCACCCAAGCCGCCTAGCGAAGGACTGAGAACCTCGGTAATAGCCAGTAAAAAAATATATTCCACACGGCAAGGGTGGCTGCACAGCTGGGAGTCAATCTCACACGATCAAGGGCGTAAGGGGTATGTTATTTGTCTATTACACTATCACAGAAAGTAGGGTGTTAGCAACGGTAGTAAAGGAAGAAACCGAGGGATATTTATGACTTGACATATAATAAATACCTTCACAAAAACACTGACATCAGGTAAGCCAACTTTGAAAGAGTCTTTCAGTTGGCTTTTTCGAGAAAGATGAAGTTGACGTTGCAAGAAAGACGAAGATGTTGGAAGTTGAAGTTGATAAAAAAAGAAAGAGAGAAAAAAAGAAAATCGCCATCACAGCACGTGACCAGAGGTTGAGCTGGGGCCAGCCGCTGCTTACATAACATGACGTCTTTTCATTTTTTGTGACTTTTCGATGCGCTTTTGCTCTTCTTTTTGCTCGCCAGCGATAAGGCTTCATTCAACACTTTCTCCGTCAGTTTGCATGTTGATACGCGCTGAGCCCAATAGCTGAATAGGATCAGTTCGCTTCTATCTTACTGGAAGTTTTACTTAGCAGCAAGTGGCGGCTGAGATGAGGTTGTTGAGAGGTGAAATCGCCCTTTTTTCCCTTTCGGTTTGCCTCTTTTCGCATGCTTCCTCAAGACCCTACTGACTCGGCCGTGGTGTCTGATAGCCCTACTGTGCTCTCTATACCTTGCGATCTAATGATATTTGTTGCGCCGCCTCGTCTCTGAGACCTGTGGCTAGATTCTGGATACCTTAGCTTCATCACGGATGGCCCGCCTGTGATCGAAAACGCTCTGGAATAGTTCAATAATCCTTGGTTGGGGAGCAGTTAGGAGGAGCTCTGGGAAATGCCTGGCATCGTCATGGATGATCTAAACGCCCATGGAGGATGGGGTACTACTGCAGGAGCCGTGAACGGAGATAATGCGACCTTTCACCATACGGATAACAATGCCCACACGAATGGCCGAGCGAACGGCGTGAAACCTCAAGAAACTGATGTATCTACATCTCCAGATCTCCCTCCACCGGAAATAGCCCATATAACTCAAGGGTTCTTCCCTCTTGCGAAGGGTATCAACAGAGTTGTTGTTCCAGTGGTGGAACGATCTTCTTCAGCTTCTTAGCGAATTAGGGGACGCGCACCCCAACCAGCAAGGCCAGCCCAATGTTTTCCAGTGCCAAAAAGAGTCAGATTCTCGAATTTTCCCAGGCAAAGAGGGCTGAGTTCATTAAACTACTCGTCCTGTCGCAATGGGGTCGACAGGCGGTCGATGTTGGCAGGTTGATTGATTTGCAGTTCTTCATTCGTCAACGCTATGATTTATATAACCACACGCTCTTCCTCGCTGGAAATATAAAGCGAGATCTTTTTAAAGCGCAAATGGGAAACCCGGACTTAGAAACCGCGTTAGAAGCACTCTCGACAGGGGCAGTTTCTGCGCTGCCTGCAGTAAGTTTTTATCCTCACTACAAGTGCTAACCCAGTAAATCGAACCTCCTGCTTACATTCCGATTTAGCTACCTTTCTTGCCTCCGGGAATATTATCTCCCAAGGATACCTTGAAAACACTCCGGAAAATTAATAAACTAATAAGCATCAGACTCATAACTTATGATCCCATACCAGAATACGCTACATATCATATCCACGATGGGAGGGTCACATTTACAATCCCGAACGAAATCGAGCTAGACCTCTCGATTGCCCAGGAAACGCGAAACTCCCAGTTCTTCTTTGTCGATCTACGGTTTATTTTCTCTCCATCATCTGCGCTTTCTAAAGGCCCGGTCCGCGGCAGCCTAGAACGCACCATCAACACTGCGCTCATGAAATCGGGCATTGTTGGTTGCTGTGATCTTCTCCACAATCTGGTTCTGAGTCAAAAGATCATGACGTGTTTTAGGCAGGCCATTGACTTAGCTCGATCTCACTGGGGTGATAATTTACGCATCGAGCTGCTTCATCGTACACTAGTCATTCAGTACTGGGCCAATCGGCCTGGCCCGAAAAGTTGGATTGAGATCGGGGCTAGGCGTAACAAGTCACAACGCCGAGCCGGAACTTGTCAACCGGATATACCCCGTTTATTTATTCGCTGGATACGGGATAACAAGGAGGTTTCTGTTGAGAGTGCACATTTCGATAGAAAAATAATATCCGTTGAGACTATACTGCGAGGAATTATATCGCAGCATATCCACGATATGTTTCTCGAAATTTACAACAAACTTGCTACCACCAAGTTATATAGCCAGGGAGGCCTCTTTCTGGGTTTAAACACTTCTGCAACGGAGCCTGGGAACTGTTATCTTGACGTTCATCTTACTCACAGGAAAACTCTGAGGGTAACAATCGAGCCAGTAGGTGGGGGGGTCGCCCTGCAGACTGTCCCGCTCACTTTAAATCGACATGATATTGAACAGGAAGCTGGTAAAGGGCTATCGGTAAACACATATGATCGTATCTGTCGACTCAGATGTTTGGTCGCGATGGAAGAAGCCGAAAGTCACGGGCGTGTGGTTGGCTGGAAGTTGATAACTCCTGCGAACGTAGACATGTTTTCCCTGCGCAAAGTATTGCCTGTCAGTGAGATTCGAAACATCTCGCTATTTCAACATAGAGACTGGAGCCCTGACTGGCTTGTTGCCTTTACGAGCAGCATGGAGAGAGACGACTGGTGGGTGGTTCAGTTGCAAAACGGGCCATCGGTTGCATCCCAACCTCAGTCTTCCGGTGATGGTCGCCTCATGCAACTACGGCAGGCTCATGCTGTCACAGGGGAATGCAGACAATTATCTGACAAGCGTCGGTATCTTTCTTTTGCAAAGCTCGCCAACGCTCTCTCTGGCATGGTTGTTGCACATTCGAACGCAAACGGTCTAAACGAACTCCGACTTCGTCACTCCCCACGGATAAATGAGTTGGTGCTGGGAGTTCATAACCAGGTCCCTGGAACTAGCGTGTGCTTCAAAGCATCCGACCTTCCAGACCAATTACGAGTATCTTCCCCGTTGTCTAGCGGAGGCCGGCCTATCATAAAGGAAACGGTTTACCTATCGTACCAAGGGATCAATCACCGAACCCATGAGGCGATGGTAATGGCTACCGGACTCTTTGCAGTCCCGATTTCACATCTTGGAATGGCCAAGTTGGTATCCGACTCCGTCCTTGCTTTCGAGCCCCGATCCCGAATATTTGCAATTCGCTTCCACACGCGCATTGGCGTACCCATCATCACGCAGCTTTTCTCCTGGTTACAACGCCTCACAAACACTGTTCTGGCTCTGGAGTTCATCCACCGTAAAAAATTCACCGTAATCTCGATATCGTCCTCCAAAATCGCCTTCAAATACCCATCTTCTAATGATGACCTACGGGCATCCATATCCTTCCACTACATAGACACAACTACACCCTTATTCTTACAAACCAACGCGCAAGCCAGTGATAAACGATCCTTGGCTCAACTTCGCATGTCCCTAGACCTCAACGGGAAGAACCCTCATCGACGCATCATGGAATCATTGACAGCCATACTCAACGACCGTTCAGCTGGCCTGGGCTTTACGTTAGAGTTACTTACTATCACCCTACCTCTCCTGGAAGCTCTTGAGGCAATTCTCACAGAAACAAGTGACAGATCGCGTGCTGTGGTCAGGATAGCTGCGCGATCCGCGAAAATGTACCATATCACCTACCCGTCCCTCCAGTACCGATTTCACCTGACGATGAAACAACGCCGACAGCGCATTAGCTGGCTTTTGCGGAATGGCACCATCCCTACTGTACGAATGAACCAGGTAAAGCTAGAAAGCGAGTTGACAAACAAAATACTAAAGGTCAACGGGGATGGCTGGCGTGGGCTTGGGGACGGCGCCATGGCCGAAGCTGAAAACCCTGCCAACCTCATCATGGTGCTAGATAACATTATCAAAACACATGTTGCCCATCTGATGCAAGGGAACGGTTCTTCTAATGGAGACAGGGTTAATTGTGAGGAAGGAAATAACAATTCCATCCCGGCATCGTTGAGCAATAACAACACCACCGGCCAGCCTGCTGTGACGAATACGAGTGCAGCTCCGAATAACGAATCAGACGCTAACCAGCAAGCCAGTAACGGCAGCATAATCACTATTGACTGATTTGATTGTATAAATAATAAATAGCAATAATGTAGTTGAAACGATTGGTTCTAGAGACTCAATGAAGCGCTGTAGAATACCTTACTAGAATTTGTATTTGGCAATCTATTGTAGAGCAGCAGGATTGTTTCCACAAGATGGCTGAGACACTTTGAGTGAGCAAGTAGGTAAAGAAGAAGAAAGAAATCTCATTATAAAGGTATTTGGCAGAACAATCGATGCGAGGAAGCAGAAAAGAGTTGCCCTCCTTTCCCGCCTCCCTTTTCCCCCATTAATCAAAAACATTTCAAAAGGGCAATCAAGTCAATATCAGCTGTGGTGGTAACAACTGGAGTAAACGTCAAGATCATAAGTTTACATAAAGCCAACGAAGGACGGAATAAGTAACAGTTCAATTACAATTCTTCGTGGCCTTCTTCGGTCTCCTTGGAGTCCTTGGCAGTCTTAGTGGAGGATTCAGCGGGGGTCTCGGAGGCGGTTTCAACCTTGGGCTTGTTGGTGACATCGCCGCCTTCCTCCTTGACCTTGTCCTCATCGTAGGCATCGACACCGAACTTGCCGTTGTCACGAACGAAGTTGGCGAGGTCCTCGATGGTGCGGGAGCCAGTATACTCGACTGGCTTATCCTTGGCGCCAGCAGGGAAGAGCTTGATGGTAGGGAAGCCCTGGATCTCGTCTGGGATATCATTAGCGGTGGCATCGACCTTGGCGATGGTCACCTTAGAGGCAAACTCCTTGTTGTCCTTGTAGAGAGAACCAAGCTGCTCATACTTGGGAGCGAGGCTGCACGATGTGTTAGTGATTTTTTTTTCTTTTTTTTAAAAAAGGGGGTGACAGGTAACTTACGCCTTGCAGTGTCCGCACCATGGAGCGTAGAACTCGACGAGGACGTCCTTCTCCTCGTCCATGACGATCTTCTCGTAAGTGTGGGCGACGATGACGGAGACGGGACCATCATTGGACTCTGGGATGGGTTCAGACTTGACGCTGGGCTGGATCTCACCAGAGATGACGCCCTCGACGAACTTGGTGATCTCGTCCTGAGTGATCTCCTTCTCCTGGTCGAATGGGTACTTCTTGTTGCCGACGGTATCCTGGATGGCGAAGGCGGGGAACTTCTCTGGGACAAGGTTGAGGTTTGCAGCGTGAGCACCAAAGGCCTTAGCGTCGATAGTAGCGAAGTTGATCTTGCCCTTTAGCTTTTTGGCGAGGTCCTTGAACTCGGTGCTGTACTTTTCACGTTCCTCGGGGGTGTCTGCGAAGATGTATGCCAGAGGAATGCCAGCCTACCCTAGTTAGCATCGGAAGAATAAGGAGATGATGATGAGAATACATACCGACATGTAGGAAGAGTAGGTCTCTGGGCCAACGGCGCCAACGAGAGGGGTGCTGGCAGACTTGATAAAGGCTTTGATGGCCTCAGACTCAATCTTGCCATCGTAGATATCCTTACGGTCATCGAACTCCTTGTACAGGACGATACCGGGGAGAGAGACACCCTCTGCCTTGGCCAGCTCAGCGCTGTTCGTTCCGGCAAACAAGAAGTCATCTCTCATGCTGTCAGCGAGGGCCGTGAAAGTCTTGTTGGAGTCCTTGTCATCCTCGCCGATGAAGCCAACGACGATGACCTTGTCCAGGGCCTTGGTCTCCTCAAAGTTCTCTGCAGTCACTATCGAGACCGAAGGCAGACTCTGCTTGACCATGTACGAGGCGAGCCTACCCCCAGTCAGCATACAGAAATCTACAGATATAGATCTATCTTCCCTATATATATAGATAGATAGGTATGGATGTGAACTCACGCTGGAGCCTTGCGAGCCCCGTTATAAGGCTTGATGGAATCGAGGCCACGGAAGACCTTGAGGGTAGGATATCCCTCGACGCCGTACTCCTGGCAGAGGTCAGCCTCCTCGGTGCAGTCGACCTTGACCAGGGGAATCTTCTTCTCCTTGAGCTCGGTGGCTGCTATCTCGTACTCTGGCGCGAGGGCCTTGCAGTGGCCGCACCAGGGAGCGTAGAACTCAGCCAGGACGAGCTCATGTTCCTTGATGAAGTCCTTGAAGGTGTCCGTCTTGAGGGCGTGGACGTCCGACTTGTCTGTCGAGGCATCTGAGGCGAACACGGCGGGGGCCAGAGAGGCGCCAGCGAGGGCGAACAGGAGGTTGCGGACGCCCGGCATGGCTGTCTACTGTCAATTGAGTGTCAAGAATATACAGAGGAGTTGAAGGGGCTGAGAAGGAGAAGAAGAAGTTGTTCTTCAAGATGCTTAGGGGAGAGAGAGAGTGAAGGTCGCTTTATATGTTTAGAGCCTTGAGGACAGCCTGTTCTTTTAAACCGCAGCAAAGTAGCTACCAACACTATTTTGTGTATGTGCTAAACGAGATAGCTTGACTATTGGCTGAAGAAGAGTGACTCTCAGGCCGGTTGAGAATCTATTTATTTTAACAAAGCAGGTCTTGTTTATGATATATATAATTCACTCGGCCATATAACCAAGAACAGACGATGGCATCGCGGTTCCAGAGCTATCTCGAGTATGTCTTCCCAGGGGCATCCGCATCTACATCGATACTGACGGACACGACGGACAGACCCGAGGAGTCAACGCTGAGATGTGCCAACTGCGCTGCCGACATCTGCCTGGCATCGCAGGTCATCAGCAAAGGCTTCACCGGCCGCCATGGACGAGCATATCTCGTTGCTGACCCCAAGGCTGCCCATCCGGCCCTCAGCGCCCTCGCCAACACCATCGCCCACCGCGCCGTCCCCAGGCAGCTCGTCACCGGCGCCCACACCGTCAGTGACATCGCCTGTCGCTTCTGCCACACCATCATCGGCTGGAAGTATCTCGCCGCCGAGGAGGAAGGCCAGAAGTACAAGGTGGGCAAGTTCATCGTCGAGAGCAAGCGTATCAGTCAGTCCAGCTCCCGGGACAGCACTTCTGCACACTCTCCTCCTACACACTCTACCAAACCAGCCGTAGGCGCTACAGACAAGAAGAAGAAGAAAGGTGGAGAGATCGAGTTCGATAGCCAGGACGAAGACGAGTGTGAGGATCTCTTCTCTGGTGTCTGGACTCCCGCACTCGCCGCAAAGCGCAGACGTAGACGGAAACACAAATCATGAGCCTCACTCACTCACCCACTCACTCACACACACTCTCTCTTCCAAGAGATGCTTTCATTACTCTTTTTATATTTAGTATACAGGTTCATGCTGGGTGTTTCACCCGCTTAGGGTCTGTCTCCTCCTCGGCCGACTCTAGCGGCCTCTTCCCTTTACCCTCGGACTCTCCTTGGTCTTGGGGAGCTGCGGCAGGCTTCTTCTTCTTAACCAGCCCCGTCAGGTCATTGGCAGCCTTTGTAAGTTCCTCTAGCTTGATGGCCTGTGCTGCTGCTTGCTCCTCCTTGGTCCGTTCGGCGTTGGGGATGGCCACCGGCGGCCGGCGGAGGTCGACTAGCTGTTTCAAGACAACAGTTGGTTAGCTCAACGATAGGAAGGCCAGGGAGGTTTTTTTTTTTTTTTCAATTCTCTTTTTAGCACTCACCCGCTGCTCCATATCCGATACAATGTCCTTGACATCTTCCACATTCCGCTTTATCTTGGCCGCCGTCTCCTTGTCCTCTGTGCCGATACTCTTGATTCGGGCTTCCTCCTTTGCAATCCGTCCCTTGCAACTCTTAATCGCCATCTCCATGTATTCTGCTGCCCGTTCTCTAGCGGCCGGGTCGAACTGCGGCTCTGACCCGCTGCTCTCACTCGCTTTTCCCTCTTCTTCTTTCTTCATTACTGAAGAGAACTCCAGGGCTAGTGACAGTTTATAGTAGCACTCTGCAATTATAGGGTCCTCTGGAGAATACAGCTCTTCCTTTATCTGTAACGACGACTGAAGGTCCGTAGCTGCATCTGGGAATCGCTCGCCCTCTAGTGATATCTCCGCCTGGAGGTCGTATGTGTCTGCCAGCCGCTCCTTCACCCGTCGTAGCTTCTCCTCGTTCTTCTCCTTGTCCTGCTCTAGTTCACTCCGCTGCCGTTCGTACAGCACACGGGTCAGATCCAGGATCTCAAACGCATTTGCAAAATCATCGTCTTCCTCGTCCTGCTCACCCTTGCCTTCTTCGTCTCCATCCTCCTCCTCATCCTCATCATCGTCCGATGCCTCTAGGTTCTCATCCCCAATGAATTGGAAAAGTGGCGTCCCATCAGTCTTGCTGCTTCGACTGGCTGACGGGCCTCCTTCTCCCTCCCCTTCCACTTTCTTGGCAATCGCATCTCTAATAATGCTCGACGATACTTCTCCCTCCCCAGTGTCCTTCCCAGACTTGCTCCCCGATCCTCCAGCAGGCTCTGTCGCCGTCTGTGGCATCTTCGCGCCCAACACGTCACTCTTGCTCACGCCAACATGGTACAGGCACTTCCCGTATGAGTATAATATATCCGCGTTCTCAGGCGCCATGTCACCATTTATCCCAGCCTGAAGCTCGGCCGCTTGGGAATAAAGGTCTACGGCCTTGCCATAGTCTTTCGCCGCTTCGTTTGCTGCTGCGAGCTTAACGAGCTGAGCTAGCTCGCTCCTCTTCTGGTCAGCAGCTCCTGTGGCTTCACCACCACCCGTCTCAGGTTTGGTTTGCGTTCCGTCACCCATCGTAGCAACTGTCACTTCTCTGAAAAGCGTAGAATGAAAACTCAAACTTCTGCTTTGGTCCGTTTTCTTCTTCACGTTGTTGTTTCGTTGCTGAAAGATTTGAATATTGGAACATTTTTAAACTCACGCGCGCTTAGGCGCAACGCGTCAGTTAATTGATAACCGACGCGTGAAGCAATATTCAAACCAACAACTTCAACCAGATTAAATCAATAATATTGAATAACGATAAAAATATATACTCTCCCTGTTACTCATGGTTAATTTACAGGCATCAGTACCTATCCGGTAACAGACCATCACACTCACCTCTCTATGCACCGTCTAACTCATTGCGAAAAGCTCAGGTATCAATGAACAAAACGCCCCCAGGACCGCCCACGAACCTTCTGTGCTCCCGGTCGTTATACCTCCTAATACAATTAGACCACTAGCTTTTCGAACACTTTCAAAGAAACACAACCTAGCATTTACATCATCTACCTTACAAGCGCTTGCAGCCTTCATAGGCAAGTCCTGCGGCTCGAGATGGCGCCAGGAAGGACTTGCAGACCTGGTACTCGATGAAGTGGCCAAGTTGTGGAAACAATCCGGAGGCGGTTCGATAGTAGAGGATAGTACAAAACTACCGTTGAAGACCATTTTAGCTGAGCTGGAAACGTACATGGTCGGAGGCAGAGTCCAACATGATCGAAAGACGGCCAAAAGGGCAATAGACACAGCCATACCCCAGAGGAAGCGAGAACAAATTACGCTCAGTCGAAGCGACTCCCCTGTTCAAACGGCCAATAAAGATGTTTCTGTACCTCAGGAAACTGAACCTGACGGCTCTGAGCCTGCCGAACCCCCAGAAGATACCCCAAATAATCGTGCCAGGAAACGAGTCAAGATCGTCAGCGCATTTGAACAGCAGCGCTTAACATATAACATGAACAAGAGGCAGTTTGAACCACCACATGGGCATCCATCCCTCTTTCCCCCTGCCAGCAACCGGGTGAGTCTCTTTAGGGATCGCTATTATCGCGTTCACCAGCGCCTACTACGAAACGAAACTTTTCAAACTTCAACGCTGCCCACTTCCTTTAGTGAAGCAAATACAGCTACTCCGTCAAATCTGCCGTATAAAATTACCTCAATTACAAGCTTACAGGGAAGAGGAAGCACAAACCACTTACTTCTAGGCTTATTTTCGGTCTCCCCTGGAGGAGGATACAATTTATCTGACCCTTCAGGAACTGTGGCTATAGATATGACACATGCCAAAGGTATCCCAGCTAACGGTGCCTGGTTTGTGCCCGGAATGATTCTGTTGGTTGATGGAATTTACGAAGACGAGGATGAAGACACAGTGGCTCGAGGTGCTGGAGCAATTGGCGGAAAGTTCATTGCCATATCTGTTGGAGGCCCGCCATGTGAGCGAAGGGAGGTTTCCCTGGGCATTGACAATCAGAGCCGTGGTTGGAACACGATGCCACCGACAGACTCTGCAGCCGACCCGATGAGTGCTGGGACAGAGTCGAATCAGCCAGAATGCATGAATATAAATTCCATATCACGTCAGCCCCAGGAGAAGCAGCGTATGGTAATCATGGGAGAAGTAAATCTGGATAATCCAAAGACACTTCAAGCACTTTCCATGGTTCTAGGCCAGTACGATGCTGCATCTGATAACCAACTTCCTTCGCTATTCGTCTTGATAGGCAATTTCGTCCATGACGCAGCGATCGGGGCGGGAAATTGTGGGAGCATTGAATATAAAGAATTCTTCGATAGTCTTGCTTCAGTGTTGATGCAATTCCCTAATCTCCTTCGAAATTCAACTTTTGTGTTTGTACCTGGCGAAAACGACCCTTGGGCTTCCTCCTTTTCCCCTGGCGCAACCGCATGTATCCCAAGACCATTGATACCAGAATTGTTTAGATCTAGGGTTCGCCGGGTGTTCCAATCCGCTTACAGCCAGGACCATTCCATTTCGTCTCGTCAAATAGATGAATCCGCAATCTGGTCCTCGAACCCTACGCGAATATCCGTTGATGAACCAAATGCTTCCGAAATAGTCATCTTCAGGGATGATATTTCCGGCAGGCTACGGCGCAACGCACTAGTTATGAAGGATGACAAGGGAAAAAAGCTATCTCCTTTACAGGCTGATACCAGAACTCTTAGCCAGGATACCACTGTCGCCGACCCTGAAGAAAACGTCCCTACAGAAATAAACAAAGACCAACAAGACGTAGTAGATCCAAGCTTAGTTGCAGCTCGGAAACTCGTCAAATCCATACTCGACCAAGGGTACCTCAGTCCATTCCCGCCCACTGTACGCCCAATTTTATGGGATTACGCGTCTGCATTGCATTTGTATCCCCTCCCAACCGCTCTTGTGATGGCCGATCCGGAAGCAGATCCATTTACTGTCACATATGAAGGCTGTCATGCTATGAATCCTGGTCGTTTTGTGGTTGAAGGAAGTAGTGATACTGCAAGGTGGATAGAATACAACATGGCTACAAGAAAGGGGTGCATAAAGGAAGAGCTTCTCTAGATTTGGATGAGCATATAAATAAAGACCTATAGTATGATGAATGACGCTGTACGGACAGAAACTATACGAATCTAATAAATTTAATGGGACAATAATAACTTGATAGGCCCTACAATCGAATGGGTGAAACCATTAATCCTACCTAACCTACGAAATAAATGCAACTAGGCGAGTACATAATACAATTGAAGACATCCACTCCTATTATTACTCCACCTCCCGGACCAAAAAACCCTCATCGCGGAGATGATTCTTCACATCCGAAACAGCATAGGTACCTCGGTGGAACTAAGTGGAAAGTTAGCGTAAAACACGAATCCAAAATGGGGGAATTCATCTGTATATACTTACCATGCCAGCCCCCAATGCGGCATCCGTTGATGTCTTTTCAAAGACTTCTGCAAAATGTCCAGGATTTCCGGCTCCACTAGAAGCGATGACGGGAATCGTAGTGAACGATTTGACATCATTGATCAATTCAAGGTCAAATCCACTGTTTGTTCCATCTTTGTCGATGCAGTTCAATAGAATCTCGCCCGCTCCCATGGCCTCCACTGCTTCAATGAGCTGTTTGATATCAAAATCTCTCCCCTCACGACCCCCCTTGATCGTACATTGAAACCAGCAATACTTCTGCCCTTTATCGTTTGGAAACTTCGTCTCAAAAGTGTGATGGGTGGTGTCATCAGGGGAGGAAACATAGATACGCCGCGGGTCAACACTGATAACAACAGCTTGTTTACCATAGGCATTTGAGATAGTTTCGATAGCTGTCTTGCCATTCAACTTCTTTCCAGAAGCGTAATATTCCTCAGCAGCAATCACTGCGTCCGATCCAATGCTAACCTTGTCAGCACCAGATTTGAAATACATCGTCGCCACGTCCAGCGCAGGGACAACAGTCCCATCGGTATCTGTTGTGTCTCTAATGCCACCGCCGATAGTAAGTGGTACAAAGACGGTCTCTGAGGTTTGGCGCAAGACTTCTAACATAGGCACATCCGCCAGAGGGCAGTTCCTGTACGATGTGATGTTGAGAAACGTAACTTCATCAGCGCCTTCCTGATAGTATTTCTTTGCCATGTCAACCGGCTTTCCCAGATTTCTCACTTGGCCTTTTCCTTCGGCCCCAGATTTTTCTCGAACGTCGTACTGGTCTCCCTTTGTAACTACCAGATCACCATCATCGTTGGTACGAACATCGAGACAGGCAATAATTCTCCTTGTGAGCCCATCTACGGCGGTAGAAAGGTAAGAATTAGGCAGCTCATCTATCTCTTTGCCCTTGAGAAATGCATCCAAAACCCTTAACCCAGCCTGGCCGCTTTTCTCTGGATGGAATTGGGTTGCGAAAACGTTGTTTCGCCCTATAGCGCCAATAAATGTCTCGTTCTGATATTTGCCTGTTGCAAACTTCCACCCCTGGCCTTGAAGGGCATCGGTATCACAGGGAGCCGCAAATGAATGGACATAATAGTATTTGCTGCGAGGGTTTAGGCCATAGTAACATTTGTTCTCGCTGTAGATGGCTGAATTCCAGCCAATGTGTGGGACACTTTTATCTGAGGAATCAAATTTCTTCAGTGAGATGGGAATCAATCCCAATCCCTTAACGTCCGGGGCTTCTTCAGATGTTTCAAACAAGGCTTGTAGACCAACACATATTCCCATGAACGGCTTTCCAGATTTGATATGCTCCTTGATTGGTTCGAGAAACCCACCGCTGGAAAGTTGGCTCATACAGTGGCCAAAGTGACCAACACCCGGTAAGATCAGAATCTATGTAGATGAACCGTGAGGTATCAGCAAGTTTGGCGCCGTGGTGAAACAAGATAATACACATACTTCTGCCTTTTTGATATCATCGGGCGACTTTATCCATTCTACCTGGTAATCAAGCTTATTCAATGCATTGACGAGGGACCGGATGTTCCCAGCAACGTAATCGAGGAGGTGGACAATAGGCATTTTACAATTGCTTGAATGTATTATTTTTGACGAGAATGTAATCTTCTTAAGCAAGTATTTTATATCCCCGTTTTGGTGACTCAGAAATCGAGTTTTTTTTTTTTTTTGTTGTATAGCGAGGATTTCACCACCTGGGAAGTATTTAAACTAATATTTAGTTTTATTCTTCTCTTAATATTGAATTAATCTTGCGTTTTAGGTTCTAACCCCGCTCTGTAGATAAGGAACATTCTATTGCAGCATCATTATCAATATATAATAAGCGAACTATTCGCTCGCTCCAGGGTGGAGATAGAAAATCAAGGTATATAAAAAGGTGAGTAGATAACTTCTAGCATCTCATCTATAGTAAGCTTCGTGACCTGCACATCCGTTATGTGACTAAATATGGCGGGGGCTGCCCGATATACGAAGCAGATATCAAAGTACCCCCATGTCTGGAGATTTGATCAAGCTTTTTCTTTTTCTTTTTCTTTCTGGTGATGGGCTAAACAGAAGTTGAGTTAATGTTCAGGCTTGGAGATCTTTATATCCAGCCCTTTAAGATCGATCAGACGGTTGCAAGGCTACGTGATGTTAGCGCAAGGATGAGATAATAAAGAATAACAGGGAGAGAAGGCCTACAGGCGAGAATTGGCGGAGCTTAACCCCTGCTTCCTTCAACACTGCTGCTGACTATGGTCAAGTTAGATACGCTGATATCAAATAAACAGCCGGGGGTGAAATTTTGACAGAAAATAGGACACTCACATCGCTATCCATGTGATATCCCTGGGAGTAGACGACTTCTGATATGCCAAGCTGGGCTATCTTGACACTGCAGGTCAAACACGGACAGCTGCTGTATTGTCAGTGACGGAATAAAGAAAACAAGACAGACAGAAGGAGGGACCAACGTGTTACAGTAGAGAATAGATCCTTCTCCAATTCTCTGTCGTCCAGCCTCAAGTAAAGCGTTTTCTTCAGCATGCATGCAGAGGCAGGTTGATAGAACCGTCCCCCCGGCCTGCCCTAAGTTGCAACGAGGACCTGGGGACATGTCAGTATATGGGTATTTATTACTTCACGAGGAAAAGAAAAAGACACTGGACATACATCCGCCCTCATTGCAGTTTTTCATTTTTCGGGGAGTTCCATTGTATCCGGTGGACATAACTCGGTTGTCTTTGACAATAACACATCCCACCCGCCGTTTCATGCAGTTACTTCGCTGTGCCGCTAGCGATGCCAGCTGCATGAAGTATTGGTCCCAGGCGGGCCGTAGACGTTGGATATTAAGCAAATCAAGCGAGTTCAATGCAGCATGCAGCTCGTTTAACGAAGAAGATGTATTAAACAGACGAACATGGGCGCGATCTAATAGATAGGAAACACCAATTTTAGGATCGTACTGGCTATGGTCGCTAATTAACACGAACTTCTCGAGGTCTGGGGGCTCTAGCTGTTTTCTCCAGCACCTATCTCTCCACGGTTAGCATTCCCTCGTCGTTAATGGACGTACGTTGCCAAACCAACCTATCGGTGAAACGGCGCCAGCGCAGAGTAATTGGAGCATCAACGCTAATCAGCAAGAAAAACGGCCGCAAGAGAAGACGTTCTAGCGCAGCATCATCCGGTATGTCCGTGGTTACCCAAAGTTCTCTCCATCTTGGGGTCACAAAGTTGATTAGTTCATCAACTGTCTCGAAAGACTGGGCTGATGGGTTGGGAGAGCTGGTGAGGGAAAGCTGCTCGAACTGCTCCTCAACGATGGTCTGATGGTTTCCTGGAGCAATACTAATTTGCTGAAAGCCGTGATTCTTTACCAGGAAGTTGGCAACGGCCTTCTTCCCGGCACATATGCCTGTATAATCAAATCAGCCCAAAGCTGTCCTTTCAGCAGCGCTAACTTGAATGGACGGATATTACCTCCACAGATACCAACCAACATATCTTCGAGCAACACCCCTTTTCTGCCCTTCACGACCCGCTACGTGCTGAGTATACACGCGGCCGAGAGGAGCTATGAAGATATATCGCCGATGAGGTAATCTAAGACTTAATGTGTGGTAAACAACGCTCGCCCGTAAACTTTCTTCTATGAAAAGTATGCAGGTTATCGATTGGGTGCCAATCCACTGACAGGAACAACAGCAGGGAGAGATTGCTCAAATGGAATAAAATAGAAGAGAACATTGACGAAATGAATCCAAGCGCTGACTTTATATCCCTTTTAGGGGTAGGTATTTATATAAGTTTTAATGCCTAACTATTATAACTAAACATGCCAACGCACGTTATGTATACAGGTGCTGGCACGACTGATCTCCGTACAGCTTTCTTCCCGCCCAGCACTGGCTAGCTCGCAGTTATTCACGATGTCCAATGTCAGGACGCCATCGAGGATGCTCATAGTGGACTTGCGGAGATATAGAGCTATCAAGATGGAACATGTCTCTCTGTCCAGAATGGTCTTAACTTGTCGGACGGAGTCTATAATCCAGCCATAGCCAGTACAGCAGAACCATCAAATCCTCTTCCTATCGATCTTCTGGCCAGTATTCTCTGGTCATTCATACATCAAATAGGATTATCAACATGACAACAAAAAAAAAAAGAAAAGAAAGAGAAAGAAAAAACCATCTGACGACCTAAAAGCGGCCACGAAGTCCCAAAAAGCAGCAAGACAAATAGATCTGCTGACTAAGTCAGGTGTTTTTCTCCCCGCTGGAGACCAAAAAGTAGCAGCTTTCCGCATACAACAAGGAATCAAGATATTCAAAATAAATAATATCTTTACATGCATGTCACCAGAAGCCTTTCTTCTCGCCAACATATGAGCTCGACAGCGTGTTGATATCACTGTTAGTCTTGCTGTAGCCTCAACTTTCAGCTAACATGCAGTACACACCCTTCATATCCGACATAGAGTTGCCCTTCTACTCGTCACTGGCTTCGCTCAAGGTTGACCATGACAAGCTCGATGACTCCGCACGCAAAGTCCTGGGCTTGTATGAGATAAAGCCATCCGATCGCCCTGAAGAGTCTTGCCGTATGCAAATACTAGGAAATGCCTTGCTTAAAGATGAGTGAGTGTCGCATCCGATGTTGGCTGCCTTTTCTCCTCTACTCACCAATGACATCATCAGTGTCCCGGCTGGCTACTATCGAGCAGAAGGTATGATCAAGAACGTAAATACGATAGAGGAGTACCGAAATGCGGACAAACCCGCAATCTTACAGCTAGCAGGGAAAACTGTAGGTGTTGGCAATGTTGATGCCTTGGTCGTTTTCATTTTCACTCTCTTTCTCTCATTTTGGCGGCTTCGCTAATGATCGAATTTCGGTGAAAGATATGGGATGCTATTAATGATGGGACAATATATTCGTGCCCTTCGTTACTTAGCTCTTTCACGGTCCTTTCATTTGCGGATCTCAAGAAATACAAGTTCTCTTACTGGTTTGCGTTTCCAGCAATCCATTGCAGTCCGCCATGGGCGCCAGCAGCTGACTCCACTGGCAAGGAAGAGACCGAGTCCACTGGCCATAAATCTTCTAGTAACGCATCACAGCAGTTAACTGGGCCTGAGACTGGGACTTTGGTGGAAGCCGTACAGACTTGGCGGTACGGGGTTGACGCTCGCCAGCATGGCTTTTTTCTCGCCAAAAAGGTTCAGGCTGCAGCTTCCGACAGCGAGCCGATAGAGAAGCAATATGAATGGCGTATTTCCTCGCTTTCTGGGTATGAGGAAGGGTTCTTCAATGGTTCCAAGGAAGAAAATTGTTTTCTCTGCTTTGCGGATCCCTCCAACTATGAGGACGCACCCAGCTGGGTGCTGAGGAACCTCCTGGCCCTCGTCCAGAAAAGATGGAAGCTCAATAGAGTCCAAATTATGAGATACCGAGACGTTCATTCAAAAAGAGACCAAGGAAGGACATTGATCATGACACTAGAAACCAGCACTTCCCAGGCCGCCACCAGCGTCGATGGAAGTGACGCGCAGCCAACATTGCCTAAAATAACAGGATGGGAGCGAAATTCCGCTGGCAAGCTTTCTGGTCGAACAGTTGACCTCAAAGAATACATGGATCCACAAAGGTTCGTTCTCCCCTACAACCGCCCTCATCCCCTAGAACATAGCTTACTCCATATTTCCGAATATAGATTGGCCGATCAATCTGTAGATTTGAACCTCAAGTTGATGAAATGGAGGATCAGCCCTAACCTTAATCTTGAAGGTATCAAAAAGACAAAATGTTTGTTATTAGGCGCTGGGACACTTGGAAGTTATGTTGCAAGAAACCTGCTCGTACGTATAAAAACAGCTTCAAAAGAGCGGCTGCATATACGCTAACTAATTTCAGGGTTGGGGTGTTAGTAAAATCACATTTGTTGACAATGGATCTGTTTCCTTCTCGAACCCTGTTCGGCAGCCTCTGTTTAACTTCAAGGACTGTCTAGAGGGAGGCGCTAAGAAGGCTTTGCGCGCTGCGGAAGCTCTTAAAGAGATTTATCCGGGTGTTGACTCGACTGGACATGTACTCTCGGTGCCGATGGCCGGGCATCCGGTGGTTGATGAAGAAAAAACAAAATCAGACTTTGACTTGCTCAAGAAGCTTGTCGACGAGCACGACGCCATATTTCTATTAATGGATACCCGAGAATCCCGGTGGCTACCAACATTGTTAGGTAAAGCAATGGGAAAGATAGTTTTGAATGCCGCTCTTGGATTTGACACGTTTGTGGTTATGCGCCATGGCTCCGTCAAGACAGCAGGATCCCAAGATGGACTTGGATGTTACTTTTGCAACGATGTCGTTGCACCAGCCAATGTAAGAGCAGTACCATCCACCCCTCAGCTGGAAATATCACGCTGACACTCAAGTAGTCCATCAAAGCGCAGACTCTGGACCAACAGTGTACTGTCACAAGGCCCGGTATTGCTGCAATCGCATCCGCTCTTTTGGTAGAGCTCTTCGTATCCATTGTGCAACATCCCCATGGTGCTGATGCTCCTGCGACTACTTCGCTTGAGGAAGACGGAAGTGCCGAGCCCCACCCGCTTGGTATAGTACCGCATCAAATTAGGGGCTACCTCTCCAGGTTTAACAATGTTGTCGTCACTGGCAAAGATTACCCATTCTGCAGCGCCTGCTCCAGTAGGATCCTTGACTTGTACTTACAGGATGGCTGGAACTTCGTTAAGAGGGCCATGAATGAGAAATCATATATCGAGGAAGTAAGCGGGCTTAAAGAGGTTCGTTAAGGATAGGGCTATTGTTCCGGAGATAACAATAAAGGCTAACAAACGTAGGTCCAGCGTCTGGCTGACGCAGCTGCCGAGGAGATGGCGTTTTCCGAGGCAGATAATACCGATGATGATGAACTGGTCGAGATTTAATGGAGGCCATTGCCGAGAGATGACACGCAAATCACGGTGTAAGATTTTGACACATATTCCGAAGGCCTAATCTTCTTTGTCCTTTTCGATTCTTCTCCTTATACCGATGAAATAAGCTTCTTTGGATTCCTATACGCAATTGTTAGCAGCGCTCAAAGGAGGAATGCTGGTATAAATATGCCTTACACTGCGCGATGAGTCGGGTTTCTCACGATATACCCTATAGAATAGCCGTTTCAATTCGTTTTCGAACTCCTTCTCCCCGGATCCCTGATAGTATTTGCACACGAAATGGCCCCCCTGTTTTAAAACAACAGAAGCAAAGTCGAGCGCCGCCTTACATAGCTCCTATATTCGAGCTGTCTGTTAGCATCAGATGCTGTACCCCTGGGTGTTCCACATACCATGCTGCCCAAGTGATCGCGGGACTTGGTGCCACTTGTATTCATCAGCCTATTATTAAGTTAACCATGAATGCCTCTTTTGTTTGCCAGGTAGTGTGGAAAACAAACATGTCACTTAGAACCACGTCAACAGACCCTACTCTAGCATTCCTCAGTGGTTGATTACTTTCTTCTCCCCGTTCTTCTTTATTTATATGAGCACTAGAGCTTCGTTCAAGGTCTATATAACCCTCATCGTTCTCGGGGTCCGGGTTTGGAGCTGTTTCTTCCTGGTCGGTGAAAGTAGATAGCTGTGATCGTGGCCGGCCGCGGTGTGGATCCCGGACGAAATCCTTGACATACTCTTGTACGCGTGGGGAGAGGAAGTTTCCCTGAATGGTTGATACTCCTCTTGGGGGCTGGGCAGGAATTATATCGACACCGACGACGCGTCCTCGGGGTTTCGTGAGGTTGAAAGCGACCTTCTCATACATTAGTTTCTCTGTGTGTTCGGTGAACTATCCCAATTATTTGGCGAACCTGTGACCAAGATCCCGGTGCATATCCCTTTTCATAACCGTTAGCACAGCGAGCAGAATTTCTTGGAGTAGATAATCTTACAAGGTCAACTACTGTTTGGCCACTTTTGAACAACCTATATCTATCATTGATCTGATCCGAAGGTTAGAAACATAGTATAGGGCACGTAAATAGAGGATTTCAAACCTGCAACAGCTTAAAAGCAGCTCGACTCTTCAACCCTTGCATGCCTGCTTCCTTGGTATAGGTATCTTTACCCTGTCTGGCCTGCCATTGCTTTGAGGAAATAGATCGAAAGAACAGCTTCGATAAAGAACTACAGCTAGGGAGAGCCCAACTCTGGACTGTAGGCTTCAACATCTTTCGATATAATATTCTTGAAGCTGGAGTGAGCCTTTCTCTCATCGTGTAGGTCACTTTTCTCCCTTCAAAGCTTCGAAAAGTCACAAAAAGCTTAAAAAGTGAGCGGCTAAAGATGCTGACTAAGGCGGCTACATGTGGGTCCTTTCTTATCAAGATAAAACAAACTCCCAGGCAGCCGCCCACTACCAAGAAAGCCCAACTTCAACAACTTCCATAACGAACTCCAACAACTACCGAGTTTACAGGAAGATGGCGTGTGTACATATGGCTTCGGCTGGTATGTATCCATCTATGTGCATCTTGAAAACCCAAGAGCTAATATCCATTCGCACTGCTAGATCTCAGGCCGCCAACAGCGAACCAGTCTGTTTACCGTGAAGACTGTACTCTATGTTTTGACTCGATAGTAAGCTTCCATGGAGAGCAACCATGATGCTTGAAGGCGGAGCTGACAGGTGTGACAAAAAGGATAACGAGTCTGGGTTAAACGTTTGTCTGCACTGCTTCAACGGAGGTTGTGCAGGAGAGAGAAAGCATGCCCCTCTTCACAGTCGCCGTCATGGCCACCCGTTGGCACTGAATATCAAGAGAACGAGAAAACAGGTAGAAGTATGACGCCACACGGAGCACCTAGGTGTTACTCTTGAGCTGACGTTAGTTTCTCCTAGCGTGCCGAACCACCAGTGAAGATGTCAAAGCTTGCTATTGAAGCGAGTTCTGAGGATGATCAATACGATGTAGCTACAAAGGTAGTTTGCCTCGAATGCGGTGTCGACAAGGTCGAAGAATGCCCGCAAAAGATAGCTGAAGTTGTCGATAAGCTCATGAAAGCTCCTACTTTCTCCCGAAAAGAAGAGGTCAAGGCGTGGGAGCAGGAGCTTATCCCCTGTGAGCACACCACGGGCCTAGTGCAGGGTTCCAACCAGGGTATTAGAATCAGAGGTACGGCATATTTAAATACCAACCAAGGAAATCATAATGAAGAGCGTCCTCTGACTTACAACTTTTAGAACCCTCCAAGTGCTATGGATGTGACCTGACAGAGAACCTTTGGCTATGCCTCGAGTGCGGTACCGTTGGCTGTGGACGGGCCCAATTTGGCGGCATAGGTGGTAATTCGCACGCCCTTGCCCATTCAACTGAGAAATCGCATGGTGTAGCGGTCAAACTTCGATCTATCACCCCCGAAGGCTCTGCTGATATTTACTGCTATACCTGCAACGACGAGAGAACCGACCCGGAACTGGCACAGCATCTATCCCATTGGGGAATCAATATTACTGAACAAGAGAAAACCGAGAAAAGCTTAACAGAACTCCAGATTGAGCAAAACCTCAAATGGGATTTTTCAATGACATCTAATGATGGGCAGGCGTTGAACCCGGTCTTTGGCCCAGAGCTTACCGGTCTTAAGAATCTTGGAAACAGCTGTTACATGGCCAGCGTCTTACAATGTCTCTTCGCATTACCAGAATTCAAAAATCGCTATTATAAACCCAACGAAGAGCCTCCTTCTTCCTCTGCCCCTGCCGAGGACCTCGAGACCCAACTAAGAAAAATTGCAGATGGTCTTCTCTCGGGACGTTATTCTGTGCCTGACCCCGCAGCTGGAAATACCACTGACGTCGTTTACCAGCGTGGAATCTCTCCGTCAATGTTCAAACATTTGATCGGGCGTGGTCATCCCGAATTTTCGACGATGCGCCAGCAAGATGCGTTCGAGCTGCTCTTACATCTCTTCAAGATCATCAGCGTATCTCCACACCCTGCCACTAGCCCGAACCCGGTTGAGTCTTTCCGGTTCGCCGTTGAACAGCGATTGCAATGTACCTCATGCCTCAAGGTGCGATATAAAGTTGACGAGCAAGACAACATTTCGGTTGAGGTTCCCGCAATACGACTCAACCATTTTATGCCTGGCCCTGGATCGGATCAGATGTGGGAAACAGTCCCTCTCCAAGATTGTATTGACTTGTTCACGAGAAAGGAGGACGTTGAGTTAACTTGTTCGGGCTGCGGTAATAAATGCTTCTCTAAACAATCACTGTTTAAGACGCTTCCACAGAACCTGGTCGTGAATGCGCGACGATGGGAAGTGGTCAACTACGTACCAATGAAGCTCGATATTCCAGTTGTGGTTGGTAATGAGCCACTTGACTTGACCAAGTATCTCTCGCCCGGTAAACAGGACAATGAGGAGTTGTTGGAGGATGAATCTGGTAGTGCCCCCGAATTTGTACCTAACCCAGAGGCATTCACAGCTTTAATCGGTATGGGCTTCCCTGAAAATAGGGTAAAAAAGGGACTGTACAATACTGGAAACTCGGACCAGGAGGCTGCATTGAATTGGATACTCGGTCACATGGATGATCCCGATATTGACGCACCTATGGCTTCTACCACAAGCTCAGCCGGAGCTCAGAAACCTTCTGATGGAGACGATAAAATCAATCAACTAGTCGACATGGGCATTGAGCGACCTAGGGCAGAGAGGGCCTTGGGAGCCACCAACTGGGACGTGACGAGAGCTTTGGACTGGGTCTTTAGCCATCCAGACGAGCCCTCTGAGCTAAATCCTACAGCTTCCGCTAGCGGCTCGGCACCGTCTGCCGCCATTCCTGGATCCAGCCAAAAACCAGCCTTGTTTGACCTCCAATCCATCGTCTGCCACAAGGGCACCTCGGTTCACGCAGGGTAAGAAACTATCATCTTCAGCTCTCGTATTTGAACTTCACTTTTTTACTAACATGAACCACTAGTCACTACGTCGCCTTCATCCGAAAGCAAGTCCCGTCAGAGAATAAGCCTAAGTGGATTCTATTCAATGATGAGAAGGTTGTTGCTGAAGCCGGCGATGTCGAAGAGATGAAGCAGTTTGCATATATTTACGTATTCCGTCGCGTGTAATTTTGCGTTGCATTGAAGTAGTTGTGGAATGGAGCATGATGGATTCGAACGGTATGATAGCATGGGTTATATGGGGTTCAAGAATGGCATACAGCACGAATGAATCCCTTCATATCAAATAGGGTAGTCATTAGGGAGTTGCATCCTAGATCAAGATTAAAACTGAATACAAGAATGGTTTGCTGGCAGGATTCAAGTGAATTAGATGACATATGATTAGTATTTCCTTGTAAGGTATGTGTAAAGACATAATTACATCTGCTGCCAGGAGAGAGAAGGCTGCAATTCCATCGACCAGCCGCAACAAGTTGGAAGAATAAAAATATGTAAATAAGAATATGTATGCAAGAAGAAAAGAAATGGGGCTATGGTATATAACGTTAAAAGGGGTTATGTAAAATATATGAACATGTCACGTCTCAAAAAGACAATATATAATGTATATATGTATGTATATGGTGTAAGGAGGGGGACCTAACTAGGCGTTAGAAGGCAAGTACGAAGCTTTAGAGCTGGTAGACGGTGAGCGAGAAGGGATGCTGCTGCTGAGGGTATCTCGATTATATATTGAAGGTGCAGGGAGTGGCAGCCGTGGTTCACTGTTTGTTAAAGTGCGTATAGAAATGGTATTAGGTGGGGCCTTCTTTGGCTCTTTGGGTAAAGGTTCAACGATAGTCCGCGATTCTTCAGAGCAGCTGTCGGCCGTGACCGATTCAGTGGGCTGTACGCAGGATGATTTCGAGAAGAGCCCGCGTAGGAAAGGTTTTAGTTTTGCGGTGGTTGCTCGGCGAGGGAGCTGAGCGGGCGTTCCCGGTCGTTTGATGGGGTTGAAGGATTCCTTGGGCCATTGGTGGACGGGAATGTCTGAGAGGGCTAGTTCGGGGAAGTGTTTCTCGATGTAGGATAGAGGAGCACCGCGTTCAAACTCGGGGAGGGAAACCACATTTTCATATACAAAGGTGCGGGCGTTTGAATCGATGCTATCTCGTGGTATCTCGTTCAGGGAGGCGCCAAGCTCGACTGATTTTACGAGCTGGGACTGAGTGAGAGGGGAGCCGGCCAGCTCGGGGATGTTTGGGTGCGGAAGAGGAAATGCAGCCAGCTCGTGAAGGTTAGGGTGCTGTAAGGGAGGAGAACCAGCCAGCTCGGGCAGGTCGGGTATGTCTGGGGTGGCTGTATGTATACTTATTGAGGAAGGGGAGGTGGCCGTTGCAATGGAGTGTGAGCGACCGGGTGACTCTCGAGCGGTAGAGTCTGCCACCGAAAGATTGGTCCTAGAGGGCGTTGGGGATAGCTGGTTGCTGACGGAGGAGAAACGATGCTGGAGCTTAGCGCCAAAGCGCTTCAAAGACAAGACAGAGCGATCCCTGTGCCGTATGTCCGGGAGAGGCTTGTCAACCAAGGAGGTTCGCCGGTGGGCCTGATGCAGGTTCTCCATCGAAACAGCGGCCCGTGGTGGAGTAAACATGTTGGGGGAGAGGGTGACCGAGCGCTATCAAAGTCAGCAGGGGTGAAGCATGTATATAGTTTGGTGTAAGGAGGTTATGGAACGTACGGCGCTACCAGCGTGGTTGAGGCCGATTCTCAGCCGCAACCGGGATATTGAAGTAGAGAGATTGACGAGAAACTCGACGAGGCGGACACCCTGGGCCTGTAGATTGGAGAGACTGGTAAGCCAGAGACCCACGCGCTGGAACATGTCAGCGTAGACGCCGCCAAAGGAAGGAGACCAGGTATTTTGGTTCTGGGGCAGGATGTTGAGGTAGTCCTTGACGGTGCGGACGGCGATTGCGGCCTTTCTGAGGTCCTTGAGGGAGTCCTGCAGCGATATCTCTGAGCGACGGACGACATGGTTTATCTTGCCGATGCAGTCGACGAGGAAGAGCTTAAAGGACTCGTCCCCGAGCATGGAGTCGAGCACGTCCAGGTTCGCCAGCGGGACGGCGAGCAGGTCGAACCTGGCCGTGAGATCTTCGTGTGCGAGCTGGTAGTCCTCCATGGTGCGCCGAACGAAGCCATCGATCTCGGCGACATGGACACGCAGGATCTGGACAGACTCGAGCTCCGACCTGGCCGAGCCGGTAGCCAGCAGATGGATGCCAAAGGAGACCTGTGCCATGATCTTCCACAGCGGATGGTAACGCTCGCCCATGCGCTGCTGCCACTTGCCAGAGCATGAGCGCTGGTACTTGGAGCCCTGGAGGAGCTGCTTGCGCCGGGTGACGGCGTCTGGCGGGGAAAGGACTTCCTGGTTGAAGCCATTGATGGACTCGAGGATGGACTCTTCAAACGGGCCTTGGAGATGCGCAATGGGGTGGGTTGGCCGGTAGACCTCTGAGGCCTCTGAGGCGGAGGAGGGCGATGGTGAAGCGGGCGATGGTGAGACGACCGAGGACGGCGAGCCTGGTTCCATTGCAGCAGCAGCCGTCGCAGCCATCGCAGGTAGAAACAAGAGGGCCGCCAACAAGAGCGCATGAAGCTCTTCTTCTTCTTCTTCTTCTTCTTCTCTAACCAATGCCCCAGATTGGATTAATTAAGGCACACTGTGACATAATTAAGACCCAGCGGCTGTACGGAGTATAGGTTGTATTAAACCAGGGGTCTGATCTAGGGCGACCACTATGTAGACAAACGAGCGGCAGCAGAGTATATAACGAATGGCTGAGAAGAGAACGACAGTCGGAGAAGAAGATGAGAAGATGAAGACGAAGACGAAGATGAAGCGAGAAGAAGAAAGTCGTAGGATTTTATGGCGTTTTCGTTGCTTTTTTTGGCGTTTTTGGTGCCTGGCTTAGTCAGAAGTGAAGCTGAGAAGTTGACGAAGTTGAAGCAGAAGAAGAAGAAGAAGAAGAAGAAGAAGAGGTTGACATTAAAGACATAGAGGAAGAGAAGAGAAGATGAAGAGAGCCGCCAGCATCACGTCGAGCGAGGCAAAGAAGCCCAAGGTCAATGGCAGCATCACCGCGTTCTTCTCTTCCAAACCATCTGCAGCAGGCAAAGATGACAAGACGAGCTTCGACAAGGCGAGCTGGACGAGCAAGCTGACGGCTGAGCAGCGAGAACTGCTGAAGCTTGAGATCGAGACGCTGGACGAGAGCTGGCTTGCCCATCTCAAGGACGAGCTGGTCACGGCGGAGTTCTCAGTCTCAAACG